TTCGCGCGAACGTCCGCCGCGTTCGCGGAGTGGACCGCCGTCGTGGACGCCGCCGCGCGCGATCGCGCGGCGGTCGCGCGCGCGGACCGGCTCGCGGAGCGACGCGCGCGGAGGGTCGCGCGCGCGGCGTTCACCGTCTGGCGCGACGCCGCGGAGCGCGCGATTTCGCGGCGACGCGCGATCGAGCGATCGACGCGGCTGGCGCGGCGCGCGACCGCGCACCGCGCGTTCATCGCCTGGTCCGGCGTCGTCGATCGCGAGCGCTTGCGCGCGTCGCTGGAGGCGGACGCGGCGCGCGCGCTCGAGGCGATGAGCGGCGATAACGACGGCGCGATGGCCGCGATGGAGAGAGCCGTCGTGGAAGCGGCGGCTGCGACGGAAAAGGCGGCGCGCGAGGACGCCGCGGCGCGCGAGAGGTCTCTCCGCGAGGAGGCGGCCGAGGAGAAGCAGGCCGCGCTCGACGCCGCCGCCGCGGAGGCTGCCGCGGCCGCGGACGCCGCGAGCGCGCGGCGGCTCCGGGCCGCGATCGGCAGAGCGGAGCGTCTCTTTTACCGCGCGGCGAGCGGTCTGTTAAGCGCGGCGTTCGCGTCGTGGCGCGACGTCGTCGACGAAGAGACGCGCCGCGAGCGTCTGACGCGGCGCGCGACGACGAGATTTGCGCGTCAGCTGCTCGCGCGCGCGTGCGCGGGATGGCGATCGAGCGTCCTCGACGCGAACCGCGCGCGCGCGTCGCTCGCGCGCGCGGACGGCGCGTTCCGGCGGACGCGCGACCGCGCGTTCGCCGTCGCGTTCGCGAGATGGCGCTACGCGACGAGCGAAGGGCACTGGCAGACGACGCTGGCGCGCGTGACGTCGCGGCGTCGCCGCGCGCCGCTCGCGCGCGCGTTCGCGCGGTGGCGGCTCGCCGGGGAGGAGGCGAGGCGCGCCGCCGCCGCGAACGCGAAGGCGACGCGCGCGCTCGGTCGCCTCCGCCACCGCGCCGCGTCCGTCGCGTTTCGCGCGTGGAACGACGACGCGCGCGGGCGCGAGCGCGCGCGGCGCGCGCTGAAGACGTTCGCGCTCAAATGGGAGAATTCGCGCGCGCGGCGCGCGTTTCGTTCGTGGACCGAGCGCGTCGCGGCGACGACGCGCGACGCCGCCGCCGCCGCGCGCGCGGATCGGCACTTCGCGCGCGCCGCCGCGCGCGCGGCGCGCGCGACGACGGCGGCCGTCTTTGACGAGTGGCGCGACGTCGCGTCGAGCGCGCGCGACGCGAACGACGCCGCGAGGCGCGTCGCCGTCGCGGAGGCGCGCGCCGATCGATCGCGCGCGCGCGTCGTCGCGCGCGTCGCCGCCGCGTCGTTGTCGACGTGGCATCGAAACGCGCGCGGCCGCCGACGCGTTCGAAAGGCGCTCTCGCGGTTCGTGCTGAGGTGGCAGCACGCGCGTCTCGCGTCCGCGTTCGCGGCGTGGACGGGGAGTCTCGACGACGAGAAGACGCGGCGCGGCGTCGACGCGCGCGCGGCGCGCAAAATGGCGCGAGTCAAGACGTCCGCGGCTTTCGCGCGGTGGGCGGCTTTCCACGACGCGTCCGTCGCGAGCCGCCTCGCGCGAATTCGCGCGGACCGCGCGCGTTCGCGCGTCGCGAATCGGTTGGCGTGGAGCGCGCTCCTCGCGTGGAGCGAGCGCGCGCGGGAGCGCCGCCGCCGCCGCGTCGGCGTCGAGAGGCTCGCCGCGAGACGCGCGCGCGCGAGCGTCGCGAACGCTTTTTGGCGTTGGATCAAACGCGTCGACGAGTCGATCCGGCACCGCAACGGCGCGCGGCGGATCGTGAACCGGATCAACCGCGCGACGCTGCACGGCGTGTTCTGGCGTTGGAAGACAGCGAAGGACGTCGAGCGGCGCGCGCGGGTCGCTGAAACGCGCGCGGACGCGGCGTTTCAAAGACGCGTCCGAAACGCGCGGTGGCGCGCGTTTCGGACGTGGCGCGACGCGTGCGAAGGCGAGCGCCGGGCTCGGGTGGTCGTCCAGAAAAAGACGTCGCGGTGGCGCCGCGCGCGCGTCTCTCGCGCGTTCGAGCGCTGGGCGTCGATCGCGCGCGACGCGAAGCGCGCGCGGAAGATCGCGGGCGTGATTCGACGGCGACGCGACGCGCGCGAGACGCGCGCGGCGACGCGAGAGTGGCGGGCGCTCGCGGCGCGCTCGAAGCGCGACGCGATCCTCGAGCGCGTTTCGACGCGTTTCGAGACGCGGTTGACGACGCGACGCGTCGCGGCGCTGATGCGCGCGTGGAGCGACGCCGCGGCGCGGCGGAAGCGGCTCCGCGTCGGGATTCTCGCGCTCGTGACGCGTCGAAAGACGACGCGCGTCGACGACAATTTTTCAGAGTGGAAAACTCTCGCGCGCGAGCGGACGCTCGAGCGCGTCGCCTTGACGCGCGCGAGACGTCGCGCGCGCCGCGTCGCGTCTCGCAGCGCGTTCATTCGATGGGCCGCGCGCGCGAAGGACGTCGCCGCCGCGCGCGAGGTCATCGCCGCGGCGCTGAAGAAAGCCGCGTCCTCGGCGGCGATTCGCTCCGAGGTTCGAAAAGCGGGGTTATCCCGCGCGTCCAAGGCGTGGGACGCGCGGACGATCGCTCGCGTCTTCGCGGCGTGGATCGAGGTGCGCGACGGCGCGGCGTACGTCCGCGGCGTCACCGCGCGGCTGCGAGCGTCCGTGACGCGCGAGGACACGCGACGGAGGTTGAAGCGATGGGCGTCCGCGATGTACGCGCGACGCGCGAAGGTTGGTAAGATGAGACGCGCGGCGGCGCGCTGGCGGAGGAAGGAGAAAACGGCCGTCGAACGCGCGTTATTCGTCTGGAAAACGCACGTCGTGCGCGGTCAGAAGTCCGCGCACGATCGCGTCGACGCGGAGGTGGAGTGGCTGAACGCGTCGCTCGCGTCCGAGCGCGCGCAAAAGTCGGGCATCGCGGAGGAACTCCGAAGCCTTCGGCGAGAGGCGTCCGGGCTCAATTCCCTCGTCGACACGCTGCGACGGGAAACCGCGATCCTGCAAAAGACCCTGACCGAGCGCGACGCGAACGTCGCGAAGCTGCTCGACGAGCGCAAGGCGACGAAGGCGGAGGTCAAGCGCATCATCGAAGAGCGAAAGGCTGCGAAAGCGACGATCGAGGAGACGAAGCAGTCGCACGAAGCCGCGGCGCTGCGACGCGTCTTGGTCGATAAAAACGCGAAGATCGCGCATCTGCTCTCGCAACGCCGCGCGCTGCACGAGACGCACGCGGCGTCCGAGGCGCGCGCGTCGGAGCTCGAGAAAGTCGCCCTCGAGGCGACGGCGTTCGCGAGCGAAGCCTCCGAGGCGAAGGCTGCGGCGGAGAAGCGACTCGCGTCGGAGCTCGCGCGCGCCCACGAAGAGCGTCAGAAAATGGCTCTCGAACTCGCCGCGGCAGCGACGCCGATCCGAGGCACGCACGGGACGTACACGTCGCCGGTGTACGAGAGCGAGGACCGGGACCGGAGCCCGCCGCGGTCGCCGCCGCGTCTGCTGGCGTTCGCGTCGTCGTCGCGGCGCGAGGTCGCGTCGCAGTACGCCGTCGAGGACGACGCGCGGGCGGCGGCGATCTCGATGTTATCGCCGCCGTCGTCGCCGCCCAGGAGAGACGCGCACACGCAGTCGCCGCCGCCTTCTCCTCCGAGGGTGAGGAGCGACGCGCACACGCAGTCGCCGCCGCCTTCGCCGCCCAGGAGTTTCGCGTACGTCCGCGCGAGGGATAAGCTCTTGAATTCGCCGACGAGACGAAGGCGGCGATCGATGTCGATGGACGCGACGACGGAGACGGAGACGGAAGCACGCGAGGACGAACCGCGACGGGAGGAGGTGGAGGTTGAGCCCGAGCGCGACTCGCCGATCCAACGCGTCGCCGCGGAGGCTGTGGAGGATAACGACGTCGTCGACGTCGACGACGACGACGGCGGCGGCGGCGGCGAAGAGTCGACGCCGGCGATCCCTCAGAGCTCGCTCGACGATCCCGTCGAAGAAGCGCCCGCGGACGCCGCTTTTCCGATCGCGACCGACGCCGACGACGACGCCGACGACGACGCAAGAAGACACGCGGCGGCGACGAGGATTCAATCCGTCCACCGAGGCGGCCGCGCGCGATCGATGGTCCGAGCGACGCGGCTGATTTTCGACGCCGCGGCGACGCGCGTCCAAGCCGCGGCGCGCGGGTGGGCGAGCAGGAAGACGACGGCGGCCGCGCGCGCGCGCGCGCGCGCGACGGCGAAGGAGGCGAAGTCGCCGTCGAGACGCGTGACGTTCGAGGCGCCGGAGGAATCGGAACCCTCAGACGAAGAAGAACTCGCGGCGTCGGCGGCGCGGACGCCCGACCCGCCGGCGTCGTCGTCGAAGGCGGCTTCGTCGTCGCGGCGGCGGCTGAGTCTCACCCCGGAGGCGCACGCGGCGGCGGCGGCGGCTGCCGCCGCCGCGCTCGATTTCGATATCGAATACGACGTCGACGAGTTCAACCCTCATCCTTATGACCCAGAGCCCGAGCGCGACGCCGAGCCGGAGAGACGGCGCGCGAAATTGGACGCGAGTTTCGACGCCGAGGATGACGCCGCCGCGTGGGCCGCGTCCGTTTCCGCGCGCGCGTCGCCGTTCGAGTACGACGACGCGGGAATGGACGCCGGCGACGTCGGCGTCACGTTGTACGCGCGCCGACGCGGCGGCGTCGGCGGCGACGACGACGACGACGGCGTGGTGTCGATCGGCGATGAAAAATTCGCGTTCGACGCGATCCTCGAAGGCGTCGGCGACGCGCGCGCGGTGGGCGTCGTCGCGAACCCGGTCGCCTCCGCCGCGCGCTCAGGGTTCGACTCCACGGTGATCGTTCTGAACGCGAGCGGCGGGGATCGGTTCAGGGAGATTCCAGAAACGGACGACGATGGGACGTTTTACGAGTCGTCCATCGGCGACGCCGTCGCGGACGCGATCGCGGACCGACTCGTTCGCGTCGCGACCGGGCCGCCGGCGATACCCCCCGGCGCGGAAGGCACGTGGGTCGGGACGACGCTGGGCCTGTCCATGTTCCACGCCCACGGGCTCGCGGTGGACGACCTGTTGGCCGGAGCGGTAGGGAACGACGAAGACGAAGACGACGACGAGGCGTCGGCGAAAAGAATCGTCGGCGGCGGCGCGGCGGCGGAGGCGCCCCCGACGCGTCTGCGCGTGCGTCCGCGTCGGGACGTCGCCGCGTCCGGTAACGGCCGATCCGCGCAGTTATACTCCTCCGCGGGGTCCGGCGGGCTTCTCTACGAAGTCGAGGACGCCGCCGTGCTCGCGCTTCGCGACCTCGCCGCGACGAAGGCGGCGCTGCGCCGCGGCAGGCTCGCTCGATTCGCCGCCGCCGCCGCCGCCGCCGCCGGCCGCGTCGTCGAATCGCATTCGCGCGAATCGCATTCGATCGAGGGAGAACCCGCCGCCGCCGCCGCCGCCACCGCGCGCGTCACCGAGCTCGTGTTCACGACCGAGTCCGTCGTCGTCGACCGCGGCGCGGCGGCGACGCACGCCGCGCTCGGCGCGCGGACGACGACGACGTCGCGCGCGGCGACGTGCCGCGTCGTCGAAATCATGTGTCCAAACGTCTCCGACGTCGCGCACCTCGCCGCGTGCGTCGCGAAGCTCGTCGATCGCGCGGACGAGCCGGAGCTCCGACGGACGTCCCCGGAGTGGCGCTCGAGCGCGCTCACGAAGCTCGTGAAAGGCCCGCTGACCGGGGAAGGACGGCTCGCGTTCGTCGTCGATTACGATTGCCGTCTCGAGGCGCGCGCCGCCGCCGGCGGCGCCGCCGCGCTGCGGCTCGCGTCCGCGGCGCGGCTGCTCCCCGGCCGCGCGGACGCGTCGTCGTCGCACGCGTCGAGGCGGGTGCGGAGGGTCGTGCGACACGAGCGCGAGCCGGGGAGTCGGAGAGAGGCGCTGAAGAAGAAGCTCGCGAAGGTGAAGCGAGACGCCGCCGCCGCGTTCGCCGCGTCGGAGCGAAACGGACGCGGCGGCGGCGGCGGCGCTTCTCTCGTCGAAACCGAAACCGCCGCTCGCGGGAGAAGACGCGAGCGCGAGGCGGCGTCGACCCCGGCGCCGACGAGCCTGGGACGGTCGACCGGTGGGTGGTCCAGCGCGCGGAAGACTTCGCCGCCGACGTCGCGCCGCGGCGCCGCTGTCGCGCGAGCTTCGAGTCGACGCGCGAGCGTCGCGTCGCCGTCGACGCGCGAATCGATCGACGACGGCGAGTACGGCCGCGCGGGCATCTCGTGATGAAGGATCGACGGACCGCGCGTCATCGCGTACACACTGTACGTGTACAACACGAGGAAGTACAGTAATAAGTTACGTTTTTAGTTTAGTTAGCAGACCAAGTCGGGTAATCATTAGGCAGTAGCATTACAAACTGACGAACGACGAACGACGCGCGTCTCGCGTCCTCGTCCGACTCCGTCCTCGCGCGAAAAGATCTTCCCTCGCGCGTCGCGTCACAGCTTCGTCTTATCGAACCCCTCGAGCTTCACGAGCACCTCGTTCCTACGCTGGATCGGGTTCGTCAGCGGGTCGTTGTACTGCGCCAGCGACGCGGGCGCGCCCGCCGCTCTGACGAGCCCGTCCGCGACGAGCGCGTCGGTCAAGAGCTTCTCCTCCGCCTCGGCCCCCGCCTCCGACGCGATCCCGTTGAATCGCCGCGCGGCGTACACGCCGCCTTCTCGCAGCTTCGTCTCCACCCCGGTCCCCTCCTTCGGCTTCGGGAGCGCGCCGACGTCGCCGTTGAACTTCCGCTCGAGGACGAACTGCATCTTGCCCGCGTCGGTCATGTACACCGGCGTCGTCATCTCCATCTTTTCGTTCGTCTCGTTCCCGCCGCCGAAGATGTATTGCGCGAGGACGCCGAACGCGTTGCCGCCGGAAAACGCCCCGGGGGTGGACGTTTCCGCGACGAGAAACGGTTCGTATTCCCGGACTTCATACGATGCGAACCGTCGCAGCACGGCGTACCGCGGCGTCTCGATGTCCGGCGCCTTCGTCAAGTCGAAGACCTGCCGCAGCACCTCCGCGACGCCGCCCGGCCCGTTCAGAAACCCCTGGCTCTCCCCGAGCGAATCCCACGTGTCGAAGTGCGTCTTCACGCGCTTCGTGTCCGGGTTTAGGCCCATCACGGACGTCCCCGTGAACGTGAGCCGCGGCTTCCAGAAGAACGGCACGTCCGGCAGCGTCATCTCCATCGTCCACCGCGTCGAGAGCTCCCAGTCGCCCGTCTGCTCGATGGAGTGCATGACGTATCGCGGCTTGAAGACGTTCTTGAGCATGCCGATGTTGAACAGGTAGCCGTCGATGTTGTCGTACCTCGTCAGCGGGTCCTCGAACGAGACGTCGTCCTCGTACAGGTTCCTGTCGATGCCCTTCTCGTCGAACAGGTGCGTCAGGTCCTCGGCCATGACGTCCATGAGCGTCGCGAGCTCCTCGCCCTCGAGGCGAGAGAGAGTGGAGGATCTCGAGGGAAGATCTGAAGAGGCGGTCGCGCGCGGCGGGCGCGCGGCGACGCCGCCGCGCCGCGCCGTGGACGCGCCGACGACGCGCGCGGCGGCGGCGCGGCGGCGGCGCGGCGGCGCGCGCGGCGCGACCGCGGTCGCGGCGGCGAACGAGGCGGACGTCGACATCGTGCGCGGGCGAGAGCGCGCGCGTGGAAGAGTGCCGACACCGCGCGACGACGCGACCAGACGCGACGTGGCGTTTCGAGAGGCCTGGCGCTGGCGCTACGCTGGCTCTCCCAGGGCGGCAGCGCCCGGCGAGCAGTGCTCGCTCACGAGCCACAAACCCGCGGCGCGGCGCACGGGGCGCGTCCCGCGGGTCGCGATGCCGCCGAACGCGGCGCGCTCGCCGTGGACGTGGACTCTTCTCATCGCGGTCGCGACGTGCGTCGCGCTGGCGACCGCGATGAGCGGCGGCGGCGGCGGCGGCGCCGTCCACGAGATCGCCGCCGTCCGCGAGCGCATCTCTTCGGCGCCGTCGGAATCGCGCGCACTCGGCACCGTGGCCGGCGGCGCCGCGCGAACCCTCGAGGGGGAGCTCCGACGCGCGCCAACCGCGCCGTCGTCCTCGCGACCGCGCTCACCCGCGACGCCGACGACGCCCTCGACGCCGACGCCGACGCCGACGCCGACCGGCGAGGACCCGTGCGCGAGCGTCCGCGTTCGACGCGAGCCGTCGAACGCGACGGACGCGCGCGTCGCGCTCGTGACCGGAGGCGCGGGATTCATCGGCTCGCACCTCGTCGACTTGCTCCTCCGACTCGGGTACCGCGTCCGCGTGCTGGATAACCTGAGCACGGGCTCGAGGGCGAACGTCCCGGGGGGGGGCGTGGAGTTCGTCCGCGGGGACGTGCGCGCGTACGAGGACGTCGAGCGCGCGATGCGAGCGCGAGGGGTCGGCGGGGGGAAAGGGAAAGGGATGGCGAAGACGCGAGAAGAAGAAGACGCGATCGACGCGTCTGATGACGGCCCCTACGACGTCGCCGTCGTCTTCCATCTCGCGGCGATGAGCAAAGTCCTTCCGTCGCTGAACGCGTCCGCGACGAACATGACGGCGTTTTGCGTCGAGAACAACGTCGTCGGCACGGAGAACGTGCTGCGGGCGGCGAAACGCGCGGGGACAGTCGAGAAAGTCGTCTACGCCGCGTCGTCCACGCACTACGGTAGGAGGACTCGCGCGCCGCGGTCGCGGTCGCTGTCGCTGTCCTCCTCTAAAATGGCGCCACGTGTCTCTATCTCCGCCTGCCTGCATCGGATCCTATTTTATTTATTTCTTCATCCATCCACGACCGCTCGATGTGCCACGTCAGCGCGCTGACGAACCAATCGTCGTCCTCCGCTCTGTCCGCAGGGCACGCGTCCGTCCCGCACGAGGAGACGATTCCGTTTTCCTCGGGGGAGGCCGCGTCGTCGCCGTACGCGCTCACGAAGCACATGGGCGAGGAGCTGTGCGCGCTGTACGACGCGTTCTACGGCCTCCCCACGACGTCGTTGCGGCTATTCATGGTGTACGGGCCGCGGCAGCCGACGGACGGGGAGTACGCGACGGTGACGGGGAAGTTTTTGGCGATGAAACGACGCGGGGAGCCGCTGCGCGTCGAAGGCGCGTTTCGTTTTCGACCACACACATTGCCACGTCATCGAATACTCTGATCACGGCATGCGAGTATACTAACCAATCGCGTCCCCCCTCCACGTCTCGCATCATCGATCGCATCTATCTTCTAGGCGACGGCTCGCAATCGCGGGATTTCGTGCACGTGTCGGACGTAGCGCGCGCCTTCGCGCTCGCCGCGCAGACGCCGGCGGCGAACGGTCTCAGCGTCAACGTCGGCAGCGGGACCGCGCTGAGCGTGAGCGCGCTCGCGGACATGGTGGGCGGCGAACGCGTCGCGGCGGCGCCGCGCGTCAACGACCTGCGCGCGACGCTCGCGAGCACGTGCCGCGCGAAGGAGGTTTTGGGCTTCGAGACGACGCGGGATTTTCGAGACGCGCTGAGGTGCGTTCTACACACTGGTCCCCATACGACCGCGTTGGCGAGGTGGACGCCGATCCTTAAGGACTTTGCCCGGCGTTTCTCTCCGCCCACCCCTCGGTTTCAATCCCCGCCCTCGACGCCTTTCAACTCCGACTGACGCCTTTGAACTCCACCCCGACGTTCGCTCGTATAGAACGGCCCTGAAGCTCGAGATGGAGGAGGCGTTTTCGTTTTCGACGACGTCGAGGGAGGAGGAGGAGGAGGAGGAGAGGGCGTCGGGGAGGCGTCCCACCCGGGGCGCGTCCGCGCGCGCGCCCGCGCCCGCGGTGGCGGACTAGAGGATAGCGACGACGCGGTCGCCCCTTCCCGGGGTCGGCCGCGCGTAGAGATAGCGTTTCATGACGACCGTCGCGGTCGCGGTAGGCGTCTCGAGTTGGCGTCTCGCGACTTCGTTCTCACAGAGTGGTGACGGAAACGCCGACAACTCAGCTCAGCGCGTGGTTCGTTCGCTGCGGTTATCCAGAATCCCCGCGGCCGCCATCACTCGCGCGCGCGCCCGCGACGGACCGGAAACGATGACCGTCGCCGCCGCGCCCTCCGCGGCGTTATCGTCGCGATGCTACCACCGCGCGTCCATCGCGAGCGCGCGTCGCGGCGCGCTCCCCGCCGCCGCCTCGGCGCCGCGCGTCTTCGGACCTCATCATTCTAAACGTCGCGGCGTTCGTCGAGACGATAATAATGCGAAGACGACGACGACCGTCGTCGCCCGCGCGGTCGACGCGGCGACGATCGCGAGCCTGGAGACGCTCCTGCCCTCAAATCGCCAACCTCGCGCGCGTACGCCGCTCATGGCGGGCAACTGGAAGATGAACCCGAAGACGCTCAGGGAGGCGGAATCCCTCGCCGCGCTCGTCGCCGCCGCGGACCGCGCGCAGGGCGGATCCGCGACGCGCGGGTGCGACGTCCTCGTGTGCCCGCCCGCGCCGTTCCTCCCCGCGGTCGCGGCCGTCCTCGCCGGCAGCAGCGTGAAGCTCGGCGCGCAGAACGTCTCGCACGAGCCATCGGGCGCGTTCACAGGCGAGATGTCGCTCGCGCAAGCTGTCAGCGTCGGATGCGACTTCGCGCTCGTCGGGCACTCGGAGCGCAGAGAATTATTCCACGAGACGGACGTGCTCGTCGGCGACAAGACGCGCGCGATCCTCGACGCCGGGCTCGCGCCCGTGATCTGCGTCGGCGAGAGCAAGGCGCAGTACGACGCCGGGCTCGTGAGGGACGTCTGCGCGACGCAGCTCCACGGCGCGCTGCGCGACGTGTCGACGGAAGAGCTGGAGCGAGGAAAGATTGTCATCGCGTACGAACCCGTGTGGGCCATCGGCACGGGCCTCACCGCGACGCCGGCCATCGCGCAGAGCGTCCACGCGTTCATTCGCGGCTGGATCGAGGACGCGCACGGGCCTATGGCCGCGGCGGCGACGCGGATTCAGTACGGCGGGAGCGTCAAGCCGGACAGCGTGGATGAGCTCATGCGTTGCCCGGACGTCGACGGGTGCCTCGTCGGCGGCGCGTCTCTCAACGCGGATCACTTTTCTCGAATCTTCGGATTCGACGACGCGCCGTCCGGCCCGACAAAGCTGTGGGCGACGGAGGTGGTGACGTGTCGCAACGAGCTCGGCGAGAGCCCGGTGTGGGACGCGGAGACGGAGACGCTGTATTGGGTCGACGCCCCGGGGAAGGCGGTGTGGTCGTGGAACGTCGGCGCGTCCGGCGCGCCCGTCAAGGTGCGTTCTAGTTTCATACTGGTCCCCATACGACCGCGTTGGCGTGGTGAACGCCGTTCCTTAAGGACAAATACTTCCCGGCGCATCTCTCCGCGCACCCCTCGGTTTCAACGCCCGCCCTCGACGCCTTTCAACTCCACTTCTGACGCCTTTCAACTCCACCCCGACGTTCGCTCGTATGGAACGACCCTAAGCACGAGATCGGCGAGGTCGTCGGCTTCGTCGCGCTGAAACGCGGCGGGGGGTTACTCCTCGGTTTGGACGTCAGCGGGATATGCGCGTACGACCCGAGGACGCGCGTCATCGAGCCGCTGTGCGCGTTCGAGCCGGGGTTGAACACGCGGCCGAACGACGCGCGGACGGATCGCCGCGGCAACTTGATCGTGGGGTCGTACAACGGCAACCACCGCGGCGACGGCGGCGCCATCGGCGGCGTGTATCGACTCGCTGCGGAGTCCCCGCGCGCGCTGACGGAGGTGCTCGACTATAAGATCCGCGTGAGCAACGCGACGTGTTTCACGCCCGACGGGAAGATCATGTTCTTCTGCGATTCCCCGACGCGCGCGGTGTACGCGTTTCAGGTGCGTTCTTCTCACACTGGTCCCCATACGACCGCGTCGGCGTGGTGGACGTCGTTCCTTAAGGACTTTTCCCGGCGCATCTCTCCGCCCACCCCTCGCTTTCAATCCCCGCCCTCGACGCCTTTCAACTCCAACTGACGCCAATGAACTCCACCCCGACGTCGCTTTGTATGGAACGACCCTCAGTACGACCCCGCGAACGGTCCGGCGCCGGGCACTCGAAAGCTCGTGTACGAGATGCCGAACGAGCTCGACGGCGTCCCCGACGGCGCGCAGTGCGACGCCGACGGCTGCCTGTGGATCGCGCTCTCCGGCGCGTCCAAGTGCGTGCGCGTGAACCGCGACGGCGTCGTGGATCACGAGATCGAGCTTCCCGTGAAGTCGCCGACGTCCATCACGTTCGGCGGCGGCGGGCTGGACACCATCTTCGTCACGACGCGCGGGCCGGACGGCGGCGGGCTCTACGCGGTGCGCGCGCCGTACGGCGTGCGCGGCGTGCGCGAGGTGGCCTTCGCGGACGCGTCGCCGGTGAATGCGCGCGAGGGCGCGAGGGAGGGGTTCGGGATGGCGCGCGTCGCGCTCGGGGCGGACGTTCGGGACGTCGCGAACGCGATGACGGAGGGAGGGCGGGCGCGGCGGGCTTGGGGGGCGGATCGAAGCGTCGCGGCGCCGGTGGGCGTCGACGCGGAGCCGCAGCCGTTCTGCGGGCGCTGCGGCGCGCGGTTTAAGGACGGGGACGCCAAGTTTTGCAGCGAGTGCGGCAGCGCGCGCGGGTACGTGGTGCTGCGCGATGAGGAGTGAGCAGAGAAAAATATTCGTAGAAGCGATAAAATATATTCATCGGTCAGTTGAAAGGAGATGCGATCAAATGTTGAAACCGAGCGGTGGGTGAAAAACGTTTGTGTAGAACTCGTCTATTACGCTCCTCAGCTGATGGGCGTCGTTTAAACCGAGAAGCGCGCGCGCGTCGTCCGTCGCGTCGTCGCACGCGGCCGCGGCCCTCTCGCGATGCGCGCGCCCAACGCCGCCGTCGGCGTCGCGCCGGCGTCGTCCTCCGCGTCGCGAGCGATCGCGCTGTCGTCGCGATCGTCGCGGCCGCGCGCCCTCCGCGCGCGCGTCGTCGCGTCGCCGCGATCTTCGCGCGGTTTCGCGAAGAAGAAGAAGCCGTCCGAAGAAGCCCGCCCGCGTATCGTCACGCGCGCGTCCGCCTCCGCCGCGAACGTCGCGCTCGTCGGCCTCGGCACGCGCGGCGGCGTCGTCGTCGACGCGCTCGCGCTCGGCGGCCCGCTCGAGCGCGCGGAGTACTGGGCGCTGAACTCCGACCCCGTGTCGCTCCAGGCGAGCGCGTGCGCGAACCGATGGCGCCTGCCTCCGTCCAACGTGGACGTCTCCGGGCGCGCGGCGCGCGATAACGCGGAAGCCGCCGCGCGCGAGATTCTCGCGGGCGGGAGCGGGCGCGTCCCGCCGGACGTGATCGTCGTCGTCGCGTCCGCGAACGAAGCCTCCGGCGCGGGTCTCCAAACGATCGTCGCGCTCGCGGAGCTCAAAGAGCGCGGCTTCCGGAAGCAGTTCGGCTTCAAAGTCGGGTTCAACGGCCTCGCGGGGCCGGCGGCGATGACGCACGCGGGGCCACTTCTCGTCCTCGCGGTGACGTGCCCGTTCGACTTCGAAGGCCCGCGGAAGAGCGCGGCCGCCGCGGACTTCCTGGAGAAGGCGCAGCGAGAGGCGGACCTCCTCGTCGTCGTGCCGCAGCAATCGCTCACGACGTTCAGGCGCGTCCTATTACCACGCCGGTCCCCGTACGACCGCGTCGGCGTGGTGAACGCCGATCCTTAAGGACTTTTGCCGGCGCTTCTCTCCGCCCGCCCCTCGCTTTCAATACCCACCCTCGACGCCTTTCAACTTCACTTCTGACGCCTTTCAAGTCCACCCCGACGTTCTTCGCTCGCACGGAACGACGTTCAGCGTCTCCGCCGGCGGCGACGCGCTCACCGTGACGGAAGCGACGCGGTACTGCGACACCGCGCTCGCGTGGAGCGTCTGGACGACGCTCGAGTCGTTCGCGTCGCCCGCGTGGGTCGGCGCGCGAGGGTTCGGGGGCGCGGAGAACACGAGCGCGTGGACGGAGTCGCTCGCGACGCAGGCGCGTTCTTCTATCTTACACTGGTTCCCACACGACCGCGTCGGCGCGGCGCGCGCCGTTTCTTACTAAGGACTTCTTCGCCCGCCGCTCGGTCTCGATCCCGACACACCGCGACGCCTTTCAACTCCGCTTCTGACACCTTTCAACTCCACCCCGACCGACGTCGCTCCGCATGGCCCCTCGACCCTCAGGCGTTTCGAGACGCGATGACGGGGCGAGCGGTGGGCGCCGAGCGCGGCTGCGGCGCCGCGGTCGTCGGCCACGGCGCCGCGGTCTTGGAGTTGGGCGCGTCGCGCGTCGCGCTGGACGACGCGGAGGCGGCGGCGGTGTCTTCCGCGGTGAAGCGCGCGGCGGAGGAGTCGCCGTTTCTGACGAACGACGTCTTCGCGAGCGCGCAGTTCGCGACGTGCGCGATTCGCGCGGGGCGGAGGTTGTCGCCGGCGGCGCGCGCCGCGGCGAGCCGCGCGCTCGCGGACGTCGCGGGCGCGGCGACGCCTCAGGTGCGTTCTATACAAACGTTTTTCACCCGTCGCTCGGTTTCGACATTTGATCGCATTGTCTTTCAACTGACCGGTGCACTGTTTTGTATGGAATGGCCTCGTCGCAGATCATGACGTACAGCGCGCCGGAGGACCCGGCGCGCGCGGCGAGGGATTGGATCGAGGCGACGATCATGGTGGTGTCGCCGCCGAGCGAGGCGTTCGTTCCGAAGGCGAACAGGAGGGGTCCCGGGGGCGGGAGAGGAGGGGAGGAGAGGACCGCGGCGCCGTTTCCGTCCGTGCCGGGGACGACGGGGATACGGAACGGCGCGCCGGCGGCGGCGGAGCAGACCGCCGAGGCGGAGCAGACCGCCGAGGCGATGCGAAAGCTCGGGCTTCTCGCCTCCTCCGACGCTTCCGCTTCAGACGCGGACATCGCAGCGCGTCAGGCGCGCGTCGACGCCGCCGCCGGTCGCGTCGCCGCGCTGAAGGACGCGGTGAGCGCGCTGCGACCCGCGACGCGCGAAACCTTCGCGGTGGCTCCGGAGGTCGCGAAACCTCCGATGCCCGACCCGGAAGACGTCGCGGACGTCGTCCCCGCGCCGGTGGCGAAGGCCGCGCCCGCGATCGATGCGGGGGGCGACGATCCGGATCCGTTCGCGGCGGCCGCGGCGAAAGTCGCCGCGGAGGCGGCGGCGGCGCTCGAGGCGGCGAGGGCGTCTGAAGCCGCCGCCGCATCCGCGTTGGCGGCGGCGGCGGCGGCGGCGGAGACGGAGCGGCGGTCGCCGGCGGAGCAACCGGTGCTCTCCACGACCGCGTCGTCCGCGTCCGCGGTGTCCGCGGCGGCGGCGGCGAGGGAAGGAGCCCCCGCGCTTTCCGTCTCCGGTCGACCGAAGCGCGCGGTGCACGTGCCGTTACCGGCGACCATCTCGAACGTCGCGCCGGCGGTTAGAATTCTTGAGATGGAGGAAGACGCCGACGGGAACGTCGTGGCGTACCGCGACATCACGAACGTCGCGTACGACGACGACCCGGACGCGGACGCGGCGGAGGAGGACGCGGGAGAGCCGAAGAAGAAGAAGAAGAAGAAGCGCGGGCTGTTCGGATTCGGCCGCGGCGGCGGCGACGACGACGACGTCGAAAAAGACGACCCGTTCGTCAGAAACCGACTGATGAGCGTCCTCGATAAGGACCGCGGCGGGTGGCGCGCGCCGGTCGTTCGCGTGGAGTTCAACGGCGCGTGCGTGTACGAGGGGGAGTGGGTCGGCGGGAAGCAAGAGGGCGAGGGGAAGCAGGTGTACCCCGGCGGGGATTGGTACGAAGGGCGATGGCGCGCGGGCGTGCCCGACGGACGAGGGCGGCTGCGGTACGCCAACGGCGGGATGTTCGAGGGGATGTGGCGCGACGGCGTGCCGTGCGGGCCGGGGGTGTTGGATCTCACGGAGCAAGGCGGCGTGCGCGTGGACGGGCGGTGGAGTAACGGCAAGCTCGAGGACGAGTGGGGGAAGGTGTAGCCGGCGGAAGGCGGTGACGGCGGTCCGGTCCTTAGTCTGTTCTCTCTCGGACGTGGAGAAGCTCAGTCCAGTCATCACTGCACGCTGCGTTCGAGTTCTCTTCGCCGAACAGAAACCACGACAACGACGACGCGCGCGCGCGCCGCTCCCCCCGCGACGCCATGGACGCTGACGTCTCCCCCCTCCAGCGCGCGCGCCTGGCGTATCGCCCCACCCTCCCAGCCTCGCTCGCGACGGACGCGCGTTTGCTCCGGTACACCGTCGACGACGACCGCGACCGCGCGCGCTCGGCGCGCTCGCGCTCCCCCTCCCCCGAGCCTCGCCCCTCGCCCGCGCCCGGCTCCTCGCCCCCGCGCGACGGCGTCGACCGCGCGGGCTCGCGCGAGCCCAGCGCGCACACGCACCGGCTCGCCGCCGCGCTCGGGCCCGCGCGCGTCGTCGACCTCGCGGACCGCGACGGCCTCCGCGGGCCGTTCCCGCACGCGGCCGCGTGCCACGCGTTTCAGGTGCTCGCGCGCGACGCGTCGGCGTCCCCGCTCGAGGCGTCGCTCGCGACCGAACGCCTGCGCCCGGTCGAGGACGACACCGTCTCCGGGGCGCGCATCGGCGTGCTCTTCAGCGGCGGGCCCGCGCCGGGCGGGCACAACGCGGTCGCGGGCGCGCTCGACTGCCTCGCGCGGCTTCGCGCCGCGCGCGGCGGCGCGGGCGGCCCCCGAAGAAAAAGCCGGGTGGGGCAGCCCGCGCCGCCGGGGCCTAGGCCGCGCGCGCGCGATCTCGACGGCTTCACCGACGGCTTCACCGGCGGTCTCGTCGGCTTCGTCGGCGGCCCGCGCGGGCTGCTCGAGAAGCGATGGACGCCGATCACGCCGTCGCTCATGTCCAAGCACGTGAACATGGGCGGGTTCGACCTCCTCGGGAGCGGGCGAATGAAGCTCTCGAGCGAAGCGCATTTCGCGGCGGCGGCGGCGACGGTGACCGACCTCGCGTTGGACGGCCTCCTCGTCATCGGCGGCGACGACTCGTGCACGAACGCGGCGTACCTCGCGGAGGCGTTCGCGGAGAACGACGTCGAGTGCGCGGTCGTCGGCGTCCCGAAGACGATCGACGACGACATGCGCGGCGGCGGCGTCGAGGCGTGCTTCGGCTTCGACAGCGCCTCCAAAGGTAAGTTCTGTACACTGGTTCCCATACGACCCCGTCGGCGTGGTGAACGCCGATCCTTAAGGACTTTTCCCGGCGCATCTCTCCGCCCACCCCTCGCTTTCAATCCCCGCCCTCGGCGCCTTTCAACTCCACCTGACGCCTTTGAACTCCACCCCGACGTTCGCTCGTATGGAACGACCCAAAGTGTTCTCGGAGATCATCGGCAACGTGTGTTCGGACGCGCGAAGCGCGCGGAAGTACTGGCACTTCGTCCGCGTCATGGGACGAAGCGCGAGCCACCTCACGCTGGAGTGCGCGCTGCAGTGCCAGCCGAACCTCTCGTTCATCGGCGAGGAGATCGAGGCGAACGGTCGGAGCCTTTCGGACGTCGCGGATGAAATCGCAGACGTCGTCGCCGCGCGCGCCGCCTCCGGGTACGTCGGTTCGTTCGTTACCCGCCACACGATATGACACGTCATCGAATCAGATCATTCGCTGACCAATCGCATCCCGTCGCCCGCCGCCCGCAGCTTACACCACGGCGTCGTCCTTCTCCCCGAGGGCCTCCTCTCGTTCTGCCCGGAGACGAGCGCGCTGATGCGAGAGCTCGAGGACCTCATGTCCGAGGTCGGGTCGCCGCCGCGACCGCCGGAGCACTCCACGGAGAGCGAGGCGATCGTCTGGGCCGAGCGTCGCCGCGCCGCGCCGGATCAGCTCGAGAACTCCGACGTCCGCGCGCGGCTGTCGCGCGCGTCGAGAGAAGCCGCGGCGCAGATCCCGGACGCGATCCTCTCGCAGCTGCTCCTCGCGAGGGATTCGCACGGCAACCCGTCGCTCAGCGCGATCGAGACGGAGTCGCTCGTCGCCGAGCTCGTGCGCGCCAAGCTCGCCGCGCGGCACCCGGCGGCGCTCGCGCGTTTCGAATCCCGGACGCACTTTTGCGGGTACGAGGGACGCGCGGGGCTGCCCACGGACTTCGACGCGACGTACGCGTACGCGCTCGGGTGCGTTCTGTACACTGGTCCCCATACGACCGCGTCGGCGTGGTGAACGCCGATCCTTAAGGACTTTGCCCGGCGTTTCTCTCCGCCCACACCTCGCTTTCAATCCCCGACCTCGACGCCTTTCAACTCCAACTGACGCCTTTCAACTCCACCCCGACGTTCGCTCGTATAGATACGCCGCGGCGACGCTCGCCGTCGGCGGCGCGCGCGGCGTCGTCGCCGCGGTGACCAACCCTTGGGACGACCCGAAACGCTGGGATCTCTGGGGCGTGCCGCTCGCTCGGTTGATGGCGCCGGAGCGACGCTTCGGATGCGACCGGCTCGTGATTCGCAAGCGCGTCGTGGACGTCGACGGCGACGCGTTCCGGGCGTTCGCGCGACGACGCGAGCGGTGGAAGCTCTCGGACTGCTACGTCGTCCCGGGACCCGCGCAGCTGAGCGGGTTGAGAGGGTCCGAGCGCGAGTGGTTCGAGCGGCTTCCGATCACGCTGAGGCTTCGGCCGGGCGCGGCGTACCGACGCGCGTCCGCGGCGATGCAGGCGCGTTCTATATATACACTGGTCCCCATACGACCGCGTCGGCGCGGCGCACGCCGATCCTTGAGGACTTTTCCCGGCGTTTCTCTCCGCCCACCCCTCGTTTTTTTCAATCCCGACACGCCTCGACGCCTTTCAACTCCATCTGACGCACCCCTGAACTCCACCCCGACGTTCGCTCGTACGGAACGACCCTAACGACGCAGACGGCGGAGGGAGAAGCGCCGGCGTGGCGGTCGATCCAGGTGGAGGAGGGCGCGGGGGCGGACGAGCGGCAGCCGGGGTCGCCGCGGTGCGAGAAAGCGGGGGACGATCTGAAGCGCATGGTGGAGGAAGGCGCGGGGCTCGGCGCGTGGGCGGCGTGAGCGCGACGACGACGCGACGACGAAAGAGACGAACGAAACGAGAGACGAAGAAAGGAACGAACGAGAGAAGAGACGAAGACGGAGCGCTCCGCGCCGAAGGATGAATGAGGTGCGTTCTATACACTGGTCCCCATACGACCGCGTTCGCGTGGTGAACGCCGATCCTTAAGGACTTTTGCCGGCGCATCTCTCCGCCCACCCCTCGGTTTCAATCCCCGCCCTAGATGCCTTTGAACTCCTACTGACGCCTTTGAACTCCACCCCACCGTTCGCTTGTATAGAACGACCCTGAATGAAACGCGCATCGAATGCGACGCGACAAAGACTCGCACGACACCGCGCGATACTACATATAGTCGTCTAGGGTATCACTCTCGCGCGCTCGCTAGACGAGCTTCCCGAGCGGGGACCCGCCGACGCCGGCGCCCATCAACGGCACCCTCGCCTCGAAGTCGAGCTCGCGATCCCCCGCGGGTCCGTACAGCTCAACCTCCGCCTTCGTCCTCGCCTCGTCCGCGCTGACGATGGAGGGCGACGTTCTTCGGTCAGTCGAAAGGGGTCGCGATCTGCGACGTACGCGTGCGCGTACTGTTGAAACCGGGGGATGGGTGAAAAACGTGTGACTGCGGTGTAGTCTATACTGTATGGAAGTACTTCCGGAAGTACGACGCACCTCATGCTCCATCCGCACGCCGCGCACATGACGCCGCACGGCAACCAGAAACAAATCCCGAGCTTAAACGCGGCCTCGCGTCCAAGCCACGCGATCAACGCCGCGGACATGACCGGCCCGAACCCTTTCCCGAGGTCGTCCGTCAGGTTGAACCACGAGAACGCGGTCCCGCGCTCGTACGGCGGGTTCACGTTGACCGCCATCGCGCGCACGTTGACGCCCGTGACCGCCGCGAGGTTCCCTCCGACGAACGCCACGATCAGCTTGAACCCGAACCTTCGCGCGTCGAACGGCGCGTAGTCGTTCGACTCGATCAGATAAAGCCACGGAAAGATGCCCGCGACCGCGAAGGCGCCCATCGCGGCGGTCATGTACCACCCGCGCTCGTTGTACAGCCGTTGCCCGAGCCACCCCCCGAGTATCGTCCCGAACGCGCAACCCGCCGAAAACGTCATCATGAGCGTCGTCGCCAGCTGCACGCCTAACCCCTTCTCATTCGCGAGGTAATCGTTCATGAAGACGTTGATCACGCTCCACGGCACCGTCCCGGGGATCCCCTGCGTGAACCCAAGCGCGTTCGTCCGTCGCCGCCACACGTTCGCGGACTTCCGGATCCACTCCCTCGCCAGTCGCGTCGCCGTCTCCCGCGTCGACGTCGCGTCCGACGCGAAGAACGACGTCGTAACGCCCGCATCTGTACCGTTACTACCCATCTTCTTATCATCCACGCCGCCGCCGCCCGGACTCGCGCTCGGGCTCGCGCCTCCGCCGTCGCTGCCCCCGCGCCTCGGTTCCACCGCGTATTTATCCACCAACCACGCGACGCACAGCCCCGGGATCGCGACGAGGACGAACGGCGCGCGCCACCCGAAAATCGGACCCGCGTACCCGCTCACGCCCTGCCCAAAGATCACGCCCGCGTGCATGACGAGGCCGACCGTCCCGGACGCGTGCGATCGCGCCGTGGGCGGGAACAGGTCGCCCGCGATGGAGAACGCGAGCGGGAGCGCGCCGCCGACGGCGACGCCGGTCAGCGCGCGAAGGACGAAGAGCTGCCAAAACGACGTCACGAACCCCGCGAGCGCGCACGGCCCCTGACCGAGGACGACGGTCATCACGAGCAGGTCTTTGCGACGCGCGACGTCGGTCAGCACGCCGATGACGAGGCACGCGGGGAGGCCGAGGAGGAAGAATGCGACGGAGATTTGTCCGCCGAGCTTCGCGTCGCGCTCGCGCTCGTCGAACCCGAGGTCGTCCGCGATCGCGGAGAGGTTCGGGGCGAGCAGGTTTTGATCGGCGAAGATGCAAAACACCGCGGCGCAGAGGAGGAGGAAGCTCGTGGGGTCCGCGCACTCCGCGAGCGGGGAGGCGAACAGAGATCGGTCGCGCGGGCGCTTCGAGACGACGCGCGCCATGACGACGCGTCGAGCGAGACCGCGCCGCGACGTTTGAGGTGACGTCTGGAGAGCGCATCTCATTCTTTTACAGTAAAAAGTCGAAGAAGTTAACAGTGCGACCGCGCGCATCCTACTCGCCTCGAGCCTCACGACGCCTTCGGCAGGTCCCCCGTGTACAGCACCTCCCCGTCGCCCTCGAAGCTCTCGTACTCCCCGACGTCGCACAGCGCGAGGTGGTGATCCCCCGCGTGCTCGATCGACACGATCTTCAGCTCCATCACGCCCGCGACGTCCGCGATGGTGCGCACGCCGTACCGCTCCACGACCGCGATCCCGAAGTCGTCTCGCAGCGCCTTCATCTTGTCGCAGTCGTGCGCGCTGCGCTTCCCGAGCAGCTCCACGAGCGGCGCGTGACGCTTCCTCAGCACCTGAAGCACGCCGCGCCCGGTCGCGAGCATGTTGCGCGCGGTCGCCGTGTGCGTGTACAGCGCGACCGCCATCCGCCGCGACGGCTTTATCGTCACCGGACACGCGTAGGTCGTGATGTTCATGGACGCGACGCCCGCGCTGTCGCCCGCGGGGGAGGTGGGCGCGGTCGCGAGGCTGTACACGGGGACGGAGAGCGACGCGTACGGCGGCGGCGGCGGCGGCGGCGCGGGGGTCGTCTCCGCGTCCGCGTCCGCGTCCGCGGCGTCCGAGGAGGATTCCAACGCCGCGGTCGGCGCCGTGACGCGGTAGTTGCGCGGCGTCGGGCGGCGTCGCATCGCCATGAGCGACGCGCGTCGCAGCGCGTCGTCGACGCGCGCGGACGGGACCGCGTCGACTGCGGCGTCGCGCGACGACCGACCACCGCGGCGGGTTCGCTTCTTCTCGCGCCGCCGCGACGCGACGTGGACGCGGACGCCGACGCCGAGCCCGAGCCCGAGGGCGAACGACATCACCGGCCCGGGCATCGACGACGCGGCGCGAGCGGGGGGGGGCCCGCGCGCGCGAGAATCTGGCGACGATGTGCAGTGCGATGGACGGAAAACGCGATCTCGAACAGACTCGAAGAACGTTGAGTTCGAACGGAGAAGGAGAGGAATAATGTCGCGTCCGTCGATTCACGACTAGAACGCCGCGACGCCGACTCCGAACCTGACGCCGCTCATCGGCGCCAGCTCCTTCCACCGGTCCGCCCGCATGTCGTACACCTCCACGCTCCGCAGCCCCTCCTTCCCGTCGAACCCGCCCACGACGTACACCTCGTCGCCCGCGGACGCGATCCCGTGGAGCTGCCGCGGCGTGCGAAGCGGCGCCGCCGACGTCCACCGATTCGCGCGCGGGTCGAACACGTCCACGTCGCCCAGGTACCTCTGCCCGTCGTACCCGCCCGCGGCGACGACGCAGCGCCGGTGCTCGATCCCCGCGACGCCGTGGTCGCGCCGGGGCGCGGGCAGCGGCTTCACGCCCCACCACTGGTCCGCGTTCGGATCGTACGCCTCGACGACTGAGGTGCGTTCCATACAAAGCGATGTCGGGGTGGAGTTCATAGGCGTCAGATAGAGTTGAAAGGCGCCGAGGGCGGGGACTGAAAGCGAGGGGTGGGCGTAGAGATGCGCCGGGAAAAGTCCTTAAGGATCGGCGTTCACCACGCCGACGGGGTCGTATGGGAACCAGTGTAAGGAGAACGCGCCTGAGAGATAATTCGGCGCCGCGAAACCTCCGATCGCGTACAAGACGCCGTCGCACGCGGCCAACCCGAGCGTGCTGCGCCCGCTGGATAACGGCCGCGCGGTGTGCCACGTCCCCAACGCCGCTAGCGAGCCGATCTTCGCGTCGCGAGGGCCGGGTTGGTATACTTCGACGAGGTCCAGGTACTCCGCGCCGTCGAACCCGCCGACGGCGTAGGTGCGCTCGCCGACGGTGGCCGCCGCGAGCCATATGCGCGGTTTCGTCATCGACGCGACGACCCTCCACTCGTTCGTGGACGTCGTGTATTCCTGCGCGAGGGTGAAGAAGAAGAAGAAGAAGAAGTGTGCGATGGTTGGGTGGATGGATAAGTAACGGAAGGGATCGCGACGTTACGTCGTCAGTCGAAGCGCGACCGGGGCGGGGCGCGACCCAACCCGACCAAAAAAATCCAAACCGAAAAACCAAACAGAACGCGTAACACGTCCAAAACGAACGAGATCGTTCGCACCTCGACCGAGGACAGCGTGTTGCGACCGTCGCTCCCGCCGATCGCGAGCGCGCCGTCGCCTCTCCCCTTCGCCGCCACCGCGAGGTACCCCCGCGGCGTGGACATCTCCGGAAGCGTCTTCCAGCCCCCCGCGCCCGGCTCAGGGCCGTTCTATACGAGCGAACGTCGGGGTGGAGTTGAAAGGCGTCAGTTGGAGTAGAAAGGCGTCGATGGCGGGGATTGAAAGCGAGGGACCCTGGGCGGAGAGATGCGCCGGGCAAAGTCCTTAAGGATCGGCGTTCACCACGCGAACGCGGCCGTATGGGAACCAGTATATAGAACGCACCTCATACGCCTCCGCGGCGCGCGTGGGCGCGTCCGCGCGGCGCAACCCGCCGAGCGCGAGGACGACGGACGCGCCGGGGGGCGGCTTCTCGCCGACGCCGACAGCCCCTCGCGCGGAAGACGACGACGCGTGCGCGTACGCGTACGGGTCCGGTTCCGGATACGGATACGGATACGAACCGCCGCCGTCCGGGGGGATGCGAACCGCCCCCTCCCCTCGCGCGCCGCCGGGGAGGCCGCCGTACGTCGCGGCCTCGCGCGGCTCCGCGGGCCCGGTCCCGGGGCCCAGCGCCTCCCCGAAGCCGCCGCCGAAGCCGTAACTCGCCGCCTGCGCCGCCTGCGCCGCCTGCATCTGCACCAACGCCGCCGCCTGCGTCTCCGCGGTGGCGCGCGCGCTCGCCTCGCGAAGCTCTCTCTCCGCGCGCGTCCGCTCCGCCTTCTCCTGCTCCCGCTCTCGTCGCAGCTCCGTCCATCGAAGCTCGAGGTCCGCCTCTTGCTTCTCGCGGTGCGCCTCGAAGCTCTCGCGGTCGCGATGGAGGCGCTCGTGCTCGTGCGCGACGTCTCGCCGCGCCGCCGCGATCTGCGACAGCGCCGCGTCGCGCTCTGAGAGTCGAGGGTGTTTGCCCATAGGAAGCGAACGTCGGGGCGGAGTTCGGGGGCGCGTCAGTCGGAGTCGAAAGGCGTCGCGGCGCGTCGGGGATCGAAACCGAGTGGTGATGGGCGGAGGAACGACCGCCGGGAGAGAAAGTCCTTAAGGATCCGCGTTCCACCACGCGGACGGGGTCGTATGGGGACCAGTGTGATTAGGACGCGCCGGACGCCACCTCGGCGCGGATGTTGGCGACGGCGCGGCCGATGTCCTCGGAGAATGCGTTGACGACGCGATCGACGTGCTCCATCGCGGCGACGAGGCGTTCGCTGCCGCTCGCGCCGCTCAGCGTCGCGAGCGGCGCGAGCAGCGGATGGCCTTCGTACGCGCGCGGGTGGGCGCTCGCGGTCGTCATCGCGTTCGCGGTCGCGGCGGCGGCGGGTATGGCGGCGGCGGACGGCTGCCCCCCCGTCTGCTGTCTCCTGCCGTCTTCCATCCGTTGCGCTTCGAGGATGAGCTTCGACGCCATCGCGAGGCGCTGCTTCTCGAGCTCGATCTCTCTGCGTTGGAGTTCGAGGTCGCGCGCCTCCGCGCCCGCCGCCGAGGGAGGAGGATGGTGGTGTTGTTGTGGATGCGTCGCCTGCTGCTGTGGTGGCTCCGTTTGTTCCGCGTCGTGCTCATCCCGCATCTGCTGCTGCTGCTGCCGCGCGTCGTCGTCGTCGTCGTCGTCGTCGTCGTCCGACTCCGTGTACTGCGACTCCGTGTACTGCGACGACGACGCGCGCGATCCCAATCCCCGCCCCTGCAATCCCCGCCCCTGCATGACGACGCGCTCCGGCGTCGCCGAGATCCTTCGTTCGTCTTCTTCTTCGCTTCAACGCGATCGCTCGCTCGCGCCTCGCTCCACCTCACGCGACGACGCGATTAGCGAGCTTCGCGGCCGCCCTCGCGCGTCGCTCGAGGCGCTCTCTCCACCCCAGATACGCGGACAGAAGGCCGAGAGTGACGCCGAAGCCGAGGAGGCGCCAGGGTTCGAGCGCGAACGGGAGGAACGCGGCGACGTCCATCAATGCGACGCCCTTCGTTTCCGCGCGGTTTTTGAAACAGAAAGTTCGCGAGCGCTCCCTTCCAGTCCGCGAATAACAGAAGGAAAGGCGGAACGAGACGAAGTCTCCCCGGCTCGCTCGTCGCTCGCGAAGGCGACGCTCGTCTCCGAACGTTGGCGTTCGCGCGTATCTACAAAGTCTACGACGGACGTACGAAGCGGCGGCGGCGTGGCGGCCGCGGCTCTCTCTCTCTCACACGCGCGCGCGCGCGCGCGAGCTCGACTCTCGCGCTCGCTCGCGCGGCGCCTCCGCGCGCGCGCGCGCGAGCTCAACTCTCGCGCTCGCTCATCACGGCGCCTCCGCCGCCGCCGCCGCCGCGCGCGCGGGCGGCTTCGGCCTCTCGGTATCCTCGGCGTCGGCCGTCGCGGCGGCGCGCGGCGCGTCCTTCTCCTCCGCCTCCGACGCGGGCGCCGGCGTCGGCGTCGGCGTCGGCGTCGGCGTCGGCGCCGCGAGCGACGTCTCCAGCGCCGCCGCCGCCGCCGTCGTCGTCGTCGCCTCCGGGTAGTACGGCCGCAGCGCGTCCACCTCCGGGAACTTCTCCGCCGCGCTCCACGCCGCGAGCGTCCGCACCCACTTCGTCCCCGCCGCGTCCGCGTCGCGGACGCCTTGATAGGGAAAGACGGCCGCGCACGGGGCGACGCCGGCGATGAGAAGCGCGAGGATCACCGCGGTGAACGTCTCCGTTCGCGCGGGTCGGTACGGCGGGACGGTCGTCTTCGTCTTCGTCGTCGCGCGCGGCGGTCTTGCGGACGGTCCGCGCGCGGGCGTCGCGCCGGCGCGCGCTTCCTCCTCGCGCGCGGTGTCCTTGCGCGCGGGCGGCGGTCGCGGCGGCGTCGCGGTCTTGGCTTCTTCCTCTTCGTTGAGGCGCGCCCTCTGCTCGGCTAAGATCTGCGGCGTCGGGTTCGGACCGGGGTACGGACCGGGGTTCGGGGAGACGTACAAGCTGCTCATAGCTCGAGTCGAGGCGGCTCGCGAAGATGAAGACGACGAAGATGAAGAAGAAGCGGCGGGGCGTGCGGCGGCGACGGGCGCGCGACGGGGACTGACGCGCGGCCGCGGCGCGGGAGACGACGACCACGACGACTGACGACGTCGACGACGACGACGACGTCTCGGAAGCGCCGATAAGTAGATACGATAAGAGCGCGGGCTATCCGATGAAGAACGTCCGGCGCGACGCCGACTCTGTGCATGACAACAGTACAACGTACACCGCCTCTGCTATGCCCCTCGTCCGGGTCGTCTCTCGGACCTCGCTCACGGCGCCGCCGCCGGCGCTTCCGCCTCCTCCGGGTAGTACGGTCGCAGCGCGTCCACCTCCGGGAACTTCTCCGCCGCGCTCCACGCCGCGAGCGTCCGCACCCACTTCGTCCCCGCCGCGTCCGCGTCGCGCCTCCATTGATACGGAAACACGGCCGCGCACGCGACGACGCCGGCGAGGAGGAGGACGAGCACGACCGCGGTGAAGGTTTCCACGCGAGCGGGTTCGTACGGCCGAACGCCGCCGGCCGCGCGGGCGACGCGCGAGCGCGCGGTCTTCGCCGCGGCCGCGTGGTCGCCGTCGCCGGTCAGAGCGACCGCGGTGTCCGCGCGGTCGACGCGCGGCGCGGCGGCTCCCGCCGCCGTCGGCGCGCCGGTCGCGTCGTCGCCGTTCGAGCTGTCGCCGTTGCCTCTTTCGTTGGCTTTCTTCTTCTCCTCTTCGCCGAGGCGCGTCCTCTGCTCGGCTATGATCATCGGCGTCGGGTTCGGGTACGGGCCCGCCATGATGACGCGCGCGGCGTGGAGTGACGCGCGGCGGGCGGACGACGACGTCGCGAGCGCCCCGCTCGGTCGTCCGAGGCGTCCTCTCGCCTCGCGCGCCTCGAGGGAAAACGTGGGGGAACGAGAAAAAACGCGAGCCGGTCCGACGAAAACGAAAGGCTCGTCCGCGGGGGAACGACGCGCTGCGGTGAGCGCGCGCCACTTCCGCGCGCGCTCCGTCGCGCGTCGCGCCAGCCCGCCGCCCGCGCATGCGCCCGACGCGCCTGCGCGCGCCGCCCGACGCCGCGCTCGTGCTCGGCCGCCTCGAGACGCGCGAGGGCGGGTGCTTCGACGTCGTCGCGACGCGCGCCGCGGGCGCGCGCGCCGCGTTTCCCCCACTCGCGACCGCGACGTCGTGCGGCGACGCGGACGCGGACGACGCCGACGCGCGACGACGCTTCGCGCTGCGCGTCGACGGCGCCCCCGACGCGATCGTCCTGACCGTCGCCGCGCGCGATACCCCCAACTGCGTCCTCGCGCGACGCACCGTGCGCCTCGCGGAGGCGACGCGCGCGGGCGCGGAGCTGCGACTGACGCTGCCGTCCGCCGCGGCCGCGTGCGCGCCGTCGCCGTTCCTCCTCCCGTTCGCGCTCGCGCCGTTCGTCGCGCTCTTCGCGGCCGCGTGCCTCGCGATCGCGACGCTCGCGATGCGCGGCGTCGCGACGACGCCGCGGATCCCGCCGCGGACGCCGCGACGGCCGGCGGCGCTCACGGCGGACGCCGCGGCCGCGCCGTCCTCGCGCGAACTCTCGCGACGCGAAGAGGGGTTCCTTCGCACGCCCTCGGAGGACGACGACGACGACGACCTGTGCTGCGCGCGACCCGGCGGGTTCCTCGACCCCGACGCATGCGACGTCGACTGGGCGATCCACGCGAGGGTCGTCCCCGGGCTGACGCGCGTCGAGGCGGACGACCGCGATCTCGTCGCCGCGTGGCTCTCGTCGCCGCCGAACGCGCCCCCGGGTCTCCGGACGCGCGAGCAGTCGCCGTGGTCCGGGACTGAGAGCGACGACGACGACGACGACGACGACGACGACGAGACGACGGAGACGACGACGGTCGCGGAGACGGAGGAGGAAGGCGAGGCGTCGGGGGTCGTCGCGGCGACGGAGAGCGTCGGCGGCGGCGGCGGCGGCGGCGGCGGCGGCGACGGCGACGGCGGCGGCGACGGGCTCGAGTGCGACGAAACCCTCAGTCGCGAGGACTCTCCGTCGACGGCGCCGACGGAGCGACGACGCGCGGGGCGCGGGGCGAGGAGGCTCCGCGGTGGTGGTGGCGCGCGACGACAACAACATGAAACGCATCCGCCGTCGCCGTTTCAACTGCACATGTGGGGCCGTCACCGCGACGAGGACGCGAAGCACATCCTGCTCGACGTCTCGCGCTGCGCGAAATTCGTCGGCGCGAAGCTGATGATGTTCACGCGCGGCTCTCTGTGTCAGATCACCGGGCTGCCGCTGCGTCGCGAGGCCGCGAGCGCCGCCGCGCGGTGGTCGCGGAGGACGGAGACGGGGACCGCGGTCTCGGACGCGGAGACGATGGATTTCGGAAGGATGACGTTCACCGCGAGAGAATCGCACCTGTCGCGGACGCGCGCCGCCGCCGCCGCCGCGGACGCCGACGACGCGAGGTACGCCGCCGCCGCGGCCGCGGACGGCGCGTTCGAGCGCGCGAGAGACGCCGCGGCGCCGCCGGCGACGACCGCCGGCGCGACGTCCTGGTGGACGAGGGATCGCACCGGGAGATTGACGAAGGATGACGACGACGCGGACGCGGTCGGAGAATAAGGTGCGTTCTATACACTGGTCCCCATACGACCGCGTTCGCGTGGTGAACGCCGTTCCTTAAGGACTTTTCCCGGCGTGTCTCTCCGCCCACCCCTCGGTTTCAATCCCCGACATCGACGCCTATCAACTTCAACTGACGCCTTTCAACTCCACCCCGACATTCGCTCGTATAGAACGCGCCTAAATAAAAAAAATGACGCGACGGACGACGACGGAGGACGCGCGAAACGGACGGGTGTGCATTATGTTGTGAATTACTGACGAACGACGATACGGCACGCGTTCTACTCGACGTCATCGCCTCGTCGTCCATCTCCCAACCCAGCCCATCCCATCACCGGTCATCGCACGAGCCACGTCGGCGTCGCGCGCTGCTGTAAATACATCACCGCCGGCCGCGCGTCGAACAGCCCCGAGTCTTCGCGTTCCGTCGCCACTCTGCTCGCGTGCGAATGCGTCGCGCGCGTGAGCCGCCCCGGGTCCGACGTCATCTCCGCGGGCTTCCCCTCCGCCATCCGTCGCTTCGCCGCGAGGTGCCGCGCCGCCGCCAGCTGTCGCGCTTTGCGCTCCTCCAGCGCTTTATCCTTCGCCCTCGCCAGCGTCGCCTTATCCCGCGCCGCCTGAGGGTCGTTCGTTCCATACGAAGCGAACGTCGGGGTGGAGTCGAAAGGCGTCAGTTGAAGGAGTTGAAAGGCATCGAGGTGTGTCGGGATCGAAAGCGAGGGGCGATGGGCGGAGAGACACGCCGGGAGAGAAGTCCTTAAGGAACGGCGTTCACCACGCGAACGGGGTCGTATGGGAACCAGTGCGAGGAATACGCGCCTGGAGCGCCTTTTTCGCCAGCCGCTCGCGCTCAGCCTTGGCCGACGCTTGCGACGTCGGCGGCGCGCTCGGGATGAGCGCCGCGGCAGCCTTCTCCGCGGCGATCCTCGCGTTCTCCGCGGCGGCGACGCGCGCTTGCTCGCGCCACGCGTTCCTCGCATCGCGCTCCGCGCGCTCAATCTTCTTCAACCGGAGCCGCTCCGCGCGCGCCTCCGCCGCCGCCGCGTCGTTCGCCGCGGCGCACAGCTTGCGGTTTTCCTCCTCCGACCGCTTCTTCTCCTTCCACTCGCGCAGCGCCTCCTTCTCTCGCGAGCGCTGCGCGGCGAGCTCCGCGGAAGCTTTGGTAGCGCGAAGGCGCTCCTTCGCGTCGTGCTCCGCGTCGAGCTTCGCGCGGTGCGCCGCCGCGGCTTCTCGTTGCTTCGCGCGCCATTTTTTCACCGCTTCCTTCTTCTTCTCGAAGAGATCGTCCCTCGCCGCGTCCCATCGCGCGTGTCGAATCACCTCCTGCCGCTCGATCCCGAACGCCGACAGCTCCTCCGCGGCGAGGAGCACCGCGGCGCCGTAGTTCATGTTCGCGCGCGAGAGACAGCGCCGCCAGCGCGCGTGGTCGACGTCCGCCCATCCGCCCGTGGGGCCAAACTTTTCGACGTAGTCGTCGTGATCCGTCACCGCCTTGGGCACCGTCTCTCCGCGCGCTCCGTCCCGGGCGGCGTCGTCGTCGTCGAGTCCGTCGAGGACGGGGGTGCCGTCCAGGAGCACGCGCGTCGTCTTCGCCGGCGGCGGCGACGCCGCGGAGAGCGCGGACTTCGCCCACGGGCCGAGAGACGCCCTGTCCCCGCCGCGCGCCGCCGCCGCCGCCGCCGCCGCCGCCGTCTTCGGCCGCGTCCCTCCTCCGCCCGGGCTCGGGCTCGGCGGCGACACCGCGAACGGCGACGTCGCGACGGACGGCGTTCTCTTCGCGATGGACGCCGCGCCCCCAACCGTTCTCTTCTTCGCGGGCGTCGTCGTCGTCGCGTCGCGCGTCCACGGCTCCACGCCCGCCTTCGCCGTCGCCGGCCGCCGCGGACGCACGTACGGCCCCGGCTTGGTCCCCGGCTTTTTACTCCCCGCCAGCCGCGTCGCCGCCGCCGACGTCGACGCCGCCGCCTCCTCCTCCCACGTCGGGTCGTCCACCCGCTGCGCGAAGTCCTCGCAGTACCTCGTGAGTTCCTTCTCCTCCTTCAGCAGCGCGTCGAACGCGCGCCTCTGCGCGTCCTTCAGACCCACGATCTCGCGCTCGGCGTCGTCCATGAGCGTCGCCAGCCGGTCGACGTACTCTGAGGGTCGTTCCATACGAGCGATTGTCGGGGTGGAGTTGAAAGGCGTCAGGTGGAGTTGAAAGGCGCCGAGGGCGGGGATTGAAAGCAAGGGATGAGCGGAGAGACACGCCGGGCAAAGTCCTTAAGGATCGGCGTTCACCACGGGAACGCGGTCGTATGGGGACCGTTGTATAGAACGCGCCTGAACCGCTCGCGACGTTGGCCACGTGGAGGCCCAACCCGACGACGTTCGATCGCACGCGCTTTAAACGCGCCGCGAGGTCCGCGCGGAGTTCGTCCTGGTCCTCCTCCGCGGCCGCGGCGCCGTGCGTCGCGATGGGTTCGACGTCGGGCGGAAGACGCGCGCGGGCCGCGGCGGATGAGATCGCCGTCTCGAGCTGCTTCTGTTTCCCTCGGAGCGTCGCCGCGTCGGCGATCCAGGCTCTGACTTCGGGCGCGACGCCGGCGCCGGGTTTCGTCGCGGCGGCGGATGAGGCGGCGTTCGCGCATCGCGGCGCGGCGTTCGTGGACGTCGGCTTCTTCTTCTTCGGCGGCGCGGGCTTCGCGAGCGGGGCGCCGGTGAGCAAATCTTGAATCTCGCCCTCCTCCTCCTCCTCCGCCTCTTCCGCCTCCGCCGCCGCCGCCGCCTCCGCCTCGTCCTCCTCCTCGCCGGAGTGGACGTCCTCGTCCCATCCGCCGCCGCCCTTCTTCGGCGACGGCGTCCCCGGGCCGAGGTCCGCGCCGTCCGCGTCGACCCACTCGTCGATCTCGTCCTCGTCCAGCGCGTCGACTTCCTCCGCGACGTCCGCGCCCTCGGAGTAGTCGTCGTCGTCCGCCTCGACGTCGACGTCCTCCTCCTCGGATCCCCAGTCCGCGGCGAAGTGTCCGCTCGCGTCCGCGACGGTGAACAGCGTCTCGTCGTCGTCGCGCGGCGGCGTCGTCGTCATCGTGAGGCGCGCGAGCTCGTTCGCGTGCGTGCGCGCGTGATGAACGCCGCGCGCGCGCGAGTGCGGTTCGTCGTCGCACGGCATCGTCAAATTTTGAATTTCGTGTTGACATCGCTCCTTACTGAACGCCATACGAGAGTACGCGAAAACGTACCGTACGCAAAATGACGACCGCGGTGCGTTTCGCCCCAGCCGCCCCTCGCCACGCCTCGCCGCCCGCGCCCGCCGCACACCGCCGACGCGCGCGCCCCACCCCTCGCGCGCATCGCGCGGCGGAGAGATGCCACGGCGAGATTCGAAAGCGAGCGGCGGCGCCGGCGCGCTGTCGTTCTTCCAGAGCCTCAGCGCGTCCGAGCGCGCGGAGCTGCTGGATATCGCGCCGATGCTGCGCGGCGTGCGCCACGAAGCTCCCCCCGTCGATCCCCCGACCGAGCGCGTCGGCGACGTCCTCGGCGTCGTCGGCGGCGGCGACAGCAGCGACGACAGCGACGCGTCCTCCGGCGCGGACGACGACGACGACGAGACCGGGACCGGGACGACGCGCGCGGCGGGGGCGCGCCGCGCGAGGAGGAGGAGGAGGGACGCGGACATCGAAGACATCGACGACCGCGCGATCGCGAGCGCGACCGCGACGACGCCGGCGACGATCCGAAGAGGGGTCATCAAGACGCCTCTCACGTCGACGTCGACGCGCGCCGGCGTATCCGGCGGCGCGTCGCCGTACGCGCCCTCGGACGTCACGCGCGACATCGCGAACCGCGAGTCCGACCTGCGGTTCGAGGTGGAGCGCCTGCGCGCGACGAACGCGCGCCTCGAGAGCGAGTGCGACGCCGCGAGAGCGCGCCTCGACGCGTCCAGGCGCGCGCACCTCGCGACGGAGTGCGCGCTGACGGAGCAGACGCGAGCGCTCGACGACGCGAGGACGCGCGCGATCGGCGAGGGCGCGATGCGCGCGGGCGCGGCGGAGGACGCGTGCGCGCGGCAACGGCGGATGCTGCGAGATCTCGCCGTGGCGTCCGAGGGATTGGCGCGAGACAACGCGGCGCTCTCCGCCGAGTTGGACGCGTGTCGCGCGCGGCTCGAGAGGAGCTGCGAGGACAACCGCGCGCTCCACGACAAGGTGCGCAGCGCGCAGCGGCTGTATCTCGCAGGGCAGAGGGACGCGGAGGCGCGCGTCGAGGAGGACGACCTCCGCGGGGGGTGGGCGCGGAAGATGGACGCGCTGTGCGCGAACGAGGCGCTGTCCGAGTCGCGGCCGCCGGCGTCGTTCACGGGGGTTCGTAACGCTCGATCTTTGAGCGTTACTGGCGGCAGCACGCCGCCGGCGACGACGTCCAGGAGCGACAACCCGAACAGCACGAATCGACACGTCGCGGGGGATCTCTTCCAGGAGCGACAGAAGCTTCGGCACGAGGTGAGTCGGTTGACGCGGCGACTGCGCGACGCCGCCAACCGCGCGTCAAACGCGGAGGAGGAACTGCGACGCGTGAAGGAGATCGCCGCGGAGCGACGAATGGCGGACGCGCGGCGACGCGATCGCGATCGGAAGCAGCTCGCGGGCGCGGTCCGGCGGCTGCGGTGGCTCGTGGAGCGCGTGTCGTCGCTCGAGTCCGCGGCGAAAGAGACGGATCGATACGTGGAAGCGTTGGAAGGGAAGCTGCTGAAAGCGCACGCGCGCGCGATCAATCGCGCCAAGACGGCGAAGCTGAAGTCACACACCCCGATCGCGTCGATGGGCAGGGGCGAGATGGCGTACACCCTCGGCGCGGCGGGCGTGGGGGGGACGGAGTGGGGACGAAGAATCGCTTCGCCGCGGTTCGCCGCCGACTACGCGGACGACGACGGCTCCGAGGCGGACGAGTTACTGGACGGGTTGAATCCTCCCGGTAACTCGACCGCGAGCGGGGTCGGGGGGGTGGGTCGCCGGTTCGGATCGCGCGAGCGCGAGCGCGGCGGTGCGCGAGGCGCTGGCGATGGCGAGGCGCGCGAGGGAGGAGGGGGAGGTCGAGACTGACGGCGACGACGGCGACGGGGGCGGCGATTGCGGCGGCGGCGGCGACGGCGGCGAGACGTCGAACGAGGACAAACCCGGCGGCGGCTCGACGGCGACCGCGGCGTACAAAGAACGCCGACGCGCGCGTTCGAGCCCGGGGCAGAGAGAGTCTCGACCGGGGACGGCGTCGCCGATCGCGATGACCACCGCGTCCGCGGATGAGCTCACGTTGCGCGACGTCCGCGAGTACGTCGAAGGACTCGACGTCGAATCCGAGGGAGGATGACGTGTCAGAACGCGCGCGCGAGACGTGTGCGTTACGATTGACTTCACGATCGATAGACGCGCGCTATCGTGAGGTACCTAACGTGTTACTCGATATTAATTAAGATGATAGAACTACTCGTACAAACGCCGCGCGCGTCGCGGCGTCAGAAGTCGTCCACGCGAAAGTTTTTCACGATGGCTCGGAACAACTCGTAATCCCCCGGCTGCGCTTTATCTTCCGGCATCTGACACACGACGGAGACGACGTCGCGCCGCTTCAACTTCCTCGCGCCGCCGATCTGCCCCGGCCCGATCGCGCTGACGCCCCAAAACCGAAACGGATACACGGACTCGGTCCTGAACTCGTAGTAGTAATACTTCCCGTCTTCGCTGACGCTCGACTCGAGGATCTCGCTCACCGCGCCCGTGGGCCCCGCCTTCGCGCCGGGCGACCCTCTCACGGGCGCGAACTTCGTCGCCTCCGCGATCGCGTACGCCGTCGGCGATTCGTATCCCGCGCTCTTGACGTCCTCGGCGTCGGAGTCCGCCAGGTTCCGCACGCGCTCGCCGTCGCCCGGGACGCGCCCGACGGGCGTCGTCGCGACGCGGAACCGCCGTCCGCCGTACTCGCCCACCGGATGGAACTCCGGGACGTTCGCCATCGGCTGATCCCTCGCCCACCCGTCCGGGATGGACACGACGTACCCGCTCGTGTCGTCGTGGTACGGCGTCAGGGTGACGTCGCCGACGACGAGCTTTTCCGGCGCGGAGGTCGAGGACGAGGACGAGGACGAGGACGAGGACGAGGACGAGGACGAGGACGAAGACTCCGCCGGCGGCGCGTCGTCGACGACGACGTCGTCCGCGTCTGCGATCGCGACGGCGGCGCGCTCGGGCTCGGGCTCGGGCGCGCGCTCGTCCGCGCGCGCCGGCGCGCGCGCGAACGCGGCGGACGCGAGGAGCGACGCGGAGAGCGCGAGCGTCTCGCGGCGCGGCAGCGTCGCGGCGGCGGCGTCGACGATCGGCGGGTGCCGTTCGTCGGACTCGGAAGCCCCGCGCCGATGACAGGGACGACAGCGCGCGCCCACCGCGGTCCGCCGACAGCGCGCGGAGGAGGAGGAGGAGGAGGAGGACGACGACGACGACGACGACGACGACGACGCGCGGCCGGCGACGCGCCCGCGCGCGATGGACGCCGGCGCGACGGCGATGGCGGACATCTCGCCGAGGAGGGGCGGCGTGGTGTGGCGATCGGAGGGTCGAGGGGTCGAGGTTTGGATACCGACGGCTGCTACGACAGGTATGATAACAGCAGTGGTATTCGCGGCCGGGGGGCTCTACAGTACGCGAACTAACTACGCCCCCCCCGCCCTCGCACCACGGGCTTATACGCCTCCTGCAACTTCCGGACGTACTCCCTGACCTCCCCCCCCGTCCCCTCGAACACCACCCTCCCGCCGTCCATGTACGCCGCGCGGTCGCAGTACCGTAACTCCTCCAGTCGATGCGTCACCCACACCGCCGTCACCTTCTCTCCGTCCACCACCCCTCTCACCGTCTTCACGACGTCCATCTGATCCGCCTCGTCCAGAAACGTCGTGAGCTCGTCCAGGAGCATCACCCGCGGGTTCTCCACGAGCACGCCCGCGATCGCGACGCGCTGCTTCTGCCCCCCCGAGAGCGTCGCGACTTGTTTATCCAACCACTCGTCGCCCTTCAAATTCACCGCCGCGAGCGCGGCGCGGACTCTGTTCATCACCTCCTCCGCGGTCAAATCCGCGCGCTTGATGCTCAGACCGAACGCGACGTCCGCGCCGACGGAGGGCATGATGACCTGGTGGTCCGGGTTCTGGAACACGAACGCCTGCGGCGACGTGACGCGCAGGCGGCCGCTCCACGGCTCGGAGAGGCCCGCGAGCGTTCGAAGCAGCGTGGACTTGCCGCAGCCGTTCGGGCCCAAGAGCATGTAGAGCGTGCCTCTCGGGACGCGGAGCGTCGCGCCGCGGAGCGCGTCCTTCGGCGGCGCGGACGAGTTCTTCGGCGCGGGGTATCTGACGTACAGGTCTTCCACCTGCGGTCGCGGGAGGAAGGGAGCGAGGGAGGATCAACAGAAGCGACGAGGACGACGAGGACGACGGGCGGGGTCCGCGGACGCGACGCGACGCGACGCGACGACGCGCGCGCGCACCTCGACGCCGTACGGGTTCTCTTCTCGCCGCCGCTCGCTCTTCGCGCCGCCGGACGCGGTCGCGCCTTCGGCGGGCTCGGACGCGGACGCGCGCGCCGCGCACCGGCGACCGCGATGAGCGCGCGTCGTCGCGCGGGTCGCGCCTCGAGATGCGACGCCGACGCCGACGCCGACGCCGGCGTCGCGCGCGCTCGCGTCGCGTCCGCGCGTCCCCGCGCCGCGAGCGCGCGCGACGACGCTCGCCGCGAGCGCCGGCGAGATGGACGCCATGCGCCGGACGTCCGCGCGCGAGTGTCCCCCGCCGCGCGCTCCGCGGGAAGTGCGCGTGCTGCAGTGCGTCTGCTCGTAAGCCGTCGCCTGTAGTGAGCCTGAGGGCGATTCCGAACAAAAAAGTTCACCGGTCAGTTAAAAGTAGACGCGATCAAATGTTGAAACCGAGGGATGGGTGAAAAACGTGTCAACGCAAGCGACGCCAGCGCCAGCAGCTGTGCGTCTTTCTTTGGACTCTAGATTTTTTCTGAGATGACGTCGCGCGATCGCGCGCGCACTTCCTCGCGCGCGTCTTGCCGATCGCGAGTGCGCGGAGGGCGCCATGGGCCGTCATCAACCCCCCCCCGGCGTCGGCGCGGTCGCCATGCCCGGGAGCAAGAAGGACAAGCAGGAGGGCCGCAAGGCGTACACGAACACGTGGGCCGCGGGAGACATACACAAGGCGTGCTGCGCGAACCCGGGGTTCTGCTGCGTCGCGCTCTTCTGGTGCGTCCACCGCGCGCCGTCGCGCGTCGACCCGCCCGCGCGAAGTTCGTTCCGGCGCGAGTATTCTACGATCGAGGTCGAGAGCGCGTTTCGAGGCGCGATCGCGCGGACGCGAGGCGCCCTTCGACCCGCCGCGACCGCGACGTCCGTTGGAGGCATTTGAAAAAAAGAAAGGACCTTCTTCTCTGACGCGCTTCTCCCCCCTCCCCTCCCCCCCTCTCCCCAGCCCATGCTGCGTCGCGTACTCCCAGCGCAAGACCCTCATGTTCGGCGACCTCACGAACTACACGTGCTGCAACGGCGACATGTGCATCTCCGGCAAGGTCGGGGAAAAGAACTGCCCGGAGTTTTGCCTCTGCTGCGAGGTCACCTGCTGCTTCGCCTCCGCGGTGGCCACCTCGCGCTTCATGATCCAAGACGAGATGCGCGTGGAGAACACCAAGTGCGACAACTGCATCATCGGCTTCATGATCTGCCTCCAGCAGCTCGCGTGCATCTTCAGGATCGCCGCGTGCATCACCCAGAACGAACAGATCGAACGCTGCGCGGACATTCTCGACTGCGTCGCCGATTCCGTCTACTGCTCCGTGTGCGCGTGCATGCAGACGCAGCAGCACGAGCAGATCAAGCTGCGCGACCCCGCGGCGAGGGCGCCTGGGGAGATCCAAGGCGCGATGCAGCCGCCGTCGAGGCAGACCATGGTCTTGGGCGCGGCCGCGGGCGGCGCCGCCGGCGGCGCCGCCTACGCCGCGTCCAGGCCGCCGCCGCAACAGCAGCAGCAGCCGCCGCCGCAGCCCGGGTACGGCCAGCCCGCGTACGGCCAGCCCGCGTACGGCCAGCCCGTGCAGCCCGGGTACGGCCAGCCCGCGCCCGCGTACGGTCAACCCGCGTACGGTCAGCCCGTGCAGCCTCAGTATCAGCAGCCGCCGCCGTACAACCCGGGGCAATACCAGCAGCCGCCGCCGCAACAGCAGCACTACTACGGCCAGCAGAGGTAGGTACTGAGCGAACGACGTACACGCACGGTGGGATCGTACACGTACAGTAGGTACGATGTGAACATACGAACGCGCGCGAGGACGACGAGATGTTGTACATAGATAGCCGCGAGCGAGAACGCGTTCGTTTTCATGATGATTTGATAAGTTGTCGGGTCAAAGAAAGAAAAAGCGACCGCTCGTCAGTTCGACGCGGACTCTGCGAACGTCTTCATCGCGTCCAAGGTGGCGCGCAGCGCGTCTCCTCGCCGCGCCGTCGCCGCGGCGGCGTTCACCGCCTGCCCGAGCCCGGTCGCGGTCGCCTCCACCTCCGCGGCGGCGAAGTTGGACGTCTTCGCGAGTAACTTGGACGCGACCGCCGCGCACGCCGTGTCGAGCTCGGCGTCGGACATCGCCATCGGCGTCGCGACGTCGCCTGATTGGTTCTCAGTCGCCATGTCAGCGTCCATGTCAGCATTGGCGTTCGCCGCGTCGGCCACGGCCTGCGCCGCGTCCGCGGTCGTCTTCGCCGCGTCCGCCGCCTCCTCCGCGGCTTTCAACGCCGCCTCCGCGACGGCGGCTTCCGCTCGCCTCGCCGCCTCAGCCTCCGCCTCCGCGAGCGCCGCCGCCTCCTTCGCGGCGACTTCCTCCCTCTGCCGCTTCGCCCTGAGCTCCCTCGCGAGCGCCTCCGGGTCGGGGACGTACCCGGGCATGCTGAAGACCTCGCGCGAGCGCTTGTCCCCGGCCGCGCCGCCCTCGCCGCCCTCGCCGCCGCCGACGCCGCCGCCGCCGCCGCCGCCGCCCTCGCCGCCGCCGACGCCGCCGCCGCCGCCGTGAGCGCCCTCGCCGAACCCTCCTCGTCGGCTCCGTCGCTCGCCGCGGTCCGCCTCCCCGGGCATGACCGGCAGTGCGCTCCCACTCGCGCCCGCGCGCGTCGCGCGATGCCTCGCGATCGTCGCGCACCTCTGCACGAGGCTCGGGTCGAGCTGCCCGACGAGCTCTTGCACCGTATCCTCCAGCGCGTGCGCTCTGGACACGAACCTCCGACCTTCCAAGTCGACGCCGCCGCCGCTCTCCTCTTCGTTCGCGTCCGCGCCCAAGCCCCAGTAGATCTTCTGCCCGGAGACGATCAGGTGGACGTCCTTCAGGAACGCGTCCACGGTGAGGTACGCGCCGCTGTCGACGCGGTATAAGAGCGTGGAGAGGTCCATCGGATCTTTGACTTGTTTCGAAAACCCCGGGAGGTCCTCCTCGGACGCCGGGACGCTGAAATCCGCCCACTGCTTCTTGTACAGCAGCCTCGTGACGAGGTCTCTCAGGAACATGCGTTGCTGTCGCAGCGCGTGGTCCTCCTCCGCGATCATCGCCGCGGTGGCCTTGTCGCCGTCCTCGCCGACGCCGCCGCCGACGCCGCCGGAGCCGTCGCCGCCGCCCTCGGAGACGGCGCCCGCGGGGGGAGCCTTCTGGAGCACCTCCGGCGCCCTCTTCGCCTTCTTCTTCTTCTTCCCGTTCTCCGCGCCCGTCGCGCGCGCGTCCGACGCGCGCGCGCCCTTCAGCGCCGCGGTCGCGATCGGCGTGAAGTACGCGCGCTTCGCGTCGTCGCTCGGCGGCGACAAATCGACGCGTTGATCCGCGGAGAATAACCCCGCGGCTTCCGCGTCGAGCTCGTCCCACGCGCAGTCGCACGTCGCGAGCAACAGCAGCGGGAGGTCGGAGGGGACGTCCTCCATGAGCGTCCGAAGCGTCGCGCGCAGCGTCGGCGACGCGCTGTCCCACCACAGTCGCAGGTGCGGAAGGAAGAGCACCGCGGGCGCGGCGCGTCTCGCCTCGACGACGGCGCCGACGAGCGCCTCCTCTTGCGAGCGGCCGCCGTCGGCGAGGAGCGACGGGAGACCGACCGCGTGTACCGGGAACGCCTCGAGCTCGTGGAGCAGCGCCGCGCCGAGGGGGACTTGCCCGCACCCGGGCGGGCCGCACAGGAGCATCCGCGGCTGGCGCGCGAGCGGGCAGTTGATGAACTCGAGCGCCGCCGTCGCCGACGCCGCCGCCTCGGACGCCGCGGAAACGACGCCGTCGACGTCAGTCTTCGTCTTCGTCTTCTCCGCATTCGTCGTCGTCATCGCGCCGCCGCCGCCGTTGAGCTCCTCGAGAAGCTCCGCGTCGTCGTCGTCGTCGTCCAGGTCGTCGAGGTCGAAAACCTGCCCCGGGCGCGCGCCGACGATGGGCCCTCCCGGTCCGCCCGCGTCCGCGCCCTCCATGTGCGCCGCCGCCGCCATCGCCGCGGGCGGGAACGCCCGCCGCGCGTGATCGACCGCCTCTCGCAGCGCCGGTCCGAGAAGCGGCGATCGCAGCGGGCCGAGCGGGCGCGCGTGCGCTTGCGCGGCGCGGTGCGACGCCGGCGTGATGGCCTCCATGGCGTATCGAAAATCAACCCGCGACGGGACGACTTGCCCGGGGTCGATGACGAGCTTATCGTCGCTCTCGTAAATCTGCGGGTATCGCCTCCTGAGCGCGTGCACGGCAGCCTCCGTGCACAGCGCTTTGAGATCCGCGCCGCAGTACCCGACGCAGCGATTCGCGAGCTGTTCGAGGAGTTGCGCCGGGGGCGGTTTCTCCCACGCGCGCGTGTGAATCTTCAAAATGTCGCAGCGCGCCGACGCGTTCGGAAGCGGAAAGGCGAGCTCGCGGTCGAAGCGCCCGGGGCGTCGCAGCGCGCCGTCGATCGCGTCCACGCGGTTCGTCGCGCCCAGCACGACGACCCGCCCTCTGGAGTCGAGGCCGTCCATGAGCGCGAGCAGCGTCGCGACGATGGAGTTGTGAATCTGATCCGTCTTTGACGAACGCACGGGCGCGAGGCCGTCGATCTCGTCGAAAAAGATGATCGCCGGCTGTCGCTTCTGCGCCTCCGCGAACAGCATCCGGAGCTGCCGCTCGGACTCGCCGACCCACTTCGAGAGCACGTCCGCGCCCTTGCGCATGAAGAAGGCCACCTCCGCGCCCGCGCGCGAGCACGACGCCGCGAGCGCGCGCGCGAGGAGCGTCTTTCCCGTCCCCGGGGCGCCGTATAAGAGCACGCCGCGCGGCGGCGACATCTTGAACCGCGCGAACACCTCCGGGTACAACAGCGGCAGGAACACCATCTCTTTCAGGGAGTGGACGTAGTGGGATAAGCCCCCGACGGCGTCGAACGTCAGCGACGGGTCCACGGTGAGCGGCGTTATCTCCGCGCCGGCGGCTTCTTTTTCTCCCCCCGCGCCGCCGCCGGTCATCGCGCCGCCGCCGGCTGCGAGCGGGTACGACGGATCCGGTGCCTTCCCGCCGCCGAAGATGCCGCCCGCGAGGGACGTGAACCCGCCGGGGATGCCGACGCCGCCGTCGCTGTCGTCTTCGTCCGTGTCGTCCATCCACTTGTGCGTGTTGGACCGACGCGGCGGGGAGTCGTCGAAGTCGTCGCGGCGGGATCGGCGCGAACGATCGCCGCCTGATCCGCCGCCGCGACGACCGTTGCTCCCGCCGCCATTACCGCCGCGACGACCGTTGCTCCCGCCGCCATTACCGCCGCGACGCGTCCGCCTGAGCGACGGCGAGCGGCGCCTTGAGTGGTCCAAACCGCCGCCCAGTCGCTTCGGGGAATACCGCTCGATCGTCGTCCGTTCCCTTCGCGAGTACCGCGTCGGGAACACCTCGTCGTCGTCCTCGTCGTCCTCGTCCTCCAGGTCCTCGTCCGTGTCGTCGTCCTCCTCCTCCTCGACGTACTCGTCCGCGTCCGTGTCCGGCTCGTCCTCGTCCTTCGCGCCGTCGTCGTCGTCGTCCGAGCCGCCCCTCGTCCACTCCGGGGACAGCCTCGCGACCGGCTTCGCCGCGCGCGAGGACCGTCGCACGAACGTGAGATCCTCCTCCTCCTCCTCCTCCTCCTCCTCCTCCGCCGCCGCCGCCGCCGGCGCCGCCGCCGCCGCGCGCGTCGATTTCCTCGCGCGGCCGCTGCGACGCGCGCCGCCGTCGTCGTCGTTCTCCTTGCCCGCGCCGGGGGAGTCGTCCGCGTCGTCGTCGTCTCCGAGCTTCGCGGCGGATCGGATCGCGCGTCCGCGCGCGGATCGCCGGCCGGTGTTCGCCCATCCTTCCGGGTCTTCCGCGGACGTCATGGCCGCGACGCTCGCTTCCGCGGCGGCGCGTCGAGGTCGATCGGGCATGCACCGTCCGCGCGGCCCTGGCGTCGTCGTTGTGGCGCCCCCGACGCGCGGATCTGGGCGGCTTTTTTGAACTTGAACAGAAGTTTTCGAGTCGGGTCCAGGTGTCGGGTCCGTCCATAGTGTACATGTTCATCGGTCAGCTGAAAGGGGACGCGATCAAATCTTGAAACCGAGCGGTGGGTGAAAAGCGTCTGAAGAACGCACAGCATCTCCAGTCAGCGAGCGAGCGCCATCGCCAGCGTGACCGACCACGCCACCGCGTGCTCACTCCGCAACGCGCGCGATGGCGACGTCGAGCGCGACGGCGTCGATGGAAGCGGTCGGCGCGGCGCGGTGCTGGCGTCGGCATCACTCCGCCGCGCGTCCCCGCCAGGTCGCGCGCGCGCGCCGCGGCCGCGCGCGCTGTCGCGCGTCCTCCTCCGCGTCCGACGGCGCCAGCCCGGGTGACGACGAAGTGGATAGCGCGAAGTCATCGGACGACCCGTCCTACTCCTCCTCCTCCTCCTCCTCCCCCTCCTCCTCGATGGACGGCGCGTCGCTCGCGTCGGAGTTCATGAAAATCGCCGCGGAGCGCGCGCGTAAAGAGGAACTCGCGATGGCGACGCGATGGAAGCAGGGCGGCCTCCGACCCAGGGTCGTCCACGAGAACGCGTCCGAGTTTCTGCGAAGGGTCGACCTGCGCTTCCCGCTCGCGGTCTTCGGCACCGCGTCCGGCGCGGTCCTCGTCGCGGACTGCACCGAGCTCGGGGGCTTGGAGTACCGAGAGCGCGCGACGAGGCTCCTCGCGTCGTGCCCGGACGCGCACGCGCGCGATTGGAACGCCGCGGAAGATCGCGGGCTCGGCGAGCGATCGCTCCTCGGTCTCTACGACGGCGGCGCGGTGACCGCCGTCGCCGTGGACGCCTTCGAATTCAAATCCCTAAACGACAGCTCCAGCGATGTCACGGACGAGTCCTCGACATCTATGAACGTCGTGTGCTCCGGCGGCCGCGACGGCGTCCTCAACGCGTGGGTCGTCCCCGAGGACGCGGACGTCGACGACATGGCGCGACGGAAGGCGCCCGTCGCCGGCGCCGCGTTGCGAGAGCTCGGCGCCGCGACGCATCCGAACGTGGTCACGTCAATCGCGACGCACCCGGCGACGAACGCCGTGTGGACGTCGTGCCTCGACGGCGTCGTGAGGAAGTGGACGCTCGTCGACGGCGAGGCCCCGAACGCGCTGCGGATCGCGCGCGAGCACGACGTCGGGCAGCCGGCGTTGTGCGTCAGCATCAGGCGCGTTCTACGACCGCACCGCCCCCCATACGACCGCGTCGGCGTGGTGAACGCCGTTTCTTAAGGACTTTCTCTCCCGGCGCATCTCTCCGCCCAGGGTCCCTCGCTCACAATCCCGACTCACCGCTCGCGACGCCTTTGAACTCCGCCTGACGCCTTTGAACTCCACCCCGACGACCCTCAATTTTCAGCGACGACGACGGCGTTTTGTACGCCGGTCTCGCCGACGGCGCCGTCGTCGCGTTCGACGTCCGCGGCGACGACGACGACGACAGCGCGGCGCCGCTGTGTAGATTCGTCGCGCACGACGACAGCGCGACGCGGAGCATCGCCGCGTGCGCGGGCGGCGTGCTGACCGGGAGCAGCTCCGGGGTCGTGCACGCGTTTCGGTGGCGCGCGCGGCGCGACGACGACGCCGCCGCCGCGACCGCGACCGCGCCTCCCGTGCTCGTGTCGAGGCTGATCGGGCACCGGCAGGCGGTCGTCGCGCTGTGCGCGAGGAACGCCGCGCACGTCGTCAGCGGCGCGCACGACGGCACCGTGCGCGTGTGGGACATGCCGAGGTTAGCGCGGGACGAGCGGGGAGACGACGGCGACGGCGCGCCGGGCGATTGCGACGACGGCGACGGCGGCGGCGGCGAGGAGGAAGGATTCGGGACCGGCGGGCACGGCGACGAGGCCGGGTTCGAGCCGGTGGCGGAGCGAAGAGAGGCGCTGTACGCGGTGACCGGGCACACGGTCTGGCTCGGCGGGGTCGCGTGCGACGACACGAGGCGCGTCCCGCGCTCTGTTTGTTTCGTTTCGTTTCGTTTTCGAGCCCGCGTTTGTGGTTTTTCACCCTGATGCCTCGGTTTCAAGCGCGACCGCGAGCCTCGATCGACGCCGACCGATCTGACCGATCAACGCCGACCGAGCGCAGGATCCTCGTGGACGGCGCGAACAACGTCGCGATGATGTACGACTTCTCCGAGGACCCGGACGGGGACGGGGACGTCTGAGACGCGCGGCGCGCGGCGCGGCGCGGCGCGAGAAGAGGAGGAGAAGGAGGAGGAGGAGGAGGAGGAGGACGCCTCGTGCGCGTGGTAGCGGGGAGCTCGTTCGTTGATGCGAAGAATAACCCGAACAAAAAAGGCGCGTGCCCGCGCGCGTCAACAACAATTCGCAAGGGGCGACTCTTCGCGAGCCGAGAGTATTTTCGGGACGCGGGAGGGGAGATCGGGAGAAACGGATATTCTCTCGCGCGCTGCATACTAATTGCCCATACGCGTTTGGACGTTTTTATCGCGAGCGTTATCATTCTCGCGATCGTTGTTTTTTATCCTCGTCCGCCAAAAAGCCGAGAGGTCGTTACTGAAAGGTCGCGCCACCCGCGCGCGTCAAATCCCGCGCGCGCGGTGCGCGACGCGAACGATGACGAACGTCGACGAGGACGGCGATGACAAGATGAAGAAGAACTCGTGGACGCCGGAGGTGCGCGACGTTCCCCGCGCGTCCCCGCGCGCGCAATCGCGCCGCTTTCCGGCGGCGGTGGTTAGACTCATCTTTCCTCGCGTCCCTCGTGGCGCTCTGGGAAAAGCGCCGTCGCTTTCTCGTCGTCCGCGTCGCCGGACATCGCGCGCCCGCCGCTTCGCGCGCGCTTCGTCTCTTCGAATTCGCGCACTCACGTTCTCATCACGATACCCCCTCGTCGATGCTCGCAGGAGGACGAGCGCCTGCGGGAGCGCATCGCGGCGCACGGCCCGGGGAATTGGTCCGCGGTCGCGGCGTTCCTCGAAGGTCGCAGCAGCAAGAGCTGCAGGCTTCGGTGGTGCAATCAGCTGAACCCGGACGTGAAGCGCGGGCCGTTCACCGCGGAGGAGGACAAGCTCATCCTCGCCGCGCACGCGATGCACGGGAACAAGTGGGCGATCATCTCGAGGTCGATACCGGGCAGGTGCGACGATCGTTCCGGACGCGCGCGACGGCGCGGCGGCAGCCCCCAGATCCCCAGATCTGACACACGCTGATCAACTTTCGCGTCGGTTTTATTCATTCTGTTCGGAATATTCCTTCGCTGACGCGTCCTCGCTTCCCCCCCCGTTCGCCGCGCGTTCGACCGCAGGACGGACAACCAAGTGAAAAACCGGTACAACTCGACGTTACGTCGCGTCTCCACGACCGCGCGTCGCGAGCGCGACGCCGTCGCGAAGGCGCCGGCGAAGCGAAAGGCCACGAATACGGAGGCGGCGGCGTCGCCGGGGGAGGCGGCGTCGCCGAGCGCGAAGAGATCGAAAAAGCCGCCCCCGGAGCGCGCGCCGCCGACGCCGACGACGGTCTCCCCGAAACGCGCGCGCGCGGTCTCCCCCTCCAGCGGCAGCGAGGTGGACGAGACCGTCACCGGTCTAGAGCGGCTCGTGCAGGCGTCCTTCGCGGTTGAGCGCGAGGAGGGGGAGGAGCGGGATTCGGGATTCGGGATTCGGGATTCGGGATCGGACGCGGCGACGGCGTCCGCGGCGGTGGCCGCGTTCGACGCGAACGCGAACGCGACCGTCCACGGCGGGTTCAACATCGCGGACCAGGCGCGCATCATGATGGCGAACATCCAGATGACGGCGCAGCTCGCGCAGCTGGCGGCGATGTCGCGCGGGGCGGCGCCCGCGCTCTCCGCGCCGGCGGGCGAGGGTCCCGGCTTCGGGGCGACGGCGGCGGCGGCGACGGCGGCGGCGGCGCCCGCGTTTTTCGGCGGCGGCGGCGGCGCGGCGGCGGCGGCGGCGTCGCCGCCCGCGTCGCAAAACGCGTCCACGCACGGGGAGAACCACTTCCTCAGTCACGCGCACGCGCAGATGATGGCCGCGACGTTCGCGGCGGCGGCGGCGGCGGATGGAGGAAGGCGCGTTCTATACACTGGTTCCCATACGACCACGTCGGCGTGGTGAACGCCGATCCTTAAGGACTTTGCCCGGCGTGTCTCTCCACCCATCTAATGCGTTCAATCCCCGCCCTCGACGCCTTTCAACTCCACTTGACGCCTTTCAACTCCACCCCGACGTTCGCTCGTATGGAACGACCCGAAGATTCGCCGCCGCCGCCGCCGCCGCCGAAGCGGGCCGGCGGTCGTTCGCGGACGCCAGTCTCCACGCGGCGATGGCGGCGATGCGGTCGGCCCCGGGGATGGCTCCGAGCGTGGACCTCGCGGGGTACGTCCGCGCGGTGCAACAGGGCGCCTCGGCGGAAGCGTGGTCGTGACGCCCGCGAACGACGGAACGGGATATTATAAATTCATTCTTTGCGACGGGCGTCCGGTCTAGCGAGACGACCGATGAGTCTTCCGAGGGCGAGACGCGCCGCGCGTGTAATATGTACACTTATCACGACGACGAACCGAAACCGAACCGCGCGACATCGCCCCACCAGCGCCGATGACGCTCGCTCGCTCGCTCGCTCACTGTTTGGACAGCTCCTCGCCCCTGTCCGCGGCGGCTTTCACGGCTCGCATGAACGCGGATCGGACGCCGCATCGCTCCAACTCCGCCACCGCGGCGATCGTGGTCCCGCCCGGAGACGTCACGCCGTCCTTCAACGCGCCCGGGTGCTTCCCCGTCTCGATGACCATCTTCGCGGCGCCCATCACGGTCCTCGCCGCGAGGTCTTGCGCGACGCCGCGCGGTAGCCCCGCCAAGACGCCGCCGTCCGCCATGGCCTCGATGACTTGGAAGACGTACGCCGGGCCGCTCCCGCTGACGCCGGTGACGGCGTTCAGAAGGCTCTCTTTCACCTGGTGGATCTTCCCGACCGCGTCGAACAGCGTGCTGACCGTGTCGGCGTGCGTCTGGTCGCAGTATCTCCCCGCGGACATCGCCGCGGCGACGCACTTCACGAGGCAGGGGGTGTTCGGCATGACGCGAATTATCGGCACGCCCTCTCCCGCGGCAGCCTCCATGGTCGCGATCGTGACCCCCGCGGCGATGGAGACCACGAGCGTGTCCTTGGATAACGCCGGGCGCATCTCCTCGAGGACCGCGGCGACGCCGTAGGGTTTCACCGCGATGAAGATGACGTCGCACTTCTTCGCGAGCTCCGTCGCGGTCGCGCACGGGGTGACGCCCCAGGACGCGAACAGGTCCAACCGCGGCTGGTTGCGGTCGACGCAGCACATGTCCGAGAACGCGGCGACGCCGGAGGCGTCGAACCCGCCCGCGAGCGCTTCCGCCATCATCCCGGAGCCTACGAAGCCTACTCTGAGCGGCATCGTCGTCTGTGAGTGAAGACTCGCGCGTCGGTGCGCGTGAGAGTGCGACGCGACGAGCCGCGACCCGCGAGCGGGCTCCCGGAAGATGCCGCGACGGGCGCGTTCTGCGGACGCCGCGCCGCGCCGCCGCGCCGTTTTGCGGCTCCATCGGCTCCGCTTCATCGGAAAGAACGTTTTCGTGATCGGCAAAACGATGCTTTCGATTCAGCGTTTCACCCTGCGTTTGATCGGGGATCTCCGCGTGCCGCGAAACGCGACAGAAATCGGCGCGGGGGGAAGAAAACGTCCCGCGCGCACTCCCACGCGCGCGCGTCTCGCCATCGCACGACCCGCCCGCGCACGGAACGCTCCCGCGCTTCGCGCGACGACCCCCCCTCCTCGCATCTGACCATGTCGGAGATCGTCGAGATGGGCGAGAACGCCCCCGCGGTCCCCAAGGCGCGTCGCCAGCCGCGTCGCGCGCGTCGAATCTGAAACGCGTCCGCGACAGCTGTCGCGGCCGCGTCGCATCGCGCGTCGCATCGAGCGCCGAATCTGACGCCGCGCGCCCCATCCCCCGCTCCCCACGCCGTCCGTATCGCCCTCCGCGACCGCAGACCAAGAAAGCCCCCGCGGCGAAGAAAGCCGCGGGGCCCGCGAAGGCGAAGCCCCTCGGCGACAGCAGCAACGCGGTCGTCGCGCCGCCGACGGCGTCCGCGACGTCGAGCCCGGGCAAATCCATCGAGGACATCTACCAGAAAAAAACCCAGCTCGAGCACATCCTCCTGCGCCCGGACACGTACGTCGGCAGCTGCGAGAAGACCGAGGCGCTGACGTGGGTGTACGACAAAGAGACGAACAAGCTCGTGCAGCGGAACATGAGCTTCGTCCCCGGTTTGTACAAGATCTTCGACGAGATTCTCGTCAACGCGACGGATAACAAAGTGAGAGACCCGACGATGGTGACCTTACGCGTGGACATCGACAGCGCGGAGGGCACGATCAAGGTGTTTAACGACGGCAACGGCATCCCGGTCGAGATGCACAAGGAAGAGGGCGTGTACGTCCCCGAGCTCATCTTTGGGCATCTGCTGACGTCGTCCAACTACGACGACAACGAGAAGAAAGTCACCGGCGGACGAAACGGCTACGGCGCGAAGCTCGCGAACATCTTCTCCACGGAGTTCATCATCGAGACCTGCGACGGCGCGCGCGAGCGTCGATACCGTCAGGTGTTCAAGAACAACATGGGCGAGAAGTGCGAGCCGGTCGTGACGAAGTGCAAGAAGAGCGACAACTGGACGTGCATCACGTTCAAGCCCGACCTCTCGAAGTTTAACATGACGCACCTCGAGGACGACACCGTGGCGCTGATGTGCAAGCGCGTGTACGACGCCGCGGGGAACATCGGGAAGAACACGAAGATTTTTCTCAACGGCGACCGCTTGAAAGTCAAGGGGTTCAGCGATTACGTCGACCTGTACCTCGAAGGCCGCGAAAACGCGCCGAAGGTTTTCGAAAAAGTCAACGACCGCTGGGAAGTCTGCGTCACGATCAGTGACACCGGGAACTTCCAGCAGTGCTCGTTCGTGAACGGCATCTGCACGATGAAGGGCGGGACGCACGTCAACGCGGTCGCTGACGACGTCGCGACGAAGCTCCTGGAGAAGATCAAGAAGAAGGAAAAGTCGTGCAAAAACTTGAAGTCCACGCACGTGAAGAACCACCTCTGGGTGTTCGTCAACGCGCTCATCGAGAACCCGGCGTTCGATTCGCAGACGAAAGAGACGCTGAACACGCGCGCGGCCAACTTTGGGAGCAAGTTCTCCGCGTCCGACGCCGTCATCAAGAAGATGATGTCCAGCGGCATCGTCGAGCAGATTTTGTCTTGGGCGTCGTTTAAGCAGTCCAAGGAGCTGAAGAAGAACGACGGCGCGAAAAAGACGCGGCTCACGGGTATCCCGAAGCTCGACGACGCGAACGACGCGGGCGGGAAGAACTCCGAGCACTGCACGCTGATCCTCACCGAAGGCGACTCCGCGAAGGCGCTCGCCGTGAGCGGGCTGTCCGTCGTCGGCAGGGATCGCTACGGCGTGTTCCCCCTGCGAGGGAAGCTTCTCAACGTCCGCGACGCGAGCCACGAGCAAATCATGAACAACGCGGAAATTTCGTACATCAAGCAGATCTTGGGGTTAAAGCACGGGATCCAGTACGAGTCCGCGAAGTCGCTGCGGTACGGGCACATCATGATCATGACGGATCAGGATCACGACGGGTCGCACATCAAAGGCTTGCTCATCAACTTTCTTCACGCGCACTTCCCGAGTCTGCTGAAGATTCCCGGGTTCCTCGTCGAGTTCATCACGCCGATCATCAAAGCGACGAAGGGGAAGAAGTCCGAGGTGTTCTACACGATGCCGGAGTACGAGAACTTCAAGGAGTCCCTCGGCGACGCGGGCACGAAAGGCTGGAGCATCAAGTACTACAAAGGTCTCGGGACGTCCACGTCCAAAGAGGCGAAGGAATACTTCGCCGCGCTCGCGCACCACAGGAAGACGTTCACGTGGTCGGACGACAACAGCGGCGACCTCATCGACATGGCGTTCAGCAAGAAGAGGGTGGACGACCGCAAGCAGTGGCTCACCGCGTATGAGCCCGGGACGTTCCTGGACATGACCGGCGACGACGTCGGGTACGACGACTTTGTCAACAAGGAGCTGATTTTGTTCTCGCGCGCGGATTTGATGCGTTCGATTCCGTCCGTCGTGGATGGGTTTAAACCGTCGCAGCGCAAGGTGCTGTTCTCGTGCTTCAAACGCAAGCTCAAGAGCGATATCAAGGTTGCACAGCTCAGCGGTTACGTCTCCGAGCACAGCGCGTACCACCACGGCGAGGCGTCGCTCGCGAGCACCATCGTCGGCCTCGCGCAGGATTTCGTCGGCAGCAACAACGTGAACCTCCTCGTCCCGTCGGGGCAGTTCGGCACGCGGCTCCAGGGCGGCAAGGACCACGCGTCGCCGCGTTACATCTTCACGAGGCTCGCGCCGATCTGCCGCGCGATCTTTCCGGAGGCGGACGACGCGCTGCTGGATTACATCAACGAGGATGGCCAGGTCATCGAGCCGGATTACTACCTCCCGATTTTACCGCTCGTGCTCGTGAACGGCGCGGATGGGATCGGGACGGGTTGGTCGACGTCGATCCCGAACTACAACCCGCGGGATTTAACGGATAACATCCGTCGGTTACTCAACGACGAAGAGCCGGAACGCATGCATCCGTGGTACCGTAACTTCAACGGCTCGCTCACGGAGGAGATCGTCAAGGGCGAGATTCGATACCACATCAGCGGCGCTTACGAAATCGTAAACGAGACGACGCTGATGATCAGCGAACTCCCGATTCGCTCGTGGACGACCGACTACAAGGAGTTTTTGGAGAACATGATGAACCCGAAGGAGAAGAACGCCACGCCGTTCATCACGGACTACAAGGAGCATCACACGGACACGACCGTGCACTTTGTCGTGACGATGACCCCGGAGAAGATGGCGCAGGCTCAAAAAGAAGGCATCGAGAAGAAGTTCAAGCTCTCGTCCAAGGTGAGCACGTCGAACATGCACTGCTTCGACGCGAACGGGGGCATTCAAAAGTACTCGAACCCGGAGGAGATCATGAAGGCGTTCGTCCCGCTGCGTCTGAAAGCGTACGAGAAGCGCCGGACGATGCTCATCCGCCAAGCCGAGTCCGAGCTGAAGCGTCTCGCGAACAAGACGCGATTTATCCTCGCCGTCGTCGACGAGAAGCTCTCCATCGGCCGCAAGAAGAAGTCAGCGCTCGTCGAGGAGCTCGAGTCGCTCGGTTTCGACAAGATGACCAAGACGCAAAAGGTTTCCGCGGCGATCGACGAGATTGCGGAAGGGGACGAAGAAGCCGCGGATGCCGTCGAGTCTGGCGCAAACTACGACTACCTCCTGTCCATGCCGCTGTGGAACTTGACCCAGGAGAAGGTGGACGAGCTCGTCACGGAGAAGGAGTCGAAAGAAGAGGAAGTCGCCGCGCTGCACGCGACTACGGACAAAGAGCTCTGGATCAAAGACCTGGACGCGTTCGAGGAAGCGCTCATGGCGTTTGACATCGAGGACGCGAAGCAAGCGGCGGATCTCGCCAAGCAGCAACGCGCCGCCGCGCGCAACGCGACCAAGGCTGGGAAGAAGGCGCTCGCGGCGAAGAAGAAGAAAGGGAAGAAGAAGCAGTGGGACAGCGAAGACGAAAGCAGCGAAGAGGAGGAAGAGGACGACTGGAGCGACGACGACGATTTCGTGGAGGTCAAGCCGAGGAAGCGCGCGCCCGTGAAGCTCGCCGTGGTGAAAGCCGCGGCGGAGAAGCCCGCCGTCGCGAAGGCGGCGGCGGCGGCGGTGAAACCCGCCGATATCGCGGCTGCCACTGCAGCCCCGGCGCCGCCGGCGGCGATTCCCGAACCCGTGGAGGACGTCGACAGCGACGAAGACGAGTTCGCGCCGAAGCTGTCCCTCGCGGAGCGGCTGTTGCGGCGCGCCGGGGAGAACGGCGCGGCCGCGGCGCGGCCCGTCGCGGCGCCGGCGCCGGCGAAGGCGAAGCCTGCGCCCGTGGCGACGAAGCCGCCGCCCGCGGACGGCGCGTTCGACTTCACCGAGGAGGAGAACGACACGCCGCCGAAGAAGAAGCCCGCGGCCGCGGCGAAGAAGCCCGCGGCGAAGAAACAGACTCTCGCCGCGGCGGCGACGAAGGCAAAGGCGGACACGCCAAAGGCGAAAAAGTCGAAGAAGGCTGCGGACTCGGACGACGAGTCCGATTTCGGATCGAGCGACGAGGAGGACGAGATCGTCGCGTCCGTGAAGCCGCGATCCGTGGCCGCGAGACGCGGGGGCGCCGCGCGGGTGGTGTACGCCGAGGACAGCGAGTCCGAGGAGGACGAGGACGAGGACGCCGAGGACGAGGACGATTCTGACTTTGAGTGATCCTCGACTACGGAGTGAAGGAGGAACGGACTCGTACTCTGAGTGAATCCAATCCACGACGACGGAGTGATGGAGGAACGGAATACAATGTACATATAGGGACTGGGACTGAATGAACGGGTAAACGAGACGACACGGCACGTGACGATCGAACAGAGCGTTTTTATCACACACACGCGAGAAAATAAATACTTTCGTACAATTTTTCGATTCGTCGCGCGACTCGCCCCCGAACGAACCCGCGAAATCGATATCAGCGACACGAGCGTGTTGTGTGTCGCTAAATTCTTAACTTTTATATTACATGAAATGCGCTGATGTAAATAAATCTCGCAATCGATCGACGTCATCGTCGACCTCGTTTTATTTGATTATTGATTCTCACTTGGTTGTTGAAGCGAGGTGAATGAACGCGTCGGCGGCGTCAAATTAAGACGTCGACGGCGTCGAATTAAGACGTCGCGGCGACGGCGATGCCGTAGCAAATGCCGGGGATCGCCAGGAACACAACGCCGGTGTACACGAGCGGGAAAATCTTTCCGTACGTCTCGTGCGCGGTCATCCTGCCGAGCCACCTGGACGCCGCCAGCGGGATCGCGCGGGTAACCGGAAGCGGGTAGATGAGGACGATCGAGAAGACGTTGAAGAAGAAGTGCGTCAAGGCGACTTGCCACGCCTGGACCGGGTTGGACGTGACGACGGTCGCGGCCATGATGCCCGATAGGGTGGTACCGACGTTCGCGCCGAGCGTGAGCGGGAACATCTCCTCGTGGGTGATGAGGCCAACCGCCGCGATCGGCGTGAGCGTGGACGTCGTGATCGACGATGACTGCACGAGAATCGTGATGCCGCAGCCGATGGCCATGTTGAGGTAGCCGTTCAACCCGACAGCCTTCTTGAGCATGCGCGCGGCGGGGCCCTTGACGACGATCTGGAGAACGTACACGATGCAGAAGAGCGTCGCGCAGAGCGCGGCGAGGGAGAGGATCGTGAGCGTCGTGCCCGCTTCTTTATCGGACATGTCCCAGGTGTCGTACGCGAGACCGCCCTTCAGGAGGCGAGCGTCGCACTTCGTCGTGGACATTTTTGAGCTTTTGCACACGTTGTAGTACGTGCCGGCCGTCAAGGACGTTCTGCCGACGCCGCTCGAAAAGAACGAGGTGGTCGTGCAGTCCGCACCGCTGGGGCACGAGTAGTAGGAGGTGACCTTGCCGGAGGCGTCCTGCATAATGGCCAACGGCGCGCGCTTTTTCAGGAGGTTGCTGCCGTCCATCCAGGAGGCCTCCCAGTCGGCGTGGAAGTTGGAGCAGTCCGAGGTGGACGTGCACGCGAAGCCAGAGACCGCTGTGTCGAGGTCAATGATTCGCTGCAGTAGCCGTTGCAGTAGTTCTGCGAGACGAAGTCTGCGACCTTCTTGTCGTAGGCGGCGATGCCATTGGTGTAAGGGGAGACGTAGGGCTTGAGGAACTCCGTCTTCGAGCAGTCGTCGCCGTCGGAGTCGTCGCACGCATCGATGTCCTTGACCATCTCGTACGTCATCTCCTTGAAGACGGGGTAGATCCAGTTGATGGGGAGCCAGATGGCGACCGCAATCATGTTGAAGACGTCGTGCACGGTAGCCGCGGAGAAGCCGCGGCGGAGTTCCTCCGGGTTGTTGAAGTGACCCATCGCGACGATGGTGTTCGTCACGGACGTACCGATGTTCGCACCCATGATCATGAAGACCGCGTACTTCACGGAGAGCTCGTTCGCGCCGACGAGGGAGACGATGATAGACGTCGTCGTGGACGAGGACTGCACGAGCACGGTGGCGAGGATACCGACCATGAGGGCGGAGATCGGGTTGTCGACGACGTCGAACATCTTCGCGGAGGATTTCCCGCCGAGAAGCTTGAAGCCGGTGCCCATGATGTTGAGGACGAGAAGGAACGTCCAAACGCAGTAGATGATGAAGACGACGAGGAACACCTTGAACCAGTTGACGCCGGAGAGCCAGTGGAGGAAATCGCGCGCGGGGCCTTTGTCGTCGATGTTGAGCTTCCCGAAAGAAGCGGTGCGAATAAACTTCGCCCTGTACTCTGGCGATTTCTCGTCCCCCGCGGGCTGGAGCCACCTGTCTTGCGCGATCTTGTCGCGGATTTCGTCGTCGGAGAGGCCGTCGTACTGGTTTTTTCCGCCGTCCGCGGCGGCGGAGGCGGCCGCGAACGCTTTCGCGTCCACGAGCTCGTCGGCGAAGTCCTTCTTGTCTTCCTTCTTCTTGATGAACCTGTCGTAGATGAAAATGAAGAGCGCGAAGAAGTAGATGAGGCAGAGCATAGTCATCCCGGCCTCGCCCTCGCCCGAGTCCGTGCCATCGTTGCCGGGGTCGTGGTGTGACGCCCCGAGGAGGTGTCGGAGCATGATGCTGCGGTGGCGTGCGCGGTGGCGGTCGTGCGCGTGGAAGTGACGACTACGACGGAATAATGGAGTTGTTTACGCGTTTTCCTTGGAATATTCCGAATTTCGAAAAAAGAACGCCGACCGACCGATGTATGGGCAAACAGTCTGGAGATTATTGCGGCGCGGAATATTCCCTGCTTCGACTTTCCCGCGCGTGCGTTCCAAACGCTGTCGAAACGTAAACGCCCGAAAAACGGTTTCGACGCGACGCGACGTGTCCGCGCCGCTCCGGGACAGTGCGAGTCAACGAATCGACGGCGACGGACGGAAGCACAATGCCGCGGTCGCCGACGCCCCCCCGCGCGCGCGCCGCGCGAAAACGACGCGGGAGCAAGAGCGCGCCGGGGAAGGACACGAGCGCGAATCACGGCGGCGCGCGCGTCGTCTCGGTGGCGGCGACGACGACGACGCGAGGGAGAGGACGCCGCGTCGACGTCGAGATCGCCGACCTGCGATGGGGCAAAGTCATCGGACGCGGCAGCCACGGCGTCGTTCGACTCGCGCGGCAAGTGTCTTCGGGGAAGCGCTTCGTCGTGAAGCTCATCCCGCTGGAAGAGAAGGACGCCGAGCGCGACGACGGAGACGCGCGGCGCTCGATCCCGGGAACGATGACCGAGCGCGAAGCGCGCGAGGTCGAGGCGGAGGCGCGCACGCTCCGACTCGCGTCCTCGCATCCGAACGTGTGCACGTACCACGGCTGCGCGCGTCGCGTCGACGAGCGGACGGGGGGGAGAGAACTCCTGATAATCATGTCGCACTGCGAGGGCGGCGACCTCGCGTCGTTGATGCGGAGCGTCAACGCGAGAGGCGAGGCGCTGCCGGAGGAGGTCGTGATGCGTTGGGTCGTCCAGCTGCTGCTCGCGCTGCAGCACGTCCACGCGCTCGGAATCATACACCGAGGTGCGCGCGTTAACACTTTATTTTTATTTCTCGCGGCGTGTCGTTGGATTCGTTTCGTTCCCTACGCATCAGACAGATAGAGATAAAAACGCTCGCGAATGACGCGTTACTTACTACTTCTGATCGATCGATCGCTTCTCGTCGCGCGCGTCACCTCGCAGACGTCAAGCCCGCGAACGTCTTCCTGTCGCGGAACCTCAAGGTCGTGAAACTCGGCGACTTTGGCGTCGCGAAAAGACTGTCCCACGTGAACGACCTCGCGAACACGGTCGTCGGGACGCCGCTGTACATGTCCCCCGAGCTGTGCGCGGGGAAGCCGTACACGTACGCCGCGGACGTGTGGGCGTTGGGCTGCGTCGTGTTAGAGCTCGCGCTCGGCGGTAAAAAAGCTTTTGAGAGCCGCGGATACGGCGAGCTCCTCGTGAAAATATCCCGGAACGACTACGCCCCGGTGCCGTCGAGATACTCCAGGCCGTTCGCCGCGCTCGTCGGTTCGATGTTAGCGCCGGACCCGAGGGAGCGCCCGGCCGCGGAGGCGCTGCTGAACACCGCGATCGCGCGGCGGCACTGCGACGCGCTGTTGGCGGAGGTCGCCGGCGGGGGCGGAGTCGGCGGGGTCGGCGCCGGAGCCGGGACGACGCTCGGACTCGGACTCGGACTCGGACTCGGCGGCGCGGCGCGGTCGAGTCGGACGCCTTCGCGAGCGATGGGTCGCGAGGCGCCGAGCGCGGCGGCGGTGCTCGCCGCGGAGGAGGCGTCGCGGTCGATCGCGCGCGTGCAGAGCCTCCTCCTCGGCGGCGGCGGCGGCGACGGCGTCGGAGGGTCGACCGACCGCGGTGGCGCGGCGGACCGCGGCGCCGGCGCCTCCCCCGCGGCGGCGGCGGAGGCGGAGAAGCAGCGCATCGCGGAGAAGAGGCACGACGCGCGGCAGCGCGCGTCCAGGCGCGCTCGGAACGCGGTCAGGGAGGCGGACCCGCGTCGAATCGCCGCGCAGATCAAGGCGGAGGAGGAGAATTTGCGACGCGTCGAGGCGCAAGAACGCCGCGCCGTCGCCGCCGCCGAGGACGAGCTCTTGCGCCGCGCGGGGTCGTTCGGGCTCGGTGAGGACGACGACGACGACGCCGTCGCCGTCGCCGTCGCTGGGATGGGCGAGGACGGGGTCGAGCGCAGAGGCGTCGTCGCGTTCGCGTCGCGGCCGAGGCTCGAGCGGACGATCGCGGCGCCGTCGCCGAACGTTCCGCGGGACCGCGACGCCGCCGCCGCCGCCGCGACCGAGCCAGAGCCGTACCCCGAGCCCGAGCCCGACGCCGAGACGGCGCTCATGGAAGCGCTGCTCGCGGACGCGAGGATCGATCTCGAGTCTGAGATCACGTCGCGGGACCGAGAGAGCACGGCGGCGGTCGATATCGCGACGGTCGATATCCCAGTATCCCTCGCGACGATCGACGTCCCAGCGCCCGAGGACGCGGCGAGGTTCGCGGCGACGTTCGCGGCGACGTCGAACCGCGTCGGCACCGCCCCCGCGGGCGGCGGGCGGTGCCGCCGCGGCAGCGGGCACGTCGCCGGAGTCCCGATCGTCAGCGCGTCGTGGGACTGCGAGCGCGCGCGCGCGGATCGGCAGCACGCCAGGGACGCGGCGTTGGAACGGCACGTCCGCGCGAAGCTCCGGTCGTTTTTACGAAGGTCGGACGACGTCGCCGCCGAAAACGCCGCCGCCGACGTGGCGTCCGACGTGGCGTCCGGATCCGACGTGGCGTCCGACAATTTCCGACAATTTCCTCTGTCGGGGTCGTTCACGTACCTCTCCGCCGCGGCGCTCGGGGAGGAGGACGGCGACGAGGAGACGGAGGAAAGGGACGACGTCGTAGCGTCCCCGCGGCCGGCCACGGCGGGCGCGATGCTCGGCGGAGGCGGAAGACGACGGGAGGACGGGGACGCGGCGGCGCTCGAGCGGGAGGACGAGGAGAAGGACGAGGAGAAGGAGGAGGAAGAGTACGCGTACAGCGACTTCGAGGAGGACTTTGGGAGTTGTCTGGGCGACTCCGACGACGACGACGACGACGGAGGCGAGTGACCGGAAAAAAGTTCATCGGTCATCAGTTGAAAGGGAACGCGATCAAATGTTCAAACCGAGGGTGGGTGAAAAACGCACCTGAGAAGAAAATCGACCCGCACGAACTGCACGCGCCGTCTTCCTCTCCACGAAACGCGCGCCGCCAAAGCAGTCTCGAACGCGCGCGCCGCGAACGAGCTCACCACCCCGTCTTCTCTCCGCTCGCGGCGCGATGTCCGCGCCGAGCGACCTCGTCGCGAAGCGACGCAAGATGGACGGCACCGCGAAGCCGTCCTCCTCCTCCGCGGCGACGGCGACGGCGTCCGCGTCCGCCGCCGCCGGCGACCGCGCGAACGTCATCGCACAGCTCGAGGACGCGGACGGAAATCCCGCGGGCCCGCAGCTCGACCTCCCGCACGACGCGGACCACACGCAGCTCGAGACGCTCCTCAACGCGCTGCTCCAGAACGAGGACAAAGTCCCGTTCGCCTTCTACGCCGCGGACGCGGAGGTGATCGGCCCGCTCGGCGCGCACCTCGCGAAGCGCGGCGCGTCGACGGAGACGGTGCTGAAGATCGTGTACCAGCCGCAGGCGCTGTTCCGCGTCCGCCCGGTGACGCGCTGCTCGAGCGCGATCCCGGGGCACGCGGAGGCGGTCCTCTCCGTCGCGTTCTCGCCCGACGGCAAGAATCTCGCGAGCGGGAGCGGGGACACGACGATACGGCTGTGGAATCACGACACGGAGACGCCCAAAGCGACGCTGAAGGGCGCGTTCTATCTCACACTGGTCCCCATACGACCGCGTTCGCGTGGTGAACGTCGTTCCTTAAGGACTTTGCCCGGCGTCTCTCTCCGCCCACCCCTCGGTTTCAATCCCCGCCCGCGATGCCTTTCAACTCCGCTTCTGACGCCTTTCAACTCCACCCACAGGTCATTCCAATTGGGTTCTCTGCATCGCGTGGTCGCCGGACGCGCGGCTGCTCGCGTCCGGGTCGATGGACAAGGACGTGCGGCTGTGGTCAACGACGGGTGAGGCGCGCGGCGGGCCGATGCGAGGGCATCGGAAGCACGTCACCGCGCTCGCGTGGGAGCCCGCGCACGTGCGGTATCCGCCCGAGAGATTGGCGTCGGCGTCCGCCGACGGCACCGCGAGGGTCTGGTAGGGTTTTTCTTTGCTCTCCCCTCCCTTTCATATTACAAAACACTTTTCCCCGTCCCCGTCTCCGTCCCCGTCTCCGTCCCCGTCCCCACTTTCGTCCGTTCCGTCAGAAGTTGTTCTCTCGCGACATCGTCGCTGGTCTGGCTAGGTACTCTCTTTCTACTCTCTTTTCTTCGGGGAATTTCACTGGCCGCCCGTCTGCATCACTCAAATTACACCGTTCCACCTCTTATCTACCGCGTCGGGCTCCCCACGTCTTATATCGCTCGCGTTATGACTTGACAAACTACTCGGGCGTGTGCGTGTCTGATTGTTTTTTTGTGCGGGTGACTCTAACCTCTGGAACGTGACGCATAAATGCTGTCTGTTCGCGCTGACCGCGCACACGAACGTCGTGACGGCGCTGAAGTGGGGCGGCGAGGGGTTGATATACACCGCGTCCAGGGACACGACGATAATATGCTGGGACGCGAAGGACGGGAAGGTGGTGCGGCAGTTGAAAGGGCACGGGCACTGGGTGAACACGCTCGCGTTGTCCAACGAGTACGCGACGCGCACCGGCGCGTTCGATCACAAGGCGATCGCGCCCGCGAACGATGAGGAGGGGAAACGTATGGCGCGGGAGCGTTACGATGTCGCGATGGCCGGGCAGCCGGAACGGCTCGTCAGCGGCTCGGACGACTTCACGATGTTTCTGTGGACGCCGGAGACGAGCAAGTCCCCGACGCGACGCATGACGGGCCACGTGCAACTCATCAACCACGTCGTGTTCTCCCCGGACACGAAGCTCATCGCCAGCGCGTCGTTCGATAAGGCGGTGAAGCTGTGGGACGGGAAGACCGGGGAGTTCATCGCGACGATGCGCGGGCACGTCGGACCGGTGTATCAGATCGCGTGGAGCGCGGACAGCAGGATGGTGGTTAGCGGGAGCAAAGACAGCACGCTCAAGGTGTGGAGCGCGAGGACGAGGAAGTTGGAGTTGGACTTGCCAGGGCACGCGGACGAGGTGTTCGCCGTGGACTGGTCCCCGATCGGGACGAGAGCCGCGTCGGGGGGGAAGGACAAGATGCTCCGGCTGTGGAGGCATTAGCGCGGTAGAGACTACCGTAGTACGAAAGTACTTCTGGAAGTACCTTCGCTTCGTAGACTATTTTTTTATAGGATAGCGTCGCCGCCGCTATCGTATCCGCCATCGTGTCGTCGTCGTCGTCGTCGCGTCGTCTATCGCTCGTCGTTCGTGTGTGCTATCGGCTTCGCCGTGAGTTCTTCTTCGTTCTTCTCCCGTTCGCGCGCGTCGTTCAACTCGCGACCGTGGTCCGCCACATCTCCCGCGCGTGCGACCCGTCCTCCAGCGGCGTCGCCGCGTGGATCGTTCGCATGTTGTCCCAAATCAACGCGTCGCCCTCCATCCACTCGTGCTCGTACACGAACTCCGGTCTCGTGCAGTGCGGCAGCAAGTCGTCGTACATGATCCTGGACACGCTCTCGTGCTCCTCGCCTTGAAGGTCGTATATGTCTAACGCCTCCTGTGAAAGCGTTTCGCCCTCGGCGACGACCGCGCACACGGAGCTGTTGAAGCCGTAGACTGAGGGCCATTCCATACAAAAACAGTTCTCCGGTCAGTTGAAAGGGGACGCGATCAAGTGTTGAAACCGGGCGATGGGTGAAAAACTTTTGAAGAACGCACCTGACTTCTCCCCCGTAGCCGCGTTCGTCAACACCAACGGCTGATACACCGGCGGGTGCTCCGCGCGCTGTTCCGGGGTTAACAACGGATACGACGGCGTCCCGCGCTTCCGAACTTTCGCGTTGTGGTGCGCGTACGAGCACACGGCTCGGTAACGCTCCAACTCCAAGCGTTTATCCTCCGGCAGCGCGGCGTACGCGGCGGTGACGTCCGCGAAGATCGTCGCGCCGCCCGCGCCCGGCGGCGGCGCCGTCTTGCAGTACAACACCGACGCGTACGGCGGCGGGTCGCGGAACGCCTGGTCCGTGTGCCACACCGGCGAGCGCGTCTTCGGGTCGTACGTCAGCGAGGTCTTCCCGCAGGTGGGGTCCACGGGGAGCGGCGGCGCGCGCGCGAACATGGCGCGCGGTTCCCCGGTGATCGCGTCGACGACGTTTCCGATGCGTTGCACCTCGCGCGCGTCCGCCTCGAGGAACTTGGCGTCCACGCCCGGGTTCGTCTCCACCTCGCCGCGACCGATAGCTCGCGAGATGTCCACCAGCTCCCGCGGGGTGATGCGCTCTAACCCGCCGCGCAGGAGCACGAGGCCGTGCGACGACGTCAGCGCGTCGTTCAGCGTCGCGCGTCGCGCCTCGGGGGACGCGCTGAAGGGCCGTTCCATACAAAAATATTTCACCGGTCAGTTGAAAGGGGGCGCGATCAAATGTTGAAACCGAGCGGTGGGTGAAAAAAAATTGTAAGAACGCACCTGAGGATCTCGTCGCCGCGGAGGACGACGGGCGCGAACGTCGGCGTCGTCGTCGCGGCCGCCGCCGCGCGCGGCGGCGGCGGCGGCATCACGCGGCGGGTCGAGGCGCGCGGAGGAGACGCGATGCGCGCGACGTGCGACGATATCGCCGCCGCGCCGCGACTCGCCATCGGCGCCGAGCGCGTCGCTAAAAGTGTCGAGCGCGTGTTCGCGGAGCGACGTGGCCGGCGGTCGGTCCGTTTAGATTATTCCGCCGCCGCCCCGTCTCGCGCGGCGACGACCTCACATCTCCGCGCGCTCGCGCCCGTCGCACGACTCAAACGCGCGCGTCGCATCGTGTTCGAGCGCCGTCGACGACCGCGCTCGGCGACGTCGCGCGAACTCGCCGCGCGAACGCGGCGAATCGCGCGCCTCGGCCAGCCAGCCACGTGTGCTCGGTCGGATTGTTGTTAGTCTACTAGTAGGTCATCGGTAATCCGACGGAGGCGTGGAGTCGCGGGCATGTGCGACCCCGCGGTGCGACGCCGGTCCGCGCGGACGGCGGACGAGTCCAAGAAGCCGCCTTCGACGGCGGACGAGCTCCGCGCGAAGTACGATACGGACGCCACGGGACCGGTCGGAGGCGCGAACGGCCCGCGGTTCGACGGCCCCGAGCCCGTGCAGCCGTGCACGAGGATCAACCTCGCGCATCACGTCGTCGTCTTCGCCGCGATCGCGTACTCGCTCGTAACGCACGGATGTCCGTCGTTAGGCGTCGTCGCGTTCATGCTGTGGTACGCGGACGCGTACACCGCGGTCCTTCACGCGGCGCTGGACCGCCCGGGGTGTCTGGACGTGAAGATCCTGCACGGCGCCGCGAGAGGATTTCAAGCGCATCACGACTACCCGCTCGCGTCCACGCACGGGCGCGGGTGCTACCGCATGATCTGCGACACGCAGCGGATACAGACGATCACGATCGTGAGCGCTCTGGTGTTCGGAAGATGGAACGTCGCGACGTTTCAGATCTGTTTGATGAAGCTCTTATTCAGCGCCTACGGCGGCGCGACGGGCCACTTTTACGCGCACGGAGGCGCCAAACCGCGCGGTCCCGCGATTAAACTCGCGCAAAAGTGCCACATGCTCCTCCCGCCGAAGCACCACGTCGGCGGCCACCACGCGCCGCCGCACGACAAAAACTTTGGGATATTCAACGGACTCAGTAACTACGCCCTGAACCCGTTCCTGGGGGCGCCGATGAACCCGCCGCTGGGCGTCTTGTTAGCCGCGTGGGCGGCGCTGTCGCTGTTCGACGTCGCCGTCGTGGAGCGGTGCGTCGGGCCGGTGGGCGAGGTGGTCGGTCGTGGGGTCGCCACGGCGTTGGAGCTCGCGAGGAGTAGCGTCTCGATGTGATGTGTGTGGGGGGATGGGGTGTTTTTTAACGCGCGGGGAGGGGTCTCGAACGCGAACGTAGAGCGAGCCGTAGGAGGACGAACCGTAGAAGAACTTTGTTGTGCCAAATATGCCAAACTGAATATCGACCGAAGCGCCGCGTCGGCACTTCCATAAACAGCACGCGCATCGATCGTCCAGCCCATTCCATCACTCGTCATCTCCCCCCTCCTTCTTCTCGCCGCCGCCGCCGAAGCTATCCTTCACCAGCGCCCCGCCCGCGGCTTCCTCTAACAGCGCGCCCAGCCCTTGCACGTTCGGTACCAGCCTCGGCGTCGTCTTCGAATACGCCTCGTACGTCTCCGGGTCGTTCCGTACGAGCGAACGTCGGGGTGGAGTTGAAAGGCGTCAGTTGGAGTTGAAAGGCGCCGAGGTGCGTCGGGATTGAAAGCGAGGTGTGGGCGGAGAGATGCGCCGGGAGATGAAGTCCTTAGTAAGGATCGGCGTTCACCGCGCCGACGCGGTCGTGAAGGGACCGGTGTGTGGGACGCGCCTCCTTCCCGTGCATCTCCTCGAGGAACAACTCCTCCGTGGCAGCCTTTTCGTTCAGCAGAAACGTCAAGACGGCCGCGAAGAACGTCCGCACCGGCGACCCGGTCGCGAGCGCCAGACCGAAGGACCCGAAGACGAGGCCGCTGTACATCGGATGCCGCGTCGCCGCGTAGGCGCCTTTGGTTTTCAAGACGTTATCCCCGCGCGGCTTCGGGAACGGCGTGAGCGAGTTCCCCAAGTCGCGCACGCCTCGGGTCAGCAGCAGCCCGGCGAGCGCGATGAGCGCGAGGCCGATCAGCGGGTCGAAGAACGAGTTCCCGCTCAGGTTCATCTGGACGTCTTCGCCGAGGTCTATCGGCGGGAACGCGACGCAGAGGAGGAGGATCATCTGAGGGCCGTTCCATACGAAGCGACGTCGGGGTGGAGTTGAAAGGCGTCAGGTGGAGTTGAAAGGCGTCGATGGCGGGTATTGAAAGCGAGGTGTGGGCGGAGAGAGACGACGGCAAAAGTCCTTAAGGATCGGCGTTCACCACGGCGACGGGGTCGTATGGGGACCAGTGTATAGAACGCGCCTGACCGACGAAGAAGAGCTCCCCGCGCTTCCCGAGATCGGACGTGTCCGCCATCTCCCGGAGGAGCGCGTCCGCGTTCAGGGGGGCGTCGTCGGCGTCGGCGTCGGCGTCGGACGCGTTCGCGCGAATTCGCGCGGAAGCGGCGCGGCGCGCGGAAGCGGGGACGGCGCCCGCGCCCGCCGCCGTCGTCGACGGAACGATTCGGAACGGGTGCCGAGAGAAAGAGAGAAGATCCCTCGCGGGGGCGCTCGTCCCGGACGGCGCGAGGCGACGCGCGGACGCCGCGAGACGCGGGGAGCGGCGCGGCGCGCGAGTCGTCGGCATCGCCGGCGTAAATCTCGCGGCGACGAACATGTCTTTCTTTCGCTCGGCGGCGGCGGCGGCGGCGCGGATGGCCTCCGCGCGGATGTTAACTGGCCTTTCGCGATAACTCTGAAGGCGCGGTCTCGGAACTTTCGTCCCGTCAGGTTCCGCGTCCTGTCGTCACTCTCGGAGGCGCGACGATGACCGCCGTCGCCGCCGCCGCGGCCTTCGCCCCCGCGATCGCGCCGCCGAGACCGCGCCGCTCCCCGGTCGTCGCCGCGCGCGCGATGGCATCGGACGCGACGACGGAACCCGTTCGATCTGTCCTTGGAACCATGACGTGCGAACCCGGCCCAGCCCTTCCCCTCTTCTCCCTCTCGCCCGCGCCCGCCCGACGACGACCCGACGCGACCGTCGCTCCCCGCTGATGACTCCGACCGACGACTCATCACTCGCGTCCGACAGGATGGGCTGGCGGTACGCCTCGCAGGAGTGCGACGCGGAGGTGTCCACGTCGCTGCTGCGGACGTTCTTAGACCGCGGCCATCGCGAGGTGGATACCGCGCTGGCCTACGCGGGCGGGGAGACGGAGAGGATGCTCGGCGAAATCTTCTCGAAGCACCCCGAGTTACTCGCGCGCGCGTCGATCGCGACGAAGGCGAACCCGTGGCCCGGCGGGAACATGACGTCCAGCGCGGGCGAGGGAGGCTTAGAGCCGTCGCAGCTCCGCGCGCAGGTGACGGCGTCGCGCGAAGCGTTAGCCCCGGGCGCCGTCGACCTGTTGTACCTGCACGCCCCGGACGCGGCGACGCCGATCGAGGAAACGTTGCGAGAGCTCAAGGCGCTGCACGAGGAGGGGGCGTGGAAACAGCTCGGGCTGAGCAACTTCCCGGCGTGGGAGGTGGTGCACGTGTACCACAAGTGTCTCGAGATGGGGATGCCGCCGCCGAGCGCGTACCAGGGGATGTATAACTGCGTCACGCGGGCGTGCGAGCCGGAGCTGTTACCCGCGCTTCGAAAGTTGAACGTCCGATTCTTAGCGTACAACCCCCTCGCGGGGGGGCTCCTCACGGGCAAGCACGCGTCGTATAACGCGGACGCGAACGCGGAGAGCGACCGCGGGCGGTTCGTGAGCAACAAGATGTACCAAGACCGGTTCTGGAAGAGGGAGTACTTCTCCGCCGCGGAGCTTATTAAAAACGCGTGCCAAACGGCGGACCCGGACGGTACGCTCGGGTTAACCCCCGCGTCTGCTGCGTTACGATGGATGTACTCGCACAGCCAACTGGACGGGGGAAAGGGCGACGCCGTCATTCTGGGCGCGAGCTCCGTGGCGCATCTGACGGCCAACTTGGACGCGGCGGAGCGCGCGACGAACGGCGAGCCGCTGCCGCGAATCGTCCTCGACGCCATCGAAGACGCGGCCGCCGCGTGCGCCGCGGCGACGCCGCAGTACAGCCGCGGGCACAGCAAGATCGCGTCGCGATGAATATGGACTACGCTGTGTACCGCGCGCGTGTTCCTACAATATAAATGCACTACAGGATGTCATCACACTACCGTATACTTCCGTCTTAACCTACTATCGTACGAAGGTACCTCCGGAAGTACTTCCGCGCCGATGAGTCTAATTTTGAGCGTGCCCGCGCCCCTCCGGGGTGTATCGATACGGCGAGAAGTCCTCGTCCGCGTACCCTCGCTTCTTGAGCTCATGCTGCTGCCGGAGCGACCACTGCTCGAGCGGATGTCTCAACGGCGGCGCTCGCGCCGCCTCCGCGCGCGCGCGTCGCGACGACGGCGGCACCGCCGCCGCCGCCGCCGGGCGCGGCTCCCCTCTCGCGCGCGCCGGCGCTCCCATCCTCTCGTGCCGCGCCCTCGTCCTCGCCGCCGCCGCCGCCGTCTCGCGCATCTCGACGCCGTCGTCGCGCTCGAACCCTTCCTCGATGTCGTCGAACTCGAACTCGAACGCGGGCGGGGGCGGGCGGGAGGAGGAGAGGGACGACGCGGCTCGACCGCTCGACCCGCCGTTATCTGATAACGCGCGTCTCAGTCTCCCCACGCGTTGGTTCCTCTCCGCGCGGTACCGCTCCTCGCGCGCGTCCCGAGGCCGCGGCGGCGGCGCGCGCGGCGCGGCGTCGCCGCCGTTCGACCTCCAAAACCTTGCCTTGAACGCCTCCCACCCGCCTCTGCCGCCCTCCGGCCCGCCGCCGCCGTCGCCGCCGCCGCTCCGTTGGCTCCGCTGGCTCCCCCCGCCCCACGACCGCGGCGTCCAGCTCGGCATGCCGTCGTCTTGCTCCCTCCGGAACGCCTCCGGGCGCTCCCGGTACGTGTCCCTCGCGCTGCTCGGGTTCCTCGCCCGCATGATCTTCTCCCCGCGAGGCGTCATCCCCACCTGCACGCGACTCAGGGTCGTTCCATACAAAGCGACGTCGGGGTGGAGTTCAAAGGCGTCAGGTGGAGTTGAAAGGGCCCGAGGGCGGGGATTGAAAGGAAGGGGTGGGCGGAGAGAGACGACGGCAAAAGTCCTTAAGGATCGGCGTTCACCACGCCGACGCGGTCGTATGGGGACCAGTGTACAGAACGTACCTCATCGCAGGCGTGATGCTCTCGAGCGTCGCCGCGTCCATCTCGCCCGCCCTGAGCTGCCCCCGCGTCGGCCCCAGCACGTTCCCTCGCCCGAACAACACCGCGAAAACGCCCCCGGACGCGGTCATCTTCACGCTGAGGACCGCGATGTACCACCCGGCGTGCGGCGAGCTCAGCGTGAGCGGTATCGCGACGTCTCTCTGCGCGGTCTTCATCCCTCTCGTCCAGATCGCGTGCGCGGCCCATATACTGCACGCGACGCACGCGAGCCCGGCGACGCGACCGAGCGCGGTCACCGCGCGCGTCGAGAGCGCGTCCGCGCCGCGCGACGCGACGCACCCGTTGACGTACAGCGTCACGAGGATCGACCACCCCGCGTGCGCGAACGTCGGGAGGAGGAAGAGCGTCAGCGACGGCGAAGCCCAGTCGGAGGTCCAGCGCGTCGGCCCCGCGGTCTGGCACTGCTTCTGGCCGTACGACAGGTGCGTCTCGCAGCCGGAGTACCACGGAGGGATCAGAGAGACCGCGGCGAGGATGGCGCCCATGAACGAGAACGCCCTCGAGCGTTGGAACATGTCGCGCGGCGTGGCGTGGCCCCCTCGAGCGACGCGGCGCCCGAGGAAGTGAATGCGCGTGATGAACGGCCGCGGCCCTTTTCGCGCGAATCGATAACGGACAGGACGATTTTCATCGCGTCGTCGGTCGTCGTCGCTCGGCGCCGTCCAGTCGCGCCCAGAGACAATCGCGCGCGCTGCTACTGCTCACGTGTGAACACCGCGCGAGTGCTAGAGAGCGCGCGTCGCGTCACGCGTCGTCGGCGGGTTGAATCTCGCCGCCGTCGCGCCCCTCCACCTCCGCCGCCGCCGCCGCCGCCGCCGCCGCCGCCGCCGCCGCCGCGTCGTCGTCGTCGTCGTCGCCCTCCCGACCGCCCCCGATGGCGACCAACAGCTTCACGACCTTCCCCCGCCGCGCGTCGCGCTCCTCTTCCCCGTCCGCGTCGCCGATGTTCTCCGCGTGCGTCTCGAGCACGTCCCTGACGGACTTCAACCGCCGTTCGATCCCGTCGCCGCCGCCGCCGCCGTCGCCGCCGCCGCCGTCGTCCTGCAAGTCCATCTGCAAGAGCAGCCGGCGTCGGATGCCCTCGTCCCCCGTCGCGAACGCGCTCGCGAAGATGATCCCCAACAGCTCCAACGTGTACAACCCCCCGTCCAGGCGCTCGATGTATAACTCGTCGTCGTCCAACTCGATCGCGTCGCCGCGCGTGGAGAGCGCTTCGTCCACCGAGTACACGCGGCGCGAGTACTTTGTCCACAGCTCCGCGACTCTGTCGCACTTGGCGTGCGTGTCCTCCACAAACTTAGCGCACAGGCGGTCGTGCCGCTCCGTGTTCGGCGTCAGGCACAAGAAGAGGCTGCTCACGATCGAGACCGCGCGCTCTTCCTCCTCCGCGACCGCCTCCGCGCCGCCGGCTCGCTTCCGCATCTTCTCGTGGCCCTTCCCCATGAAGACGGAGAATATCGTCTTCAAGCCCAACGCGTCGACGAACCGCTCGCACGCGGGGACGCACCTCGTGAGCGCGTAGTCCACGCACTTGATCGCCGCGGTCCGCGAGCTCCTCTTGCTCTTAATCACGAGGAGCATCAGCTCGAGACCCTCGCACTCGAGAAACGCGTCTCGGTTCGAACGCTCCATGACGCACGCGCTGAGCGCGTCGAAGAGGTTGGCGACCATTTCCTCCTCGCCTTCGTCCGACGGATCTTTGCTCTTGTACGGCGCGACCGCCTTCAGAAGCGCCTCGACGCCCCCGAGCTCGCCCAGCCGCGCACGGTTCGCGTCGTTCGATTGAAGCAGCACGGTGAGCACCTCCGCGGCGACGAGCTTGTTGTTATCGATCGCGCGTTTCGGCGCGACGCGGCGGAGGAGCCACTTGAGCAGCGGCGTCTTGTCGCAAAATTCGCTCGCCGCCTCCGGGCGAATCTCCACGATGTTCTCCACGCACCCCAAGACGCCGTTCACCGCGGCGGCTTCCTCCGGCGACGACTCTTTCCCGAACCGATGCAAGCACTCGATCAGGAGCTCGAACCCGGACTCTTTGACGATGGACGCCGCGAGCGCGGCGCCGCCCTCCTCGTTGGACTCCACGGTCAGGGTCGTTCCATACAAAGCGACGTCGGGGTGGAGTTGAAAGGCGTCAGAAGCGGAGTTGAAAGGCGTCGAGGGCGGGGATTGAACGCGAGGGGTGGGCGGAGAGAAACGCCGGGCAAAGTCCTTAAGGATCGGCGTTCACCACGCGAACGCGATCGTATGGGGACCAGTGTACAGAACGCACCTCCACGGCGTCGGCGTCGACGAGCTCGTGAAGGAGCTCCACCGCGTCCGCGGCGATGTCCGGGTTGTCGTGCGCGAGGAGCGCGAGGATCGACGGCACCGCGTTCAGGCGCACGAACTCCGGGTACAGGTCCGGGTACCCCGCGAGCCTCTGCAGCCTCTTGACCTCCTCGTCTAGGTCCACCTCGGAGTCTATAAATTTCGCCGGGTCGTCCGCGTGCTTGAGACGCATCGCTTGATTCGTCGCGTACTTGCGCTCGAACGCGAGGACGAGCTTCCGCACCGCCTTCTCGTCCAGGTTCGTGAGGTCCAACGCCGCGTCCCCGCCCGCGTTCTCCTCCGCGTCGGCTAAGAGCTCGTCCGCGGTCCGTCGCGGGCCCGGCGGAGGCTTCGAGTTCGAGATCGTCGTCTCTTCTCCCGCCATGGACGTGTTCCCGCCGCCGGCGTCGAGCGCGGCCGCCGCGGCCGCCGCCGCGGACTTGGCTTTCCCGCGCGCGTCGAGGTAGTACCCCGGGCCTTGGTTCCCGAGACGGAAGTAATACCCAGGCCGCGCGCCGGTGAACGAGCGCGAAGGGAGGTACGACAGCGCGGTCGATCCGCCGGCGGATGATCCGGCGGGCCCCGGGGCGCTCCCATCTCCTCCGCGATCGCGAGATGCATGATGACTCTCTCTCGCGCGCGCGCTCGCCTCCGCGTCGAGGCCCTTCGCGAAGTCCTCGATCGCGTCCGCGCCGGTCTCGTAGTTCGCGCGCTTGCGCTTGACGTTCCCGGGGTCCATCTTCCCGCGGCGATCGTCCACGCGCGGCGGGTGCGGCGAGATCTGAACCCCCCGTCGCGCCGGCCGTGTCGGCACCGAGGGGGACGGAACTCGGCGAGCGAGCTCATCAGACGTCACGAAAAGCGTTTCGGGAGCTGCCGCGAGGCCGCGAACCACGACACTCTCGACGACGCCGCGCGCCGCTCGCCGTCGTCCATGGCGTCCACGGCGTCCCCCGCGCCGCGCGCGCCGCGCACTCCCGGCCGCGTCGGCGACGACGACGACGACGCGTCGCCGTCGCCGCCGTCGTCGCGCCCGCGCCCCGTCGGAGATGGCCCCACGCCCGAGCGCGCGGTGAAGGTTTTAGACGACGCGCTCGACCTCGAGGGGAAAGCGGTCAAGGCCGCGATGGACAGACTCCAGCGATGCGTCGCGCGGACGCCCGCGTACGACGCCGAGATCACGTCGCGCGAGGGCGACGCCGCGGCGCTCAAGCGCTCGCGCGGGTACAAGAGCCCGTACCACGACGCGCATCACGCGACGCTCGTGGCGGCGTCGTCCGCGCTCCGCCGAGCGCTCGAGTCGTCCGATGGCGTCTCGGGCGCGGACGCGACGACGCTCGTGAACGACGCGCTCTTCATGATCGAAGGCGCCGCGAAGGACGCGCTGCGGCGCGACCAGGGCGAGCGCGCGATCCTCTGGGAGTGCGCCAAGGAGATGAAGGACCGACGCGACGAGGCGCGCGCGGCGGCGAGAGAGCTCGTGCTCGCGTTCGCGAAGGAGCGGCAAGGGGTCGGATTCCGAGAACGGCTGCGGCTCCGCGACGAGGTCCAACGCGCGAAGGACGAAGCGCGCGCGGAGCACGAGAAGGATAAAGCGCGCGTGATGGAAGAACTCCGCGCGATGGCGGAGGAGCTGAACGTCATGCAGCAGCAGATGGGCGCGTCGAGGGACGCGGACGCGGTGATCGTCCGCCAGCTGAACGAGTTGCTCGCCTCGGAGCGTCGGAAACGCTACGACGACGGCCGCGAATACGAAAACGCTCGGCTGAACATGAAATCGCGCGCGGAGAAGGCTGAGCTCGAGTGCGCGAAGCTCGGCGCGTTGATTCGCGTGCACAAGCAAGACGCGGAGGCGACGCAGAGAGACCTCGAGAAGAAGATCGTCGAGTCGGCGGCGACGGCGAGGCAAGCCGTCTCGCACGTCGCGCACGCGAGAAAACAGCTGCAGACGCAAAAGCGGAAGAGCCTGCGCGAGTGCGCGTTTCGCCTGTGGAAAGGGCACGTCAAGATGGTCCGGGCGATTCGAAAGGTGCGTCAGGACGGGGACACGACGATCGTGACGATTAAGACTGGGTACGAGCGGCAGATGGAGAAGCTCCGAGAGGAGAAGAACAAGGCGCGTTTCTCATGTTTAACGTTTCACCCGTCCCTCGCTTTCAACATTTGATCGCGCCCCATTTCAACTGACCGATGAACTTTTTTGTATGTACTCGAAACGACTCACAGGCGGTCATTTACGGCGCGAAGAGAGACAAAGCCGGCGGCGGCGCGGCGGAGACGCTCGACGACGCCGCGCGCGACCGCGCGGCGAAGATCGCGAAGAAGGAACAGCGAGACCGCGCCGCTTTGGACGCGGCGGCGAACGCGGCGGCGGACCCGTGGTCGTTCCTGGGCGACGTCGCCGCGTCCGCAGCGACGGCGGACGGCGCCGGCGGTTTCGGCGCAGCCGCGAGCGGAGAAGAGACCGTCGCGGAGAGACGCGCGCGGGAGGACGCCGCCGTCGCGGCCGCGGAGGAGACGCTCACGCTGTTGGATAACTTCTACGCGCGCGCGGCGAGCGACGCCGCCGCGAGAGGGGTCATGGACGGCACGGACTGGCACCCGGAGATCGTGCTCGGCCCCGGCGGGGTCGCCCTGGACGTGCCGACGCCCGCGGGGGCGCCGCCGCCGCCGGCGACGATCGACGCGTCGGCGTTCGCGCCGCCGTCGCCGGATGTGGACGACGCCGCGCGCGGCGGCGCGGTGGACAGCATCATCGACGCGACGCCGACGCCGACGACGAAAGCGACCGCGGAGGCGACGCGAGCGCCGCGCGCGGCGAGCCCGGAGGAGGCGCCGCGCGACGCGACGCGCGCGCCCGTGCCGACGCGAGAGGGGGGCGATGCCGACGCCGACGCCGCGGAGGAGCCGAAGGAGCCCATCGGGGATCAAGCGCCGACGGCTCCGGTGGCGACGATTCCGACGACGCGCGCGGCGGCGGCGACGGACCCCCGCCCCGCGCGCGGCGGCGGCGGCGGCGGCGGCGGCGGCGGCGGCGGGCTCGCGTCTCTCGGGGCCGTCCCCCCCGCGCCGACGCCGGCGACGCGCGGCGGCACGGAGACATCGAGCGCGCACGTTCCATCCGTGCGCGCGGTGGAGGAGCGCGACTCGATGCCGCCGCCGCCGCCGCGGCCGCCGCGCGCGCGCTCCGAGATTGAACCCGCGACGACGACGACGATCGAGCCGGAGAGAAGCGAGAGGAGCGACGTTCGGGCGTCCTCGGAGGGGGGCGCGAACGTGCGGAGCAGCATGATGAGCGTCATGACGGACATGACGACGTACAGCGAAACGTTCGAGAACGAGAGCGAGGACATCGACTGGGCGGACGCGGACATGGACCTGGATCTGCCATGACGCGAAGGTCGACCACGGGACGGGGGGGTGATCATCATAAGCACACGCTCAACAGATGAAGAGTCGTTCGTCATTACATAGGCTCGTGTCGTTCGTCGTAAGAATGTATTCACCCTCGTATGCACACGCGAGGAGTCGTAGTCGCACTCGTGGTGGACCCTCGCTCGTTCGTCGTTCGTTCGTTTCGTTCGCCGAAAAGAAATCAAGTCTCCCGTCGCGTCGCGTCGCGTCGCCGCTCACGCCGCCGTCGGCGACGTCGGCGCGGAGAACGACCCAGACACGCCGTCGAGAAGCGTCCATCCGCCGTTTTCCTTCGCGTCCTGGCGCGCGGCGTTGATTTCCGCCGCGGTGTTCACCTCCGCGCCGCACGCGACGCTGCGACGAAGCGGCTTCCGCGCCGAGACCGCGACTTGGGCGTTCGTCGGAAGTCGTCGCACCGCCTCCGCCTCCTCAGACGGCGACAGCTGGTACTCGCGGTACGTGTCCTTCGCGTACGGGTAGTACGGCGAGTCCGGGGACGGCGGGCGGAACACCGTCGCGAGATCGCGCGGGCCGCGCGCCGTGGACGGGCGGCCGCGAGCGCGAGCGCGCGCGGCGAGCTCGATCTCTTTGATCGGCGACGTCGACGCGGAGACGAAATCGCGCGCCGCGCGCGGCGACGACGCTCTCGACACTCTCGGCCAGCTCCCCGTCGGGGACCCGCGAACGGAGTCAATCTCCGGGCCGCCGCCCGCGTAGGCGAGCGAGAGCATCTCGGACTTGCGCTCCGCGGCGGCGGCGAGCTTTTCTTCGAGGTTCGCCCTTCTCGTCGCGGCGGTCGCGGCTTCGTTGTACTCGCGCGTCGCCGCCGTGACGACGGCTCGGCGAATGAAGCGATGCGCGCGCGCCGCCGTCGCGTTCACGGCTTCGTTTCTGCGCTCGTCCGCGAGGAACTGATCCGCGCGGATGCGCGCGGCTTCGATGAGAGGCGAGACGTGGTTCTGGAGGCGCTGGCGTTCGACGACGTGCGCCGCGCGCTCGGTCGTGAGCGCGGCTTTGGACTGCCGGAGTCGAACGTCGGGGTGGAGTTCAAAGGCGTCAGAAGCGGAGTTGAAAGGCGTCGAGGGCGAGGATTGAAAGCGGGGGGTGGGCGGAGAGAGACGACGGCAAAAGTCCTTAAGGATCGGCGTTCACCACGCTGACGCGGTCGTATGGGGACCAGTGTATAGAACGCACCTGCCGGAGTCGAACGTCGAGCCCGCGCAGGTACGCGGCGGCGGCCATGCGCGACTGCAGACGCGTCGCCGTCACCTTGGCGTCCATCCTCGCGTTCGCTTTCGCGTGCTTCACCGCGCGGTCCGCGCGCGCGTTGAAGAAGTGCGCTTTGAACGCGATGAGGTTTAAGAAGGCGTCGCGGCGCGCGACGGCGACGTCGACTTTGGTTTCGATCGCCGCTGCTTTCTCCGCCGCCGCGCGCGCGGCTTTCAACGCGATGTCCTTCGCCCTCGCGGCGGCGTCCGCGGCTTTAAACGTCAGCTTCGCGATCTCGCGCTTGCGGTTTTGTTCCGCGAGCTCGAGCTTGCGTTCGATGTTCGCCGCGAGTTGCGCCTGCGGTGATAAGGGAGGGGAGAGATCGGCGGGGGCTGGAGGCGTCAGCGTTCCGTTCGCTCCGCGGCGGCGGCGGCGGCGTTTGGAGTTTTTTGGCAGGGCACGGCGACGCTCGGCTCGGGGAAGAATAAAAAATCTCTGTCATCTGTCGGGATCGGGCTGGGTGCCACGATTGAGGCGAAATGCCGCGGGTTCGGGTAGCCACCTTGCGGGATTCGTTCTTCTCCGCGACGTCGTCGACGCGCTGGACGAACTTCTTCGCGACGGACGCGCGCGCTTCGAGCCTGGACACGCGGAGCTGCTCGGCTTCCTGAAAATGGGAGGGCGTCGGGGGGATCGCGTCGGGTGAGTCAACGCGACGCGAGGCGGAAAAAAAACGCGCGAGCGAGATCTGAGTTGACGACGCGCGCGGCGCGGACCTGGAGGCGGCGGTCCGTCGTCTCGCGCGTGTAGCTCGCGATGTTCGACTTGATCGCGACGGTGTTCGTCACGGATTCGGAGACGCGCGCGTTGTGCGCGGCCGCGACGGCCGCCTTGCGAGACGCCGCGAGCGCGTCTTCGTTGACGCGCTTCTGCGATCGACAGACGGGGCGCCGGGATTCGAATGTCAAGTCAACAACGAGGGCACGCGCGGGGGAACGCGCGCGAGGGTCGACGCGCGCGCGCGGTGGAGGAAGAGACGTCGGGGAAAAAAGATATCGAAATGAAGATTCGCGCGCGAGGGGACGCGACGCCGTCGTTCGCGCGACGCTCGAGCGCGCGAGCCGCGGCGGTCAACGACGAAACGCTGGCGGGAAATCTCACCTCGGAGACGGACGCGCGCGCATCTTTCGGGAACGCGCGCGCGCGGAGGCGCTTCGCGACCGCCGGCGGCGGCGTCCTGCGCGCGTTCGCGTGCACGGGGACTTTGATTATGTACGAGATCGCCGCGGGAGCGGTGGACGTCATGGTCGTGGAGGCGTGTGTGGGGTCGGTGGCGCGTGCTCGCGGAAGTGTGCGTGACAAGACCCGAGCCCGACTCGCGACGCTCGAGAGCGCGCCGGCAAAAATGCCAGGTGGCATGGCACACTGCTGGCGCCGTCGGCGATCGGCGCGGCGCCATCTCGCGGCGCGCCGAGAGTGGTCGCTGCGCGCGAATTCGACATGACGACCTCCCCGCGCGGCGAGGCCCCGGCCGCCGCCGCCGCCGCCGCCCCCGCCGCCGCCCACTTCGCGTCCGTGTGCGTCTACTGCGGCTCGAGCGCGGGGGATCGCCCCGAGTTCGCGGACGCCGCGAGATCGCTCGGCGCGGAGCTCGCATCGCGAGGATCGCGGCTCGTGTACGGCGGCGGGAGCGTCGGTTTAATGGGCGCGGTGTCCACGACCGCGCACGCGAACGGCGGCCGCGTCCTCGGCGTCATCCCCGTCGCGCTCGAGCCCGTGGAAGTCTCCGGCGGGAGCGTCGGAGAGGTGATGGTCGTCGAGGACATGCACGAGAGGAAGGCGGCGATGGCGGCGGCGTCCGACGCGTTCATCGCGATGCCCGGCGGCTTCGGGACGTTAGAGGAGCTCTTAGAGATGATCACGTGGCAGCAGCTGGGGTATCACGCGAAGCCCGTGGGGGTGCTGAACGTCGCCGGGTACTTCGACCTGTTCCTGAAGTTTCTGGACGAGTCGACGGCGCGCGGGTTCATTCGACGCGAGGCGCGAGCCATCGTCGTCGTCGGGGACACGCCCGCGGAGCTTCTGGATAAGTTGGAAACGTACGCGCCGCCGCGGTCGCTGATAGAGTCGCTGGCGAAGGAAAACGGCGGTGGGGGGGGCGACGCGAAGAAGTGAGGTAGGCACGCGAGGGAGCGACGACGAGAGGGGGAGGCGCGGCGAGGGCGTCGCGGCGCGTTGAGTTAATAATTTATCATCGGAAGCGGTCGACGTCGACGAAACGTATCGTACTCCTCCGAAACCAAACCGCCGCGGGGCGTCCGTCGTCCATCCCATCCCGTCACGGATACGACCGGCTCGCCTCCGCCTCGTCCTCCACGAGCTGCTCCTCGACCATCTCCTCGTACGCCCGCGCGCTCATCAGCGCGTCGCTCCCCGCGCGTCGCATCGCGTCTCTCGACGCCGTCACGCGCGCGACCCAGCCGCTCTCCGCTGAGGAGATCGTCTGAGGGTCGTTGCCCATACGAGGCGACATCGGGGAGGCGTTGAAAGGCGCGTCAGTTGCAGTTGAAAGACGTCGAGGTGCGTCGGGATTGAAAGCGAGGGGCGAGCGGAGAGATGCGCCGGGAAGAAAAGTCCTCAAGGAACGGCGCGCGCCGCGCCGACGCGGTCGCGCGGGGACCGGCGTGAGATGACAGAACGCGCCTTGTACGGCTCGCCCACCGCCGCCGCGTTGAGTCCCACGAGCGTCGCCGGGAACGGCACGGCGACGTCGCGCACGTCCGAGACGTTCGCCCACGACGCGTGGTACAGCTCGTCCGACGCCGTGCGTTTGAATCCTTCCCAGTGCAGCCGCGCGAGGAGCGTGGAGGACGGACCCGCCGCCGCCGCCGCCGCCGCCGCGTGATGGTGATGATGACGACGACGACGCCATCCGTCCGCCTCCTCCGCGTCCACCGCCTCGACCGCTCGCACGTCGCCGATGATGTCGAACGCGTGCTCGGTCAGGCCGACGGTCATCGTGATCTCTGAGCCGTCCGACGAGACCGACTCCGGGCGCAAGATCTCGTGCGTGCGCGTGTACAGCGGCGGCGGCAGCGGCGACGTCGCGTCGACCGCGGTCGTCGACGACGACGACGCCGAGGTCGAGGTCGTGGTCGACGACGTCGCGCGCGAGAGACGCGGCGCGCGGCGGAGGCGCGGCGCGGACGCGGACGCGACGGAGGACGCGCTCGTCGCGCTCCGCGCGAGCGTCGTCGCGTCGCGCGAAGCCAGGAGCGCCGCGCGTCGAAGGAAGGAGGCCGGCATCGTCGCCGTGGGGGGCGCGCGCGCGGGATGCGTGTGAGCCACGTGGCTGCGCTGCTGCAGCTGCACTGCGTTTCGGAGTCTCAGGCGAGCGCCGCGCCGGTCGGTCACCCCGCCGGGTCGAGAACTCGAGATCGATGGAGACGACGCCCGCGCCGGCAGACCGCTGAAGCGCGAGGACGGGCCGGCCGCGGAGTCCTCACGCGCGCGCCACGCGGCGACGGCGAGCGTCCGCGTCCGCGTCGTCGCTCGCTCGCGCGGGGGCGGAGACGGCGAGAGGCGGCGGCGACGCGGCGCGCGTTCGGTCCCGTCGGGGGCGCCGCCGACAGATTTCGTTCGTCGGGCGAGCGCCGCGCCGCGCCGCGCTTTTGTAGATTTCGTTAGGGCAAATGTTCCGCACCGGCAGCGCCGGACAGATGGCGCGAACGGGGTCGCAGCAGTGCGTGGACGCCGCGGGCGTCAAGCCGCAGCCGGTGGAGTTCACGAAAGACCCGTTCGAGGAGCCCACCGCGCCGAGGAAGATCCGAAGCGTGCGGTTCTCGCTCATGTCGCCGCAGGAGATCAGCAAAGTCGGCGTGTTTCACGTCTACGAACGAAACCTTTACCAGATGCCCCAGCGCGTGCCTCTCCCGGGCGGAATCTTAGACCCGCGGATGGGAACCACGGACAAGAAGGGCGCGGAGTGCGCGACGTGCAAGGGCAAGCTCATCGACTGCGCCGGGCACTTTGGCTACGTCAAGCTCGAGCTTCCGGTGTTTCACATCGGATACTTCAAGAACGTCATCTCGATTCTGCAACAGGTGTGCAAGACGTGCAGCCGAGTGATGCTGCCGGAGGAGGAGCACGAGCAGTACCTGAGACGGTTCCGAAACCCGCGCTTGGAGAACGTGCCGAGGCGCGCGCTGTCGAAGAAGATGGCGGACCGGTGCAAGCGGTGTCGGACGTGTTATTACTGCGGCGCCGCCAACGGCGTGGTGAAACGCGCGGGACAGTCGCTGAAGATTGTCCACGAGAAGTACAGCAAGAACCCCGAGCTCATGGAGGAGTACCTGAAACAGTTCGAGGAGGCGGTCAAGTTCAACGACCAGCTGAAGCAAAACTTGTCGCGCGTGCAGGACGATCTGAACCCGATACGCGTAATCAGCATCTTCAGGCGGATTTCCCCGATGGACTGCGAGCTTCTCGACATCGCGGATCGCCCCGAGCACTTGATCTTGACGCACCTCCCCGTGCCGCCGGTGTGCATTCGCCCGAGCGTAGAGATGGACGGCGTCGCGGGGTCGAACGAGGACGACATCACGATGAAGCTCATACAGATCATCGAGGTGAACAACGTGCTGCGGCAAGGGTTAGAGAAAGGGTTGGCGATCGCAAACTTGATGGAGAACTGGGACTTTCTTCAAGTCCAGATCGCGATGTACTTCAACAGCGAGCTCCCGGGCTTATCGCTGCAGTACCAAGGCCCGGGGAAGCCGCTGCGAGGGTTCGTGCAGCGTCTGAAAGGGAAGCAAGGACGATTCAGAGGGAACCTGTCGGGGAAGCGCGTCGACTTTAGCGGCCGAACGGTGATCTCCCCGGATCCGAACCTACGCATAGACGAAGTCGGCGTCCCGATGCACATCGCGAAGCTGATGACGTACCCAGAAGTCATCTCGAAGCACAACATCGAGCACATACGCGAGCGCGTCAGGAACGGCATGAACAAACACCCGGGCGCCAACTTTGTCCGGTTCAAGTCGGGCGGGACGCAGTATCTGAAATACGGCGACCGAAGACGCGTCGCGAGCGAGCTCAAGTTTGGCGACGTCGTCGAACGCCACCTGAACGACGGCGACGTCTTACTCTTCAACCGCCAGCCGAGTCTACACAAGATGTCCATAATGGCGCACCGAGCGAAGATCATGCCGTGGCGCACGCTGCGGTTCAACGAGTGCGTCTGCGCGCCGTACAACGCCGATTTCGACGGCGACGAGATGAACATTCACTGCCCGCAGACGGAGGAAGCGCGCGCGGAAGCGATCGAGCTCATGGGCGTGCACAAGAACCTGTGCACGCCGAAGAACGGGGAGATACTCATCGCCGCGACGCAGGATTTCTTGACCGCGTCGTACCTGCTCACGTCGCGCGACTCGTTCTTGGACCGCGCGCAGGTTGGGCTTCTCGTCGCGATGATGGGCGACGCGTTGATGTCAGGCGCGTATTCCTTACACTGGTCCCCATACGACCGCGTTGGCGTGGTGAACGCCGATCCTTAAGGACTTTGTCAGGCGCATCTCTCCGCCCACCCCTCGCGTTCAATCCCCGCCTTCGACGCCTTTCAACTCCAACTGACGCCTTTCAACTCCACCCCGACTTCGCTTCGTATGGAACGACCCTCAGTCGACCTCCCCACGCCCGCGATCATCGCCCCGATCGAGCTGTGGACGGGGAAGCAAGTCTTCGGGATGCTCGTGCGCCCCAAGGCGAGCGACCAGGTGTTCGTGAACCTCGAAGTCGCGGAGAAGAGCTACGGGAAGGTTGGGAAGCACATGTGCCCGAGGGACGGGTACGTCTGCGTTCAAAACTCCGAGATCATGTGCGGGCAGCTCGGCAAGGCCACGCTCGGCGGCGGGAACAAGACCGGTCTCTTCTACGTCCTAAACTCCGAGTACGGCCCCGAGGTGACCGCGAGCGCGATGAACAGAGTCGCGAAGCTCAGCGCGCGGTGGCTTGGCTCGCGCGGTTTCTCCGTCGGCATCGACGACGTCACCCCCGGCGCGAGGCTCTCCGCGGAGAAGGCGAAGGTCGTCAGCAAGGGTTACGCGGACTGCGACACGCGGATCGAGGCGTGGAAGCAGGGCACGCTCGCGCTGCAGCCCGGGTGCAACGCGGAGCAGACGCTCGAGAGCGAGGTGTTGGGAATCCTATCCAACGTGCGAGAGACGGCGGGCAACGCGTGTCTCGAGGAGCTCCCTCGAATCAACGCGCCGCTCATCATGGCGCTGTGCGGGTCGAAAGGGTCGACGATCAACATATCGCAGATGGTCGCGTGCGTCGGGCAGCAGGCTGTTGGCGGGCAACGGCCGCCGGACGGCTTCGCCGAGCGCTCGCTGCCGCACTTTAGGAGAGGCGAGAAGACGCCGGCGGCGAAAGGGTTCGTCGCGAACTCGTTCTTCAGCGGGATGCGTCCGACGGAATTTTTCTTCCACACGATGGCGGGCCGCGAGGGCCTCGTGGACACCGCGGTGAAGACCGCGGAGACGGGGTACATGTCTCGGCGGCTGATGAAAGCGCTGGAGGACCTCAGCTTGCGGTACGACGGCACGGTGCGGAACAGCACGGGCGGGATCGTGCAGCTGACGTACGGGGACGACGGGTTAGAGCCGACGGATATGGAGGGGCGAGAGGCGCAGCCGGTGGACTTTTCGCGGCTGATCATGCACGTCCGGGGGATCGTCCCGAGGGCGCGTCAGCCTTTGGTCGGCGAGGACGACGTCCGAGCCGCGCTCGCGAAGATTGGCGTGTCGTTAGACGACGACGGCGACTCGAACGCGGCGAAGGCGGTCAAATCGGACGTCGACGCCGTCGCGGGAGGGAGGCAAAAAGCCAAGGCCGCCGCCGCCGCCGCCGGGCGCGGCGCCGGGCGCGGCGCCGGGCGTGGCGGGAGCAGATCCCCCGCCGTGAAGGCTGCGAGCGCGGTAAAGCAAGAGAGCAGCGACGCGTTCGTCGAGGTGAAGGAGGAGAAGACGGAGGAGGTGGCCGCGGCGGCGACGACGCCGACGAGGGCGTCCAAGCGACCGTCGAGGTCGTCTTCGAGGGGGAAAGGGAGCCAGACGCCGACGCCGCCGCCGCCGTCCGCGTCGTCGAAGCCCTCGACGAGCAAGGAAGGCAAAAAGAAATCCGCCGCCGCCGCCGTCGCGGAAGAGAGCAAAGCCGCCATGGAGACGGATGACGACGACGCCAAGGCGAAGATGCCGCCGCCGCCGTCCCCCGGCGCGGTCGCGAGCGCGGCGGCGCATCACATGCGCGACGACGACACGCGCGCGTCGAACCCTCAAAATTCCCTCTCGTCGCTCTTCAAGCACGAGATCGCGACGTTCGCGAAGCGCGAGCTCGTGAGAACCGGCCCCGCGGACGGCAACGGCGTGGGCGTGACCGCGGCGCAGCTCGACGAGTTTCTCGCGCGGTGCGTCCAAAAGTACGACGCGAAGCGGATCGAACCCGGCAGCGCCGTCGGCGCCGTCGGCGCGCAATCCATCGGCGAACCCGGCACGCAGATGACGCTGAAAACGTTCCACTTCGCCGGCGTGGCGTCCATGAACATCACGCTCGGCGTCCCGCGCATCAAGGAGATCATCAACGCGTCGAAAAACATCAGCACGCCGATAATAACCGCCACCTTGGCGTGCGACGACGACGTCAAAGCCGCGCGCGTCGTGAAGGGCAGGGTGGAGAAGACGACGCTCGGGGAGGTGTGCAAGCACATCCACGTCGTGTTCGACCCGACCGCGTGCTACCTCGAGGTCGCGCTCGACCCGGACGTCATCCGCGCGCTGCAGCTGGACGTCACCGTCGCCACGGTCAAGCGCGCGCTGCTGTCGACGACGAAGCTCAAGCTGAAGCCGAACCGGGTGTTGGAGAGAGCCGGGAACGTGTTGCACGTGTTGCCTCCGGACGCGTCGGACGCGGCGGCGGCGCGGACGGCGGCGGCGCGCGACGCCGTCGGCCCGGCCGCGATCCACCGCGACGCGTTTAACCTCCAGAACCTTCGTACCGCGGTCCCGAACGTCATCGTTCAGGGGATACCGAGCGTGTCGAGGGCGGTCATAAACGACAAGGGCGGCGGGAAGCTCAATCTCGTCGTGGAGGGCACGGATTTACGCGCGGTGATGGCGACGGAGGGCATCGAGGGGACGCGGACGACGACGAACCACGTCATGGAAGCGGAGCGGACGCTAGGCATCGAAGCCGCGCGGTTTTGCATCATCAAAGAGATCAACGACACGATGAAAGCCCACGGGATGTCCATCGACGCGCGGCATTCGATGCTCCTCGCCGACGTCATGACCTACAAGGGCGAGGTGCTCGGCATCACGCGATTCGGCATGGCGAAGATGAAGGACAGCGTCCTGATGCTCGCGTCGTTCGAGAAGACCACGGACCATCTGTTCGACGCCGCGCTGCGCGGCCGCGTGGACACTATCGACGGCGTGAGCGAGTGCATCATCATGGGCATTCCGATGCCGGTCGGCACCGGGATGTTCAAGTTGCGGCACAGGGCGATGCGGCTGGAGGACGCGACGGAGGAGGAGGCGGCGGCGGCGGCGGGCGGCGGCGCGGCGGCGGCGGCGGGGGGGAAGAAGCTCACGATCGAGGACGAGATTTTGGCGCTTCCGAAGCGTCCGGCGCCGCTGATGCGGCAGCTCGGGTTGCAGTGAGAGCGAACGACGACGACTAGCGTCGGCGTTTACGAGTACGAGCGCTCGCTTCGACGAGCTCTCTGAAAGATTTTCTCAAATCAAAAAACAAGCTCACGGCGCGCGCAGCTCAGAATCGTCCACTTTGAAAAAATCGAAATCGATCGAATCCTGCGCGACGCCTCATCACTCAGATCCCGCGCCCCACCATGACGCTCGGGGAGCTGTCCGAGTCGGACGACGACGCGCCCGTGGACGCCGCGGCGGCGGCCAAGGCTGCGAAGAAGATCGCGAAGGCGGCGAAGAAGGCGGCCGCGAAGAAAGCGGCGGCGGCGGTCCCGACGATCGGATCTCAGACGATACATCTTCCTCGCGCGCTGTCGTCGCCGACGAAGCCGCGCCCGCCGGCGGACGTGGACGACAAGGCGTTCGGGTTCCTCTCCGCGACGTCGACCGCCGCGGAGAAGGCGCGGCTCGCGATCGCGAGGGCGGGACGCGCGTCCGCGTCCGCGTCGGGGAAGGGCGCGGGCGCCATCAAGAAGGGCGCGCGAACGGCGTCGTCCGCGGGCGCAGGCGGGACGAGCACCATCGCGCGCCTGGTGGAGGAGAAGCGCGCGGAGGAGGCGCGGAAGCGAAAGCTCGCGACGCAGACGAAGAAACTCGACGCGCAGGTCGCGGAGGAGTGCGCGAACAGGGACCGCGAGCGCGCGATGGCGATGGCGTCGCTCGTGGCGGACCGCGAGGTGCGCGCGATGCACGCGGTGACGGACCGCGTGCGAGAGATGGAACGCGACGCGAACGAGCAGCTCGAGGACGGGGAGAGCGGCGGGATCGACGAGACGCCGTACCCGTCGGAAGTCGTCCGCGCGCTGAGCGACGACGCGTTCGTTCTTAGCGCGGACGACGACGACGTCGGGGAAGAAGAGGACGACGCGTATTACGCGGGCGAGGACGGCGACGACGACGTCCCGAGCGATCTGCGACAGTTCGCGGACGCCGCCGAGGCGGGCGCGGCGTCGAGGGGCGACCTGCGCGAAGCCGCGAACGAAACAGCTCGAAAGGAAGCGTTACGCGAGGTACTCACCGGCGGGTGGCTCGCCCGCGCCTTCATCTCGCGGACGGACGCCGCCCCCGCCGCCGCGACGACGACGACGACGACGACGGAAGGAGAGACGGAGACGGCGGCGGCGTGCGCGGCGGACACGGCGCGGTGGCTCTGGGCGGCGGCGACGGACGTCGCCGCGTCGCGCGCCATCGTCCTCGGCGCGCGAGACGCGCTCCTCGCCGCGTCCGGTCACGAGCCGCTGTACTCCTCGACGTGCGGCGTCGCGCGGAGACGGCGTGGGGTTGGGGTGTTACGTCCCGCGCCGAGAGTGTCCTGGGCGCCGACCGCGAAGGAGGTGTTACGCGCGTTGGCGGCGAACGGCGTCGTCGCCGCCGCCGCCAAAAGTAACGGCGGCGCGAAGAAGAAGAGCGCCGGGAGAGGATCGAAACGCGGCGGCGACGGGAACGGGAACGCGAAAGCCGCCGCGGCCGCGTCGGAGAACAGCGGTCGCGCGGCGTTTCCGCTCTCCGGGCGCGGCGTCGAGGACCAGAGGGAAGTCGTCGCGCTCACGACGCCCGCGCCCGGCGCGTTGCGACCGCAAATTTTCGCCGTCGTCCAGCTGACGACGGCGTGGTGCGACGTCGCGCCGGACGACGGCGGGTGCGCGACCGACGCCGACGCCGCGTCGGACCTCCTCGCCGTCCTCGCGTCGCTTCACCGCGACCCGCGCGCGGGGGCGTGCTACGCCGCGATCGACGCCGCGTCGACCGCGCTCGTGTCCGCGTTTAGCGGCGGAGTACGCGCGGGGGATTCGCTGTGTTTGGGGTCGGCCAAGGCGCGCGCGCGGGAAAACGCGAGGGCGACGCGTTGGCGCGAATTCGCCGACGCCGCGGCGCCGAAACTCGCGAGGACGGGGCCGACGCACGCGTCTCGACTCGCCGCGATCAGGTGGCTGCCGTGGCGGACGCGGCGCGAGCAAGAGCTGCAGGACGTCGCGGCGTTGCACGCGCTCGAGGACGTCGTGCCGCACGTGCTCCGCGAAGCCGGCGGCGGCGGCGCGGCGGCGGCGTCTTCCGACGACGACGACGACTCCGGGGATGAGATCGCGGTCGCGGCCGCGAACCCGCCCGCGAAGCGCGCGAAAACGGCCGGCGGGGACCGCGAGCTAAACCTCGGGGAGCTTCAGGCTGCCGCGGTGAGGGTTTTGTCGCCCGTCGTCGTCGGCGCGGAGACGTCGGCGGACGCGGCGTGGGCGCTGTGGACCGCGATTCATCTGTGCGACACCGCGCTGCACTCCGGCGCCGCGTCCGGCGGCGGCGCGGGGGGCGGCGCGCCGCACACGCCCGGGAAACAGGCTGCGGAGGCGTCGTCCCTGAGCGAAGCCGTCGTGCGCTTCATGGGGTTTTTGAAGACGACGAAGGCGTCGATACCGCGGGGGAATAAAACCGCGCTCGCGGCGGCGAAGAACCTCGCCGTCGCCGTCATGACGCGGCACCAACGCGCGCAGCAGTTGAGGGAGACGAAGCACGAGCTCGCGAGAGAGGACGAGGACGACGAGGACGACGAGGGGGAGGAGGAGGAGGAGGAGGCGTTGACGCAGGTTCCGAGGCTGACGCAGGCGGAGAACACCTCGAGCAGCTCGGAACTGTGACGACGACGTTTCGCGAGGCGACGCGCAGCTGGCGACGAGACGAGACGAAACGAACTTTGAACTTTGAGTACAAAAGCTACGTGTACTACCCTCATCACGCTCCTCCCTCCCACTCGCCGCCTCGCTCGCTCACGCCGCGCGTCGGGCGATGATGAACCGTCGTAACAGCGCCGCGCGGCCCATCGTCGTCATGGACGCGATGTCCCGCGCCATCTCCCTCGGCGGCAACCCCTCGAACGCCGCGAGCGCGGCGACGACGGCGTCGCCGTCCGCGCGCTCCGTCGCCGTCTCTTCGACCGCGGGGTGGTCGGGGTGATCGCCATCCTCTTCCCTCAACTCGATCCTCCTCGGTCTCGATCTCTTCGCCGCCGCCGCCGCGGTCTCCTCGCGAAGACGGAGACGCGCCCTCTCATCGATCGCGTCGTCCTCCGCCGCGTCCTTCTCCCTCGCGAGCCGCAGCGCGCGCTCGCTCCGCGCCGACTCCGTGCGCGTCGCCCGGCCGAGGATGTTATTGTGCTCGTGCTCGTACACGACCCCGTGCTCTTCCCTGTCCAAGGAGACGTCGACGTCGCGGCGGCCGCGGCCGCGCCCGCGAGGAGGTCTTCCCCGTCCGCGCCCGCCGCGGCCTCCGGGGCCCGCTCCTCCCGCGGCGGACGGGCTCGCGATGCTGTCCGCCGACGCTCGGCGGTCGCCGTCAGACGGCGCGGACGCGGATGACGTCGTCGCACGCTCGCCGCCGCCGCCGCCGCGCCACCGCGACTTCTCCGTCTTCACGCCGCCGCCTTCCCCCCCCTCGGCCTTATCGACCTTATCCATCGCCTTCTCTATCGTGTAGTACGCGTTCGAGGCGACCCTCTCGCGTCGCACGAGTCCGTCCATGCGCGTCAGCCCCTCCCGCGCCAACGTGAAAAGATTCTCTAAACCGAAGAGCTCGCCCTGTCGACGTTTGTCCCCTTGCACGCCCTCAAAGTACCTGCGCTCGCGGACCGCGTCCACGGCGACGTTGCTCTGCTGCTGTTTATACACCTGCCGCTGATACACAATCTCCTCGATCGTGTCCGCGGCGATGAACCGGTACACGTTCACGTCTCGTCGTTGTCCGATGCGATACGCGCGGTCTTGCGCTTGGAGATCCAACGCCGGGTTCCAGTCCGGATCGAACACGACGACCCTGTTCGCGGAGGTTATGTTCAACCCCACGCCGCCGGCTTTCGTGGAGAGCAAGAAGACGAACATCGACGACGAGTTGTTGAAGTCGTCCACGAGCGGCTGCCGCGCGTTTTGCGCGGTCCCGCCGTCGAGCCGGCAGTACACGTACCCACGCCGCGAGAGAAACTTTTCGAGAATGTCCAAAAGGCGCGTGCTCTTGCTGAAGAGCAACACCTTGTCGTTCGCGCGGTGCCAAATCTCGAGGAGTTTCTCGAGCGCCAACAGCTTCCCGCAGTTGGTCGCGGCGGATATCCGCGCGAAGTCGTTGTCTTGCCTGTCCGCGCCGCCCAACAAGTGCGCGTCCTCTCCGAGCGCGAATTTCGCGACGACTTCATCCCTCGCCACCTTCTCCTTGTCCTCGTCGCCGTGGTCCGGCTTCAGAAGCTCGAGGTGGTTGCTCAAGCGCAGCAGGATGTTGATGTACACGAGCGACATGCAGTGCGGGCACGCGCGGTGCTCGGTGTGGTCGTAGTTGTGCCATATCGGATACTGTTCCTCGTTCCCGGCGACGCCGTCTGGGGGGGCGGCGTAGCAACACGACGACCGCCTCTCGCCGCTGCCGCAGTCGCAGTCCTCCGCGAACCGCACGAGCAGCTGCATGTCCGGCGAGTCTAACAGCCGGCGGTACACCCTTCGCTGCAACGGCGACAGCTCGCAGAACACGACGTTGTCGGACTTCTCCGGGAGTTGCCCGGCGAGGACCACTTTTTTCGTGCGCTTCAGGACGTACCGCCGCAACAACCGCTTCAGCTGATCCGCCCTGTCCCTGCCTCTTCCGAGCGTGTAATCGTCCGCGCCGAACCTTTGCGCTTGCTGCATGTACTTGCTGTAGTACTCCTTGAACGCTTTCAGACCGCCTAAGCTCCCGGGGCACGCCCAGTCGAGCAAACACCACAGCTCGTCGTACGAGTTTTGCATCACCGTCCCGGTGAGCCCGAACCGACGCTCCCGCGGTAACCTCCGCGCGGCTTCGTACAGCATCGTCTTGTCGTTCTTCAGCCGGTGCGCCTCGTCGAAGACGACGACGGACCAGCGCTGCGACGTCATCTCGTCCACGCCGAGACGAAACGTATCGTACGCGGTGAGCACAATCTCCGTCGACATGGCGGGTTCTCCGACGCCGTGTCCGACGCCTTCGCGTCCGACGCCTATGTCCGACGCCTTCGCCTTCACCCTCGCCCACGCGTCCGCCTTGTCCGCGCCGTGGACTTTCTCGACGACGAACCCGCCGTCCGGAAGGTGCTCGCCCCACCTCGCGAGCTCGCGCTCCCAGTTCGTCAGCACGGAGGTCGGGCACACGATCAGCGCCGGCGGCGGCGGCGCGCCGGTGCACGCGTCGAACGACGCCGGAGACTTGAGCACCGCGGCGAGAAACGCGATCGTTTGGATCGTCTTCCCGAGGCCCATGTCGTCGCCCAAGACGCCGCCTTTTCTGGTCGCGTAGAGCTTGTACAGGAACATCACGCCCTCGCGTTGGTACTCGCGGAGGTAACAGTTGAGCGCCGCGGGGACGAAGAGCGAACCCGCCGGGTCCGCCGCGTCTCGTCCGTCTGCTACGTCTCCGTCTCTGTCTCCATCCGACCGCGCCGCCGTCTGCGTCTGCGTCTGCGTCTGCGTCTGCGTCTGCGTCAGCGTCAGCGTCTGCGGCGGCCCTGCGCCGATATCCTCGTCCCACTCTGCGGTGGGCGGGCCGAGTACCAACGCCCCCGCTTGCGCCGCGGTTTGGAGGCGCCCGAACGACCCGAGCCCGCCGCCGCCGGCGACGTCGTCGTCGTCGTCCATGGGCTCCGCGACTTGGTGCATGACGCGCTCGAGGGTTTCCTTATCCCACGCGTCGACGCCGCCACCGGTCGTGGCCGCGACCTCCTCGACGTCGCTGTCGTCGCCGCCGCGCGCGGGCGCGGACGCGGACGCGGGCGCCGAGCCGACGCCGACGCCGACGCCGAGGACGCCGTCGACGGTCGCCGCGGCGGCGGCGGCGACGTCGACGTCCATCATCCCGGTCGCGTCGCTCTCCGCTCGTTTCGCCGCGGTCTCGCGCCGTCTGACGTCGTCCGCGCGCTCCTCTTCTTCCGCCATGAGCTCCGCCAAGGATATCTGCGTCGGGGACGGGACGCGGACGGGAGGGCGGGGGAGAGTGGAGGGAGCGACGACGTCAGATTCGATCGACGGAAGGAAGCGCGTCGAGCCCGCGAGGAGGACGGCGAGACGAACCTTTCGCGCGCCGGCGCCGTCCGTCCCGCTGTGTTTCATCGACCGCGCGCGCGCCGCGTCGTCGTCGTCGTCGTCGTTCGGTCTCGCCGCGGTCCCCGCGGCTTTCAGGACGTCGAGGAACTCCATGGCTTCTCGCGTCTTCTTCGGGGGTTGCCAACTCTGATTTAGTGCGTCTAAACGACGGCGACGGACGCGCGTCGCTCGCGGACGCGGACGCGGGCGACGACGCGGAGGCGGACGCGAGACGCGCGAGGACGCCCTCGCGCGCGCTAAAACTCTCGCGCGCGCGCGGTCGTCGAGAGCGTCGCACGCACCGCGCGCGAGACGCCAGATCTCGCGCGCGATGGAGTGCCTCGTCTGTCGATGCTGATACGAATTGAACGTCTGATCGAACGCGACGCCCCCCCTTCCAGTCTCGCGCGCGTCGCGATCCGTCGTCGACTCTCTTCATCTGTGGTATGTTATTATAGATACGCGCGTCAAACGCACGACACGCCCTCGCGTTCGCGTGCTAATCGCGAGCGCGGGCCTACCGCCGTCGTGCTGAACCGCGTGTAAGCGTAAGAAGACTACCCGAATCCCCGACCCGAATCCCCGTCGTTCATCCTCCCGCCGCCGTCCGCGCGATCGATCGCCCCCGACCGACCCCGTCCCGTCTCTCGCGATCGCCCCCGACTCTCTCCTCATCGCGGCGTTCTCTCTCTTCTCTCCCTCCTCTCTCTATAACGTACGTCATGTCGTCCGTCCGTCATCGCGAATGCGAATCGTCGCTCGCTCACGCGCGGTCGTCCCGAGGCCGCGACGACCCCCCCGTCGCCCCCCTGCTCTTGCCGCGGTCGACGTCGCCGTACCCGCCGCCGCCGCCGCCGCCGCTCGCGCCCCCGCGTTCTCTGCTCGACGTCCGCTCTCGCCCGTCGCCGCCGCGTTCTTTCGAGCTCTCGTTTCGACGACGCGCGCTCTCGAGCGCGGCGGTGCGCTCCGCCGCGGACGCGCTCGGGTGCCCGCGGTCGCCGCCGCCGCCGCCGCCGCCGCCGCCGCTCGGCCCCGCGCTCGGCCGCGTCAGCGCCTGCGTCTGTTGGTACTTTAAGATGGTCCAGTCGAAGACGTAGTCGTACTGATACCCCTCGCGAATGAACAGATCGCGGAACAGCTTGCGGACGTACGAGTAGTCCGGCTTATCCTCGAAGCGCAGGGACCGGCACAGCTGAAAGTACGTCACAAACTCGGGCGGGAACCCTTTGCACAGGACCTCGATGGGCGTGGACATCTTCTTCTCGGAGATTTTCTCGTACTTTTGCTTCTTCGTAGCCGCCTTCAGTCCTTGCCACGGCAGCGACCCGCGGAGGAAGTACATCAACACGTACCCTAGCGACTCGAGGTCATCCCGACGCGACTGCTCGATCCCGAGGTGCGTGTTGATCGACGCGTATCGCGCCGTGCCGGTGAGGTTCTTGTTCTCTCGGTACGGAATGTGTTGATGCGACTTGGGATCGCGGTACTTCTTCGCGAGGCCGAAATCGATGATGTTCACCTGGTTCGCGCGCTTGCCGAGGCCCATGAGGAAGTTATCCGGCTTGATATCGCGGTGAATGAAGCTCTTGCTGTGCACGTACTCGATCCTCGACACGAGCTGGTCCGCGAGCATCAGCACCGTCTTCAGCGACAGCTTGCGGTTGCAAAAGTTGAACAGATCCTCGAGGCTCGGGCCCAAGAGATCGAGCACCATGATGTTGTAGTCGCCCTCGACGCCGAACCATCGCACGTTCGGGATGCCGGCTGCGGTGAACACAGTTCGAGTGGGGTGGATGAAGGTGAGTCGCGGAGGTTTCATAGGCGGGCGGGACGACGAGAGCGAGAACGAGAACGGGGAAACGCGAGCGAACAGACGCCCTTCGCGAGGGAGGCTTTTTTTTTTTTTCGAGGCTCGGAGAGACGCGTCGGGGACGTACTTCCGCCCTGGAGGATCTTGTACAGCTTGGACTCGTACAGCAGCTGCGGGTGCTTCGTCTTGACGGATTCCTGAGAGGAGGAAGAGCGCGCGGGGGGGCGACGTCAGCGCGCGCGCGGAAGAAGTCGCCGCGCGAAAGGCGTCGCGGACCCGTTGGAGGAAATGAGTGCGTCACCCGAGGGAGGGGGCGTAAGTGGGCCCCGAGGGTTTCTTCGCGCGATCGCGCGACGAGCGCGCGCGGAAACGCGCGGAAACGCACCAGCTTGATGCCAACCTCCTCTCCGGTTTGAATGTGCGTGCCTGAGGGAACGAAAACGGGGTGCGAGGTCAGATCATGGAAGATATCCCGCGCGGGAGACGCCCCCCCCCATTAAAAGAAACACCGATCGCGCGAAACGGTGCCCGGTGCGACCGCGTCGGACGCGCGGGGGACGCACCGAGGTAGATGTCGCCGAACGACCCGCTCCCGATCTTGCGACCGAGGCGGTACTTGTTCCCGACGCGGAGCTCTAAACCGCTAGACATGACGTCCGGGTCGGGCGACGTCGACGCGGCGCGCGCGCGCGATCACCGGCCCCGCGGTCCCCGACGCGTTCGCAGCGTCCCGCGCTTCGCAGACGAGAAGCCGAGAAAAGCGCGCGTCCACGCGCTGCCGACTTCGCCGCCGCGCGTTGTGCGCGAGACGCGCGCGCGTGATCGAGCTCGCGAAGACGCGTCTCGAGACGAGGATCACCTCGGTTGTCGCGTTCCCGTCGCGGTGCACACGCGGTGCGCGCCGTAGACTGCGCGCGACGGGCGCGGGGAGGCCTCGGAGCGATCGTCGAATTGGTCCGAACCCGGGTCAAACCCGAGTCAGACCCGAGTCAACCGCGTCGCGCTGCGATCAGATCGAACCACCGCCAGGCACGCGCGATCGATCGGCGCGGGCGCGGCCGAACGCGATTGCGACTACGCGCGAACCGACGGGTTTCCTCGCCACTCGCCCGGGCGCGCGATGAGCAGCTACGACAACGTCATGCGAGGGGGCCTGAAGCTGAAAGGCGGCGGCGGGCTCCCCACGGTCGGCGGCGTCGGGAAGAAGAAGAAGAAGAAGTCCAAGAAGAAGGACGCGGGCGCGGAAGGCGGCGCGGAAGACGCGGGCGACGGCGCGCCCGCGGGCGAATTGACGCTCGGGGAGGAGGACGGCGTCCGGCGCGCCTACGTCGTGGACAACAGGACCGCCGCGGAGAAGCGGTACGACGAGCAGATGGAGAAGAACCAGGAGCGGCAGATCCAGAAGATGGCGTCCAAGTCGCATCGCGACAAGGTCAGGGACTTCAACGAGTACCTCAGCAAGCTGAGCGAGCATCACGACATCCCGAAAGTCGGGCCGGGGTGATCGATCTACGTCAGTCGCGAACGATCGCCGATCGCTCCGGGCGCGATCGAACGCGTCGTGGACGTTCATTAGGAACGAGGACGCGAGGGAGCGTCGCCCTCGTCGTAGACGACATTCTAGCACGTTGTCAACGGACGCGAACGCCTCTAGAAGCGACGAACGAACCCGCCGCCGGCGTCTCTTTCTCTGCCGAATCCGACGCTCGCCGCCCACCTAATAATTCTCCATCGCCGGCGTCGTCATCGCGGCTCGTCCTCTATCGTCGTGTCCACGTCGCCGTCCTCCAACCTCTCGAACCGCACGCGCTTCAAGACGTCCGCGCCCGCGCGATACGTGAACGACATCCCTATCTCCACGGGTATCTCGGCGGGCGGGGCGCCGCCCGCGCCGACGACGCCGCCGCCGCCGACGCCGCCGCCGCCGCCGCCGTCGACGCCGCCGCCGCCCGCGCGCGCGTCTTGTATCGCGACCACCGCCTCTATCTTCCTCGCGCAGACCAACAACACGTCGTACTCCGCCGGGTACGTCAGCGCGATGAAGTTATCGCTCAGCTCGGACATTCGAATCGCGCCCAGCTCGCGAATCGGGAGCTTCCTTCGCACGCGGCGGGTGTCCGCGTCGAGGAGGTAGACGGATCGCGCGCACACGAGCATGGACCGCGGGACAGCCTCGCCCCTTCGGTTGATCTTCAACACGGACTCGCTGAACATCACGAACGGCGGCTCGCCGTGCTTCGCCATGAGCTTCGCGACGTCCGGGTCGTCGCGGAGGTTGAGATGGTCGCCGAGGAACATCTTTCCCGCGCTGCTTCGGCGTCGCTCCTTGCGCCCCTGCGATGGAGCGAGGGGAGGGATCGACGACGGGAACGTGCGAGGGCGCGTGAGTTCGCGCGCGATCTGATCGGACGACGACGACGAGCGGGCGGGCGGGCGGCGGGGAGAACCGCGGACGCGACGCGGGCGCGAGGGGGCGAACGACCGAGCGACGCGCACCATGAACGGCTGGAGCGGCTCCGCGATCTCGAACGCCATCGCGAGCGACGCGCGGCGGGGCGCGCGGCGACGACTGTCTGATTAGCGCGCGTTTGGTTTTCGAGCCGAAAGTGCCGAGTCCGAGTAGACGAAAAAAAAAAGCCGCCGCCGCGCGCGGAGACGCCTCGCCGCGCCTATCGATCGACACGTCGGGTCATCGCGCGCGTCCCGCGCGACGGCGCGACGCGAGAAGAACGAACGAACGAACGAACGAACGACATCGAAGGAAGGTAAGGTTACGAAGGTAATAAATGAGTGAAGAACGTTCGATGGAGTTTTCTGATGAGCGTCGCCGATCCATCACCCGATCGAGCCGCCCTTGATGGAGCCGCACGTCACCGGCCCCGCGCTCGTCATCATGGGCATGTCCTTATACGACGCGACGCAGTCGTCCGTCGTGCGCAGACCCGGCTGCACCTTCTCCCACGTCTTCTTCTTCTTCATCTGGTTCTCCGTGTGCGCCTCCGCCATGTCCGCGGCGGCGACGTCGCCGAACGACACGCGCTCGCCCGGGACGGCGTCGTCCGGCGCGAGCAGGAGCTCCACCTTCTCGTGCGACGCGTCGGACGCGGCGAGGAGCATGCCGTGGGACGGGACGCCCTGCATGTTGCGCGATTTCAGGTTCGCGAGCACGACGACGGTCTTGCCTTCGATGTCCTGTGGGGTGGGGGGGAACGCGGCGGGGTCCGTCGGTCGCGGCGCGAGACGAGATCCGCGCGCGCGCGGAGGAGGAAGAGGGTCCAGGGCTTTGGTCCTACGCGACGCGATCGCATCGACGCACCTCCGCGGACATGTAGGGCACGAGCCCGCTGCAGATCGTCCGCGGCTCCGCCTCGCCGACGTCCACGGTCTCGACGTAGAGCTTGTCCGCGTCCTCGTGCTTCGTCGCGGTGAGCACGCGCCCGACGCGAAGGTCGACGAGCTGCTCGACGCCGTCGGGGGCGTCGACGACTTCCTCCGCCATGGCGCGGATCGAGAGAGGGGACGTCACCGCGCGCGCGCGGAGCGCGGCGGCGCGCGTCGGCGCGCGGAGGGGGGCGGCCGCGGCGATCGCGTGCACGGCTCGGAGGGCGAAGGCCATCGTTCGCGCGATGGGGGAGCGGGGAGCGCGCGGCGCGACGGGGAGTGCGCGCGCGACGACGACGACGCGCCGATCGCGCCGAGAGGCTGCGTCGTTTCCGAGACTGGATTTTACTGGATCAGATTCTGTTCTCGATAAATAATTCGCTCCTACGTGTACGTGTAGTCCCGTCGTGGGGTTGCTTACTACGTGAGAGGATTGTTCGTAGTGCGGTCTGCTCGCTTCTAGATCACATGTTTTACCCGGATGGGTTAGAGCTCAGTCTTTTTGTAATCAGATCTACACTGTAGTGTACGTGTAGTCTACGCGCTCTCACGCGAGACGCGCGCGTCTGTTACCACTGATACACGATACCCGAAGGGGCCGACCGACGGACGCTCGATCATCGCTCATCACGACCAGTTGAATATCTCCGCGAGCCAACTCTTCTCGACGTGCCGCTTCTCTTCGATCTTAAACACGCCGAGGTGCCCGCCTAGCTTTCCCTCTCGAAGGCGAAAGACGACCTGATCGCCCTCTTTTAAAACCACCGCCTTGGACGCGGGCAACGGGTCGTACCGCCCGCTGTCGTCGATCATGTACCCCGGTCCGTCCCTCAGGGCTTTCATTCGGATCTTTTCTTTCACGATCGTCAGCGTGAACTGCTGCCGGCTCACGGCTTTGCTCCACACGCCGCCGACGCCTCGGCCCATCATCTGCGCCCCCTGGTGCAGGTCGACGGTGAACGGCTCCGGCTTCTTGCCGTCGTGCTCCTCCATGTGCGAGATGACCTGCTGCTCCGTCATCTGCTCCACGAGGTGGAGGACTTTGTGTCCGCCCTCGACGTGGTTCGGCCCGGAGCCTTCGACGAACTCGGCTTCGTCCTGAGGAATCATGTTCAGGCGGTCGCGCACGTCTCGGACTTGGTCGTATAAATCGTAGATGGCGTTTTCGTAGCTCATCCCGGGCTCGTCGTCATCGTTCACGAGGCGCAAGAAATGCGGGTTGAACGGCACGCCCTTGTGCTCCTTCTTCTCGTAGTTCTCCGCCATGTTTTCTAACAGCGTGCGCTCGCCGTCGTCCTCGTACTTGTCGTCCTGGAACCGTTCGTTCGTGATCTCTCCGATTAAGTCCGTGACGACCGTCGCGAGCGCGATGAGCACGAACGCGTTCACGAGCGTCGCGATGAGGGCGTAGTACTCGAACGCGCCGAGGTCGCCGTGGGCGTGAAAGGAAAAAAGCACGCCGGACCAATCGCGCTCGGACCACGTCCCTTCCTTCGACTGTAAGTTCGTGCCGTAATCGGCCGTGTAGTGGTACTCTTTGCCCGGCCCGTATCGCTCCGTGGTCGGGAGTAGCGTCGGGGTGACTGTCGCGACGACGTCGTAGTTGAACGGATCCCACTCGGCGAACTCCCGCGTGTTTCGCACGTCGATATCTAGGATGATCTTCGCCCCCATGAAACGGTAAGGCACGTTCGGAGAGTTCACGTACCTGGTGGCGCTGCCAGCGTACCCCGTCATGTCCGCGTCCAAGTCTACGCCCGCCAACGCCAAAAGATCTGTCACCGAGATCTCGACGTACGACCCTTCTCTCTTCGGGTAGTACGTGTCCGAGCCGATGATCAGCTTGTCCGGGAGCTGGTCTATCCCGTTCTCGCTCTTCACGCGGAACTGAAACTTCAGCTTGAGCGTCTCCGCGCGCGCGACGTACGCGTCCGCGACGCTCGTAGCGGCGTCCGAGCACGTGTCAAACACGTTGGCGCTCGCGGTGTAGGTCCCGGAGCACGTCCGCGAGTACATCGTCTCCCGAAAGTGCGTGTATATCCACGCTGCTCTGTCGTTCATCTGGGTGAACTCCGCCGGTTGGGGCGTCACGCACTGTGGGTTCGTGTACACGAGGCTCGTGTCGAACCCTGCGATGTAGTCCACTTCTTCGTAAATCGTCGCCGCGGTCCCGTACACGCAGTAGGCCAAGTTGCTCACCGTCGTCGAGAACGCGGTGTCGTAATCATCCGTTACCAAGATCGTCTCCACGAAAATAGCCGGGTCGTCGAACGCCATGTAGTTATGCGAGAATATGATCGAGGACACGGCGAAGCCCGCGACCACGAACATGAAGAACAAGTGCAGGCGGACCAACGACTTATCGAACGTCTTCACGACCTTGTTCGTCCTGTATTGCGAGAGGAAGGTGACGGAACTGGACAGGCGACTCAACAACATGCCAAAGGGGCTCGGCGGCTTCGTGGCCGGCGGCATCGCGACGGCGTCGGACGACGACGACGACGACGCGGCCGCGGGGTGATGATATTTCCGGTTTCAACTTTATTTAATTGATGGACGAAATGAATGCGCCCGTCGTCGTCGGATGGCCGCGGCCTCTCCGCGCCGGTCCCCGCGGGTCTCGACCGCGCCGCGACGCGCGGGGTGCACGAGACGCGCGCGAGGGCCGACCGCGACTCTCGATCGTCCGAGGTCGCCTCTCGGCGGGCGCTGCTTATGAAGTCGAATCGCTCGCGCGGAGTCGTGGTCGCGTTCGGGGCCGCGGACCAGACTGGCAGAGAGCGCTACCTTGGTACTCTGCTGTAACCACCCGACCAAATGCCGCCGCGGCGCGAGCGACGCGGAGGCGAGCGAGGCGCGACTTGCCGCGTGCGATTATAAACACTACCACCGCTCGATCAATCGTCTTCCTCGTTCAGCAGGAAGACGTACACCGCGAGCAGGATGCCGACGAAGGCGAACGGCGCCGCGGTGTCCTCGCTCTCCTCCTTCGCGTCCAGGCCGAACTCCCCCCGCCTCGACGTCTCTCGCTTCGTCTCCTTCTTCTCTTTCTTCGCCGCCGCCGGCGGCGGCGCCGGCGGCGTCGGCGCCTCGACGACGACCGGCGCGGCCGCGGGCGCGGGCGCGGAGACGACGACGGACGGCGCAGCCTCCGGCGCCGGCGCGCGCACCGGCAACGCCGGGGTGAGCGCGTCCCTCGCGCGCGCCTTCCGGTCCCGCGCCGCCGCCTCCGCCGCCGCGCGTTGCTCCTCCGCGCGTTGCTTCTCCGCGAAGAGTTTCGCAGCCTGGTCCTTCCGCAGGTTCTCCTGCATCTCGCGCGCGGCCGCCGCGCGATTGACCGCCTTCTCGTTCGTCTCCTTCCGCAGCTGCTCCTCGCGGCGCTTCGCGAGATCGACCGCTTCCTTCGCCGCGCGCCGCGACGCGTCTCGCTTCGCCGCGGCTTCGGCGTCCCTCGCCTCCTTGGCCGCCTTCTCCTCGTTCGTCTTCGCGAGGAGCTGGTTCACGCGCTCCTGCGACCGCGCGAGGATCGGGGACTTCGCCGCGGCCTCAGCCTCGCGCGCGGCTTTCGCCTCCGCGAGCGCGGCAGCCTTTTCCTCGGTTTTTTCGAGCGCCTTCTCCACGGCGGCGGGCAGCGCGTCGGGCGCCGAGGCGGACGCTTCTGCGACGACGACGGGCGCCGTCGCCTCCGCGGAGGCGGCGACGTCGCTTCCCTCGGCGTCGACGACGGTCGCCGTGGACTCGGCGGCGACGACGGACCCGGCCCCGGCCCCGGCCGCGGCCCCGGCCTCGGCCCCGGCCCCGGCCTCGGCCGCGGCGGACAACGTCGCGACGATCTTCTCGCGTCTCACCTCCGGGGTGAGGACGTTTTTGTTCTCCGTCCGCAACACCAACGCGGCGACGCGCGCGTTCGACGCCGCTTCCTCCGCCGCGCGTCTCGCCCTCGCCGCCTCGTTCGCCGCCGCGCGCTCTGCGGCGACCTTCTCTTTCAGCGCGTTCGCGCGCGCGGTTTCTTCCGCTTGTTTCGCCGCGATCGCGGCTTGTCGCTCCGCCGCCGCCGCGCGCGCGGGGGCTTGGAGTTCTTCCGCGATTTTCTTATCCGCCTCGAGCTTCGCCTTCGTGACCGCCGCGGCTGCTTCTTTCTTCTTCTCGAACTCCGCCTTCGCCTTCGCTTTCTCCTCCGCTTGCTTCTCCGCGGTGGCCGCGGCCTTGGCGTTGACGCGCTCCTGCTCCTCGCGCGCTTTCTCCGCGGCGGCCGCGGCTTTCGCCCTCGCGGCTTCGCGCGCTTTCTCCTTCTTCGCGTCTTCGATCTCGCGTTCCGCTCGCAGCTTCTCCGCGGCCGCCTTGCGCGCGGCGTCCGCCTTGGCCTTCTCCGCAGCCTTCGCCTCGAGATCGCGCTCGCGCGCGAACTCCGCCCTCGCTCTTTCGAGCGCGCGGGCTTCGATTTCTTTCTCGCGGGCGGCTTCCGCCTTGGCGCGTTCAGCCGCGGCGGCACGTTCGGCTTTCGCCTTCTCCGCCGCCGCCTTGGTCTTCTCCGTCGCCGCCGCGCGCTCGGCTTTCGCCTTATCGGCCTCCGCCTTCGCTTTCGCGGCGGCGGCTTTCCTCGCGGCGTCCGCCTCCGCGCGCTCCTTCTCCTGGAGCGCCTTCTCCGCGGCGGCGGCGCGCGCGGCTTTCGCCTTGTCGAGCTCGGCTTTTTTCGCCGCTTCCGCCTTCGCCTTCTCCGCTTGCGCCTTCGCCGCTTCGCGCTCCGCGGCGCCAGCCTTGTACGCGTCGTACTTCGCCGTGTCCTTCGCGGGCTTCGCCGCGGGCGCGGGCTTCGGGGCCGGAGCCGCGGGCGCGGGCTTAGGGGCCGGAGCCGCCGCGGGCGCGGACTTCGGCGGCGCGGGCTTCGGCGCGGGAGCCGGAGCCTCGCGCTTCTTCGCATCCTTCTTCTCGATCGGCTTGGGCGCGGGCGGCGTCTTCGCCTTCGCCTTCGCCGGCGCCGGCGTCGGCGCCGGCGTCGGCGTCGGCGTCGGCGTCCGCTTCGGCGCGGGCGGCGCCGGGGCGGGCTTCCTCGCCTCGGCGGCGGCGGCGGCGGCTTTCTTCTTCGCCTCCGCCTCGGCCGCCTTCTCCTTCGCCGCCTTCTCCGCGTCCCTCGCCGCGCGCGCCTTTTCGATCTCCGCGCGCTTCGCCGCGGTCGCCTCCGCGCGCGCTTTCGCCGCCCTCTTCGCGGCGACCTTCTCAGCCTTCTCCGCGGCGGCCCGCGCGGCGGCGTCCGGCGGCTTGGGCGGCTCGACGCGCTTCTTCACCTCCTTCTTCTCAGCCGCGGGCGCGGGCGCGGGCGCGGGCGCGGGCTTCTTCGCCGCGGGCGTCGCCTTCTTCGCCTTCTTCTTCGTCGCGTCGCCGCCGGAGACGGCTTTCGCGTACGCCGCCGACGCGTCGGAGTCCGCCTTCAGCGTGAACTCCGTCTTCTTCGCCGCGGGCTTCTTCTTCGCCGCCGCCGCCGACGACGACGACGACGCCGCCGCCGTCTTCTTGGCCTTCTGCGCGGGGTTCGTCTGCTTCGCGACGCGCTTCGTTTGCTTCGCCTTCTGCGCGGCGTACAGATCCTCCGCGGCGAGCGACGCGGCGATCTCGCTGATCTCCTCCGCGGTGAGCGAACGCGTCGCGTCCCCCGACAGCGGCGCCGCGCCCGCGAGGTCGACGACGAAGTCCGGGGGCGCGTTCGAGGACGACGACGCGTAGAGCTCGTCCACGACCGCTTTCGCGAGCGCCGCGGGCGCGATGGCGACGTTCGCGACGACGCACGCGGCCGCGATCGAGGACGCGAGCGCGCGCATCTTCTCGCGCGGGGTGGAGTCGACGGAGGCGTGGCCGCGATCGACGGAGGACGCGGGGCGGGGAGACGACGCGGCGTCGTCGCGCGCGCGCGCGAGCGCGGGACCGACGCCCTTGCGGACGCCCGCGCGCGCGACGCCGTCGCGCTTCGCGGCGAGCGGCGACGCGACGCCGGCGAACGCGGCGTTCGCGGACGCGAGCGACGAGGACGACATCGCGATCGGCGGGAGCGGCGGCAGGCGATCCGAATCCAATGCGGAGCGCGCGCGCGACGGGACGGCGGCGACGGCTCGCGGGGACGACGCGGCGCGGATGCGTGCGCGCGCGAGCGCGGCGGGTTCGTGCGACTTCGACGGAAGTCGAGGCGCGACTCGGACGCGTGCGAGGCGCGCGCGATGGTGCCGAGCGCGGACGCGTCGCCGCCGGTCCGCGTCGACCGAAAAAGCTTCTGGCGGGAAAACGGCCAATCACAGCGCGGCATTGAAATCCTTTTCTCGGTTTCAACACTTGATCGCGCCCCCTTTCAACGGACCGATGAACTTTTTTTGTAGTGGATCGCACGAGATATGCACAAGCTCTACGACGCGACGCTCTCCGCGGCTCTCCTTCTCCTCCTCCTCATCCTCCTCATCGCCCTCGTCAGTACGACGTCCCGACCTTCCTGTGATGAATCGCGGTGAGCCCTTCCTCTTTCAGCAGCTTCCCTTCGTTCACCTTGGCGAGGACGATCCAGTGGTCGCCCGCTTCCATCCTGTCGGTGACCTCGCACTCGAGGACGCTGAGCGCCTCGGTGACGACGGCGCAGCCGTTCGCCTCGGAGATCTCCACGTCCATGTCCCCGAACCGGTTCTCCCCCGGCGCGAACGGTTTCAACAGCGCCTTGATGACGTCCTTCTCGTTCCCAGCCTGAAGCACGTTCAGGTTGAACGCGCTGCCTTTCAACAGGAAGCTCTCCACCGCACGTTCCTTGGCCACCGCGACGGTGAGCGCGGGCGGATTAAACGACGCCTGGCTCACCCACGACGCGAGCATCGCGCTCTGGGTCTCTTCCTTCTTCGCGGTGACGCAGCACAGCGAGCCGACGATTCGTCCGACCGCGGCCGCGGTGTCGGACGCGCCCGCGGTGGCGGCGGTGCTGCCCGCGGCGAGATCTTTCTGCTCCGCCGCGGCTTTCTTCTTTCGCAGCTTCTTCACCGCCTGCGCGAGATCCGTGCCGGACTCCTCGCACACCTGAAGCATCTCTTGCGTCGGCTTGAACTTGCAGCGGATCGGCTCGAACGCGAACTTGAACCCGCCGTCCGTGAGTCGAGATTCCATGAGGTCCACGGCCTCGCCGGACCACCCGAACGACCCGAACACGCCGGCGGGGTACTCCCGCGACGCCTCCTTGACGATGGTCCCGAGCGCGTTGCTCACCGGCGTCGGCATGTGGCCGCCGAGGGTCGGCGCGCCGAGACAGAACCCCTCCGTCCGCGCCATCACCTCCGCGACTTCCTGCGACGTTGAGAGCTCACAGTTGAGCATCTCCACGGCGACGTCCGCTTTCGTGATGCCGCGCGCGATCGCTTGCGCCATCGCGGACGTGTTTCCGTACGCGCTGGCGTAGATGACGGCGACGGCAAACTGATCCGCGCGTTTGGCTTGCGTCTCGAGCCACTGGAGGTACTCGCGCACGAGCTCGTTCTTCCCGGACTTGATCACGGGGCCGTGGAGCGGGCAGATCGCGGCGGCAGCCATGGGCGCGTCTTTCGAAACTGCCGTCCTGCGGACGTTACCGCTCCCGCCGAAGTTATCCGCGACGCGGTTGAGGAGCTTGGCGAGTTTCGGCGCGACAGATTTCGGCGGCGGCGGCGCCTCTTCCTCCTTCTTCTCCTCTATCCCCTCCTCCTCCTCCGCCGCCGCCGCGGCGCCTCTCCCGATGTACGTCTGGATCTTATCCAGCGCCGCGTTCGTGGGCTTCGCCATCGGCGCGAGCATGCAGTCGAAGAAGTACCGCCAGTCCGTCTCGTACGTCTCGAACCCGACGCCGGCGTCCGACGGCGCGCCCTCCTCCGTCGCGACGTGCGCGCTGAGGGTGATCGCCCATACGAAGCGACGTAGGGGTGGAGTTGAAAGGCGTCAGTTGGCTTTCAAAGGCGCCTAGGGCGGGCGTTGAAAGCGAGGTGTGGGCGGAGAGAGACGACGGGTAAAGTCCTTAAGGATCGGCGTTCACCACGCGGACGGGGTCGTATGGGGACCAGTGCGAGGAGAACGCGCCTGAACAACTTCGACGTGAACAACAGCCCGCTCGTCTCGTCGAACGTCACGACGCCGTCCGGCCACCGCGGCGTCGGCGTCGTCGTGAACGACAAGACGCGGTTTCCGCCGAGGTCCAGACCGTCCCCGGACTTGATCGTGCGAAGCCGCGCGCGTAAGCCGCCGCGCTTCCACGCCGCCGCGAGCGCGTCCGAGGACGCGGGCGTCCCGGGTTTAAGCGCGGCGTAGATGACCTGCGCGGCCGGGTTCGAGCACCACACCTCCACGGCGGGGGACGACGCCGGTCGCGCGTCGAGCAGCGCCGCGAGCGCGTCCACGCGCTTCGGGGAGAGGTGCCCGAGGACGACGTAATCGATGGAGCCGCAGTCCACGGCTTTGCTGAAGGCGTCGGCGTAGGATTTATCCGGGAGGTCCACGAGCGCGATCTTGTCTCCGCCCGTCACGACGTAGCTGTTGTCCGTGCTGCCTCGCGCCATGCCGTACTCGACCTCGAACTTGAGGCGATCGCGGCAGACGCATCGCACGGACTCCACGCCCGGGGCGATGACGTCTTTTTGGATCTCCTTGAACGCGAGCGTCGCGACCGCGGTCTTCGCGGTGTCCTCCTCTCTCGCGTTCGCGTCGGCGGGTTCGGCGACCGCCGCGCGCGCGGCGACGCGCCCGCGCCGCGACGGGCGACGTTTCGTCGTCGCGGCGCCGGCGGCCTTGTTCTTCGCGAGCGCGCGGGGGGCGGCGACGCCGGTCGCGAACGCGGACGCGACGGCGGAGGACATCGTGGACGAGGTGCGACGACGACGATGTCACGCGCCGGGGCGGACGATGATTACGGTCGTTGTTCTCCTCGCGCGGATAAATCGCTCGAGGCCTCGGCTCGGGGCGCGAGGCTCGGGTATCGAAGACGACGCGACGCGCGCTGCGCGACGCGGGCGCGTATCGAGCGAAGACGAAGCTTCACGCGGAGGCGCGGAACGACGTTCGCGCGCTCGAGAGTGCGCGAGGGCGCGCTCGGGGGGGGGGAGGAGCACGTGGGCGTGACAGAGATCCCCCTCCGCGCCTGTCAGCTGAACGAATCCAGTGCCACGTGGAGGGCACGCGCGCCGGCCGGTCCAAGGCTTTTTTTCCCCGCTTTCCTTTTCGAATAAAATAATTTGATGAACGTTCAGATCGACCGGCGCGCCCCGCGATGGCGCCGGTCCCGCCGTCCGCGCTGTGGTCGCAGGTCGCGACGCGCGCGGGCGGAACCGAGGACGAGGTCCAGAGGGCGGTGCTGAGGGCCGCGGGGTTTGAATGGTGCGCGCGCGCGGCGTCGTGTCTTCCCCTCCCCTTTGGCGTGTTAAATGAATGAACGAACGCCGACGACTGACCCTCCCACTCCGTCCACCCTCCCGCGAACGAACTCGCCAGGGACGACGCGACCGGCCTCCTGACCGCGTGGCCGTCGGACGGCGCGATCGCGCTGACGCCGCCGAGACCGCGACCGCATCCGCGCGCGGCCGCGAGCGATGTCGTCGACCTCATCTCCCCGGAGGACGCGCGGCGACGACAGTCCGCCGTGGCCGTCGCCGCGACGCGCGCGCCGTCGCCGTCGCCGTCCTCCTCCTCCTCGCCGCCGCCGCCGCCGCTGCGCGCGCGGCTCGGACGCGCGACGACGACGACGACGATGGCGACGACGCCCGTAGAGGTGTCCGTGGTGTCGTCGAGCGAAGACGAGGACGAGGACGACGACGACGACGAGGTCCCCGCGCGTCTGACGCCGCCGCGAGGAGGAGGAGGAGGAAAGCGTCCGCGTCCCCGCGACGCCGCCGCCGCCGCCGCGTCCGCGCTGCTCACCTTCGAGGATAAGATCGGTCTGTGGATCAAGTCGAAGCCGGAGCTGTACGACCGCGTGCTGCTCATGGAGAGCGTCGACGTCGACGACGTCCTGCGCGCGATCAACGCGGAGGTTGCCCCGTCGACCGGAGGAGGAGGAGGAGGAGGAGGAGAAAAAAAAACCAAAACGTTTGGCGTCGGCGCGCGCGTCCCGCGGGCGAGGCTGCTCGCGTACCTCGACGACGAGGGCGTCGCGTTCACGCAGACGAAGAGTCGGCAGGCGAAGGCGGCGAGGTACGGGAACGCGCGGTTTTGAGCGAGGTGGAGAATACGTAGCGTGAGCGAGGGATGTAGCATAGCGTGAGATAATAACGGAGGAGGCTTCGCACAATTTAATCGCAGAGTTCGCTCAGTGCCGCCTCGCCGCGTGTGTCACGATCTGATTCGAAGTGCTGAGACACGTCACCGCTGCACGTGGTTGCCGAGGAATTGCGCCCCGTCCCTCCGTCCGCGCGGTCACAACGCGACGCGCGCGCACGGGAAGCAGTTCTCCGCGCCTCACGCCCGCGCTCGAGCCCGTCTCGAGACCTCGCGTCCGCGCGCGCGCGCGAACCCTCCGCGCGAACCCTCCGTCGGATAAACCTTCGCGCGGAGAGATCTGTGCGTTCCGTTTGCTGCGCCGTTCAGAGGAAAACATAAAACGAACACGATGTCCGCCTCCTCCTCCGCGCTGATGGCGTCCCGCGCGCCCGCGACAACTCGCGCGACCGCCGCGCTCTCCTCCCGCGCGCGCGTCCGCCGCGCCTCCCGCTCCGCGCGCGCGTCCACGACGACTTTCACGACGCGCGCCGCGATCGCGGAGCCGGAGCCGGTGACCGAGGTCAACAACAGCGAGATCGAACTCTTCGAGGGGAAGAAGCGCCTCCAGACGCAGACGTCCGTCATCGGCCCGGACACGACGTGCATCCGCTCCCTCGACTGGGACCGCGACCGGTTCGACATCGAGTTTGGGCTGGAGAAAGGGACGACGTACAACTCGTACGTCATCGAGGGCGCGGAGAAGACCGCGCTCGTGGACGCGTCGCACGAGAAGTTTCGGTCGCTGTACATCGACACGCTGAAGGGCGTCGTGGACCCCTCCACGATCGATTACATCGTGTGCTCGCACACGGAGCCGGACCACAGCGGGCTGATCGGGGACATCTTGGAGCTCGCGCCGAACGCGACCGTCCTGGGCTCGAAGGTTTGCCTCGCGTTCCTCGAGAACTTGGTCCTGAAGCCGTTCAAGTCTCGCGCGGTGAAGGGCGGCGACGTGATCGACCTCGGCGGCGGGCACGAGCTGAAATACATCATGGCCCCGAACTTGCACTGGCCGGACACGATGTTCACGTACGACCCGGCGTCTCGGCTCATCTACACCTGCGACGCGTTCGGGAGCCACTACTGCACCGAGGAGATGTTCGACACGGACTTGCAAGCCGTGATGCCGCATTACCGGTTTTATTACGAGTGCCTCATGAAGCCCAACGCGCGTTCGGTGCTCACCGCGCTTCGAAAGTGCAAGTCCGAGGAAGCGGACTTCGTCGGCGTGTGCAACGGCCACGGCCCTCTGCTGCGGTTCAACGTGGACGAGCTCATCGGGGATTACCAGCGCTGGAGCGAAGACGCGCTGGAGAAGGCGAAGGCGAACACCGTCGTGTTTTACACCAGCGATTACGGCTTCTCCGACCGCCTGTCGCAATCCGTCGCGAGGGGCCTGACCAAGGCGGACGTCGAGGTGACGATGATGGACATGAACACCGCGGACACCCAAGAGATCATCGAAGCGGTCGGCCACGCGACCGGCATCGTGCTGCTCGCGCCGCCGACGGAGGGCCCCGCGCACGACGCGCTCGCCGCCATCGTCGGCTCGTGCGGCAAGAAGCAAAAGATTCTCATCGGCGAGTCGTACGGCGGCGCGGACGAGCCCGTGGACACGATGGCGGTGAAGTTCGCGAGCTTGGGACTCGCGGAGGTTGTCCCCGCGCTGCGCGTGAAGGAAGACCCGAGCGAGGCGACGTACCAGCTCTTCGAGGAGTCCGGCACGGATCTCGGGCAGGTTTTGACGAAGAAGGCGACGATCAAGGCGATGAAGAGCGCGATGTCCAACGACGTCGCCAAGGCGCTCGGGCGGGTGAGCGGCGGGTTGTACGTCATCACCGCAGCGCAGGGCACCGCGACGTCCGCGATGGTCGCGTCGTGGGTCGCGCAGGCGTCGTTCGAGCCGCTCGGGTTCACCGTCGCGATCGCGAAGGACCGCGCGATCGAGTCCTACATGCAAGTCGGGGACAAGTTCGTCTTAAACTGCCTCCCCGAGGCCGGGTGGGAGCCCATCGTGAAGCACTTTCTCATTCGGTTTCCCCCGGGCGCGGACCGGTTCGAGGACGTGGAGTGGCAGCCCGCGTCGTGCGGGGCGCCGATCCTGAAAGACGCCGCCGCGTACGTGCAGTGTAAAGTGGTGAGCAGGATGGAAGCCGCGGATCACTGGATCGTGTACAGCGAGGCCATAGACGGGAAGGTGTTCAAGGATGAGAAGACGGCGACGCACCACCGCAAGGTGGCGTCGTACTACTGAGCGGCGGGCGATTTTCCGCTCCAGCTAGCCAGAGGAAGGGAAACCCTTCGCTCTTGCACTCGCGACTGTAACATGATTGATGATGAAAACGATGATTGTTTTTCACACTGAGAGCTATTATGCTGTGCTACTCGATCGTTTCGTTCGTACATGTACAGACAACGCGTGCCAATGCGCACGCGAAAGAATCGTCGCGCGGGCGGGCCCGGGGTTTCCTTTTCCCCGTTCCCGCCCCCGCCTTTCAAAACATCCAATCCATCGATCGGCCCATCACATCCCACCCCACCCCACCCCATCCCCCGCGAGCGCCGTGCGATCACCCGATCGCGTTGATCGTCCCGACGAACCACTTCTTGCACACCATCTCCTCCATGTGCGGGTTCGGCATCAGCCCGATGTGATCCGGATGAGCGCGCCGCTGCCCGTCGCTCTTCGTCGCCTTCGGCATCAGCGTCGCGCTGTACTTCCCCGATTGGCCCGCTTGGATGGATCCCGAATCCGACGTGGCGGCGGCGGTGACGGACGCGTGGGAGACGCTCTCCATCGTCGCCGTCGCGGACGGGACGCCGCGGCCGAACCCGGCGACGCCGAGCGCGACGCCTAGAAACGCGTTGCCGAAAAAGCTCGGCCCCGAGCCCGACCGCCGATGCGACTTCCCAACGCGAGCGTCTGCTGACTCGACCTCCTCCGCTTTTCCCTCGCGCTCGCCGGCGAACTCCACCGCGGTCGACGTCGCGTCGCCGTTCGCGGCTCGCGCCGTCGCGGTGACGCGTCGTCGTCGCGAGGACGAAGTCGGCCTCGCGCGCGCGGCGTTCGCGCAGGTCGCGAATCGAGCCGCGACGCAAGACGTCATCGATGACGTCGCGTTTCACGATGCGGGAAAACTTCCCTTCACCCCGGAATGTCGCGCCTCCGCGGGTTCCGTAGACGCGAGCGTGCGACGCGAGGAACGGCGTCGAGCGGTCGCGCTTCGTGAATTCGCTTCGAGCGAATAAGCGTTTAGAAGACGGTCGCGTCTGATGAGACGCGCGAGTGGACGTGCGCGTGTGTGAGCGCGCGTCGGAGTGACGAGACGGCGACGCCTCGCGCGAAAAAAGCGACTTGTCGCGTCGACACGCGACCAACGAAAACACCGCGCGAGATCGCGTCATCCGTTCCGCGTCCGCGTCATCGCGCCGCTTCGTACAGTATCACGTATGGGTTCTTAGTCTCGCGGAAGCGTACCGTACGCGTCGGCACCGAAATCCAGGCCCGTGACGAAAAGCGAGCACCGCGCTCCGATACCAAAGCAACCATGGCGTCGGTCCTGCGCGCGTCCGTCGGCGTCGGCGTCGGCGTCGCCGACGCGCGCGCTCGAACGCCGCGGCGCGTTTCGAGATCCGCGTCCGCGTCCGCGTCCTCGCGCCTCCCCGTCGCGTCCGCCGACGACGCGCCCTCCGCGGTTCCGACCGAAACCGCGGTGTTCGGAGTGGGATGATTTTGGAAGCCGGAAGCGCGCTTCGCCGCGCTTCCGGGGGTGCTCGCGACCAGAGTAGGGTACACCGGCGGCCCGAGGACGTCCCGCTCGGTGACGTACGACAGCGTGTGCGACGACGACGGGCACACGGAGGCGGTCAGGGTGACGTTCGACCCCTCCGTGTTGAGCTACGACGCGCTGTTGCGCGAGTTTTGGGACATCAGCGCGAGCCGAGCGACGACGACGCGACGAAAGGCGCAGTATAAGAGCGCGATATGGACGACGAACGACGCGCAGGCCGCGCACGTCGCGATCGCGATGCGCGAGAAGGCGGAAGAGCTCGGGATGGAGATCGTCACCGAGGTGCGCGCGCTCGACGCGTGGCACGACGCGGAGGAGCGGCACCAAAAGTACGTCGAGAAGAACCGAGCGAATAAGGCGCGTTCTATACACTGGTTCCCATACGACCGCGTCGGCGTGGTGAACGCCGATCCTTAAGGACTTTGCCCGGCGTGTCTCTCCGCCCAGGGTCCCTCGCTTTCAATCCCCGACCTCGACGCCTTTCAACTCCAACTGACGCCTTTCAACTCCACCCCGACGTCGCTTCCTACGGAACGCGACCAAGGCGAGGCGCGCCGCGGAGGCGAAGAGGTGGGTCGACGCGTGGAGCGAGGGCGGGGGGTGATGGACGGCGCGGTGGCGTGTGGCGCGCTGGGACGCGCCGCCGACGCGGCGAGCGGAGGCGTCGAGATCGTGACGTCGCGGGCGAGAAAGCGCGGGCGAGTGATCCGCGTTCGCCCGAAGACTGATTCTCTCGCCGCCGCCGCGCGCCGCGACCGGCTCAAAGTTTGTTTCGCTTCGCGTACGCTGTTAGAGAGAATCACGATAGCATCAATCCGTAGTAGTGTAGTCATTCCAATAGGCTTGTTATGCCCCTCGTCTAACGCTGCGTTTAAAAAACAGAAGAAACGTCGCCGTTCGTCGCTCGTTGGTCCGTTCGTTCGTTCTCGTCTCTCGCGATTATTATTCGTCCCTCCTCCGCGCCGCTCCCCGCCGCCGCTCACGAAACCGTGCGCCCGAACGCGACCGCGGAGATGTACAGGTTCTTCGCCCACTTCTCCTTCACGTGCGTGCTCGGGAACGCGCTCGTGCGCAGCGTCTCTTGGGTCTCGTCCGCGGGCCGCCGCCGCGGGATGGACAAGACGAACGCCGCCTGGTCCGGCGTCGCCGCGCAGCACGTGATCCGAAACCCGCTGTCCCATCTCCGGTGAATCCCCTCGGACGGGTACATGAAATCCAGCTCGACGCACTGATCCACGAACCCGGCGTTTCGCGACATGACGACCGCCCATCGCGTCCCGGACGTCGCCATGGACGTGACGTAAAACCCCTCCTTCCACTTTTTGTTGATCCACTTGAACGGAAACGAGTCGCTCACCTTGTACGATTGCTGCGTGTACGGCGTCCCCTTGGACATGATCACGAGCGCGCTCCCGGTCGTGCTCCCGGCGAGCGCGGTGATGTAGTACCCGTCGTCCCACTGCTCGAGGATCCAGTCCTTCGGGAGGAACTGCGTGGAGAGCTCCCACACTTGCGCGCTGAACCCGGTGCCGGCGTCCATGATGAGAGCCCACAGTTCTTGCGCGCACGACACGGAGGAGATGAACAAGCCGTCGTCGTTCCCCTTGTCCACGTGCTGCTCGATCCTCGAGTTCGCGACGTTGTAGTGATACCGCTGCTTCATCGGGCGGTGCGCGTTGTAGATGGTGATCCACTGCTGCGCGGGGGTGCCGAGGCGAACCTTCTTCTTCGGCTGCCCTTCCTCCTCCTCGAGCGACCTGCCGGCTTCTTTGCGCTTTTGCCCAACCTTCTGCGCCGCCTCCGTGCTGATCGGACGCTTCGACGGAGCGCCGCACAGCGGCGTGAACAGCGCCGCGAGCGCGCCGTACTTTGGTTCCTCGTGGAACTGCAAGTTCACGACCGCTTCCATGTACTTCCTAAACGCCGCGGGGGTGTACCGACAGAGCGCCTCCGCCGACGTCGCCATCTTCTTTTTGCACACTAAGGGCAATTCCATACAAAGCGATGTCGGGGTGGAGTTCATAGGTGTCAGTTGGAGTTGAAAGGCGTCGAGGGCGGTGATTGTAAGCGAGGGGTGGGCGGAGAGATGCGACGGGCAAAGTCCTTAAGGATCGGCGTTCACCACGCCAACGCGGTCGTATGGGAACCAGTGTATAGAACGCGCCTAAAAACCCCTTGTTGTCGCCCTGGTACCCTTGCCACGGGAGCCGCCCCTTCAGCAAGAACAACAGCGTGTACGCGAGCGACTCGAGGTCGTCTCTTCGCGACCCCGTCCGTCCGAGGTGCGCGTGCACGGACGCGTAACGCACCGTCCCGCGGAAGATGTCCGGGCGTTGGTCGTAGTCGACGTGCGTGCTGCAGATGGCGTCTCTCCAACGCGTCGCGAGCCCCAAGTCGACGAGGTACAGCTTCTTCTCCGTCGGCGTCCCGGGCGGGCCGAGCAAAAAGTTCTCGGGCTTGATGTCTCCGTGCACGAACCCTTTGCTGTGGAAATTCTCCAGAATCGCGAGCGCCTCGACGGCGATGCACGCCACCATGTCCTGCGTCATCGTCTGTCCGTTCGTGTTCCACGTGTCCCACAGCGACGGCCCCAAGAGGTCCATGACCATGACGTAGTACTCCCCTTGGCGCCCTTTGAAGTGCACTTTCGGGACGCCCATGATGCCTCCCAAGGAGGAGAACGCGTTGTACACGCTCCACTCGTACGGAGGGCCGTAGTTGCATCCCTTCGACGAGCGGTGTTCGAATTTGAGCGCCACCAGCGTCGCGTTCGCGGTGCCCGTGCTCGCCTCGTTGTTCCCACGCGTCGACGACGCGTTCGCCCTGCGGCCGGTGTACACCTGACCGAACCCGCCCTTCCCGAGCTTCCTCTCGACGAGGTACACGGGGGACCCGCCGACTTGCGCCTGTGTGTGAGCGAAGAGAGGGGAGAGGAGAAGGTCGGCGGGCGGGCGATTCATCAGATCTGGGACGCGGATTTATTAGGTTTAACAACGATCCGGATCCCGACGCGCGGAGACGGGCGCGACGTGGACGTACCTTGTCCGGCACCGGCGCGGTCGTCGCGTCGTCCTCCACGACGGGCTGGTCGCCGCTCCGCTCCTCGCTCGGCTCGTCCCCCATCGCGGCGGGCCCGGGCGTCGGTTCGTTCGGTTTCTTCGGTTCGTTCGCGTACGCGTTTTCCGCGTTCGCCTTCGCTTTCCCGGCGTTCTTCGCCGGCGCGGGAACGCCCGTCGCCGGCTCCTTCGACGGCGCGGGTGGATTCGCGTCGACCGCGTCCGGCGCGTTCGGGGCGTCGCCTTCGGTCTTCTTAGTCGCTTTGTTGTTCGCGTTGTCTGCAGCCGCTTTCCTCGGAGGCATTCACCGACGGACGCGTCGAAGCGGTGCGGTTGCGGTTCTCAACGAGACTTTTCCTCGATCACCGCCCCTCGCCCGGAGACGCGCGCGACGGATTCGTCGACCGCGATCGGCGCGTGCGAACGCGACCGCGGCGGCGATACGATGTCGCGGAAGCGATGCGGCGCGGCGAAGCGAGCTCGCGCGCGGGTCGTTGTGCCGGGCGCGGGCGTATCCGGAGCAGAACGAGGACGCGGGAATTCGGAGGGTCCGACGGAGTTGAACGCGCGCGACGAGTGGTCGAGCGTCGGATCAGAGCTGGAGGTGCCCACAATCGGTCGCCGCCCCCCCCATGCCGCCGACGGCGGTCGCGCGGTCGCCCCTCGCCACGCCTCGCGCGCTCGCGTCGTCCTCCTCTCTCGCCTCTCGACGCGTCCAACGCACGGCGCGAGGCGTCTACCCGGCGCGGCGTCCTCGTCGCGACGTCTTCCGCGTCATGGCGTCCGCCTCCCCAGCGACCGCTCCAGGAGATCTCATCAGTCTCCTCGGCACGATGGATCGAACCGTCGTCGCCGAGCGCGGCGCGCTGCACCTCCAGACGCCGCTCATCCTCTCGAAACCGATGAGCGAGCGCTTCGGCAGGGACGTGTACGTCAAGCTCGACGCGTTCCAACCGAGCGGCTCGTTCAAGCTCAGAGGGATCGGATACACGTGCCAGAAGGCGGTCGCGAGCGACGGCGCGCGCGCGTTCGTGTCCAGTAGCGGCGGCAACGCGGGGCTCGCGACGGCGTACGCGGGTCAGATGCTGAAGATCCCGACCACGGTCGTCGTCCCACAGAGCACGCCGGCGTTCATTCGCGCGCGTCTGGAGGCGTACGACGCGAAGGTGATCGTCCACGGCGCGCAGTGGAGCGAGGCGAACGAGCGCGCCGCGGAGATCAACGCGTCGGCGAACGGGAAGATGGTGCACCCGTTTGAGGTGCGTTCTATACACTGGTCCCCATACGACGGCGTTCGCGTGGTGAACGCCGTTCCTTAAGGACTTTGCCCGGCGCATCTCTACGCCCACACCCCGCTTTCAATCCCCGCCCTCGGCGCCTTTGAACTCCATCTGACGCCTTTGAACTCCACCCCGACGTTCGCTCGTATGGAACGACCCTGAGGACGCCGACACGTGGACGGGGCACGCGACGGTCGTGCACGAGATCGCGTCCGAGTTGAGGGCGTTGGGGGCGATAAGGTGGGTCCCAACAGGGGGGACCCTAAACGAAGAGGAGGAGGAGGAGGAGGGCGAGAAGGCCGTCCCCGCGATGCCGGGCGCGTTCGTGACGTGCGTCGGCGGAGGCGGCCTTCTCGCCGGGATCCTGCAGGGCTTAAGCGAAGTCGGGTGGGGCGACGACGTGCCGGTGATCGCCGCGGAGACGATCGGCGCGGACTCGCTCGCGTCGTCCGTCGACGCGGGCGAGGTCGTGACGCTGCCGGGGATCTCGTCCGTGGCGAAGTCGTTGGGCGCGGCGTCGCCGTCGCCGACGGTGCTGGAGATGTGTTTGAAGCGGCGGGTGGGATCGAAGAAATTGGCGCGGCCGTGGAGGACGACGGACAGAGACGCCGTGGAAGCGTGCGTGAAGTTCGCGAACGACCACCGAGTGCTCGTCGAGCCCGCGTGCGGGGCTGCGCTCGCGGCGATATATTCGGGGAAGTGCGACGAGCTGAAGGAGTGCGGCGAAGGGCCGATCGTCGTTCAGGTGTGCGGCGGCGCCGTGATCGACCTTCCGACGCTCGCGGCTTACGCGAAACAGTTCGACGTGGACTTTGATTAAGTAACGTATGTTGTACGGTTAAACGTAACGTATACACCACGAGCGTTAGTAGTTATGATTCGTTCGTTCCTTCGTTCTACCTATGTGATCTATCTGTATCCCTCGAGCTCTGCGCTCACGCGAACGGCACCAGCAACACGCCCCCGGCGTTTTCTTCGACGTACCGAACGCCGCGTTCTTCCAAGGCGCGGCGCACCGCGGGACCCACCCTCGCGACGCCGCCGGCGCTGTGCCTCCCCCCGCCGACGATCACGCGCACGCCCTTGACGTTCCTCGTCGCGAGCGCCCCCGAGAAGACCGCGGTCAGCGTCCGGAGAGATCCGTCCGCGGTCTGGCCGTGCAGGTCGACGTCGACGACGCAAGACCGCGCGCCGCCGCCCCCGCCGCCGCCGCCGCCGCCGCCGTTCGCGTTGTGGTACTTCAACGACGCCGCCGCCGCGGACGCGCGCGCGGCGTCGATCTGAATCTGCACCGCCGCCGCGCGCGCGCTGAGCTGACTCGCCTGCCGCCCGTCGCCGCGGCTGTACGCCGCGCGGGACAGCGCGCTGAGCGACGCGTGCGAACGTTGGAGGACGACGCACTCCTCGTGGAGGCGCGTCAAATATCGGCGCGTCGCGTGCTGAGACGCGTCGTCGCCGCGGCCGCCCGCGCTCGCCGCCGGCGCCGGCGTTTGTCGCCGCCGCACCTCGCTCAGGACGTCGTCTACGCGATCGCCGCCGACGGGAACCTCCGCCGCCGCGGACGCGTCGTCGTAGCGCGCGCGCGACCGCGACGGAACGACGGGCGCCCAACCTTCGACGCGCGCCGCCGTCGCGAACGACGGCTTCGGTCCCGGCGGCGGCCCGGCGCACAGGATTCGCTCCGCCGCGCGGTTCACGTCCCCGGGGTGTCGCTCCATCGCCTCGCGCAGCGCGTCGTCGGGAACCTCGGGGAACATCGCGCGCAGGGTCGCGAAGGAGTCCGCGCGGGTCATCCGCGGCGGCGCCAGCCGTGCCTCATCCGCCGCGTCGTCCTCCTCCCCCGCGTCCAGCTCCCGCATCAACGCCTCGATCTCCCTCCTCGTGTCCTCCTCCCTAGCCTTCTCCTCCTCCCCCCTCCGTACTACTCCGTCTCCGCCGCGCGTCCTCCCTCGCGGCGCGGGCGCGTACACCCTCTCATCCGCCATCGTGACCCCCCCGCACCGTCCGCGCAGCGTCAGCGGCGCCGCCGTCGACGTCTCTATACAAGCGAATGTCGGGGTGGAGTTTAAAGGCGTCAGTTGAAGTTGAAAGGCGTCGATGGCGGGGATTGAAAGCGAGGGGTGGGCGGAGAGATGCGCCGGGCAAAGTCCTTAAGGATCGGCGTTCACCACGCGAACGGGGTCGTATGGGGACCAGTGTATAGAACGCACCTAAGAACGCGCCGGACACCATCGCCTCCTCCAACACCTCCCCCGCGACGACGGGCCGCACGCTCGGCGCGCATCCGATCGTGACGTGCGGCGTCACCCCCGACGCCGGCTGCGGGATGAAGTCCGGGAGCTCGACGTGCACCGCGCGCGCGCGCGCGTCGCCCGCGACGCCGAGGACGCGGATCTCGCACTCGAGACCCCACGGGAACGTCGCGAGCTGCGCCTCTGTGGGCGAGTGCGCGATGGTGCAGTGGTCCGCGTGGACGATCCACCCGCGCGCGTGCTCGCCGCCGTCCTCGCCGCCGAGGTCGCGCGTCCAGTCCAGGAGGAGGCATCGTGAGACGTCGTCGAGGAGGAACGCGAGGTAGCGCACGGGGTCGTCGGAGGAGGAGGACTCCGAGGGCGCCAGCTGTGACGGCGTCGGGACCGCGTCCTCCGCCGTTCGCGCGTCTTCCATCGCGTGACGCGCCGCGGTCTCCGCGACGGACGTCTCGCGAAGCATGTGGCGGTCCGTCTCCGCGCGTCCGCGTCCGCCCGCCGACGACGAGCGCGGCGGACGCGCAGACGGAAGCGACGCGACGCCGACGCCGGCGATGGATAAACGTATTCGGCGTTCTTTTCGTCGAGTCCAGTCGTCGACGTCGACGGATGACATGACAGAGCGACGCGCGCGACGACGACGCCGCCGCACGAGCGCCTCGCGGGAGGGCTCGCGCGCGCGCGCTTCCCCCGCGATGGAGACGGACGAGCTCCTCCGCGGGCTGGGAGTCACCGCGCGAGGCGAGCGCGACGTCGCGAGGGAGGTCATCGAGGACGCCGCCGCGCGCGCGGCGGAGGCGGAGGCGACGGCGCGCGCGAAAAAACGATGTGATGATGATGAACGCGACGACGATCTCCCCGCGGCGTCGGCGAACGCGACGACGACCGACGACGGAGGCGAAGGCGAGGGCCAGCGCGGCGGCGACGGCCCCGCGCTCCGCGAGGTCTCGAGGCTGCGGACCGAGGCGGACGGCGTCGCGCGAGAGCTCCTCGCGGTGCGAGACGCGCTCGACGAGATCCGCGCGAGCGAGCGCGACGGGACCGCGCCGTCCGACGCAGCGCTCGTCGTCGCCGTCGGGAACCGACGCGTGACGTCTCTGGAGGAGAAACGAGCCGAGCTCGCGGTCGCGGTCGCGGCCGCGGAGGCGTCCGCCGCGGAGGAGGCGTCCGCCGCCGCCGCCGCCGCCGCCGCCGCCGCCGAGCGTCGCGGACGCGGGACGGACGCGACCGCCGCGTCGGGGTCGGGATCGAAGACGAAGAAGAAGAAAAAAAAGCCGAACGCCGCCGCGGCGCTCGTCGAGGACGGCGACTTGGACGCCCTCCTCGACGCCGAGGAGGGCGGCGGCGACGGTGGGCGCCTCGGGGAGACCGAGCGCGAGCGGCTGATACGCACCGGGGTGATCACCCCGTTCGCGGCCGTGGACGGGTTCGAGCGAAGGGTCAAGGTGCAGCAGACGACGGACGCCGCCGCCGGGGCTGTAGCGGCCTGGAAAGCGGGAAGGAGCAAGTCGAAACTCCTCACCGGCGACGCGGTCCCGAAGCAGTACCCGGCGGCGAGGCCGTTCAACGCGTCGAACCGACAAGGCGCCGGCGGCGGCGAGGGCGCGAAAGAGGCTGCGAGGCGGATGGCCTCGAAGCGACGGGAGTGGCGGCGGAACATGAACGGCGAGGGCGGGGAGGCGCCGAAGCGGCGACGGAAGCGGCGGCAGCGGGACGCGGCGTACAGCAGCGACGAGGACGTGGAGATCATAGAGGACGAAGTAGAAGAAGAAGATGACGAAGAAGAAGAAGACGGCGTTGAGGCGCCGCGAGAGGTCGAGATGGCGCCGCCGGAGAACGGTGCCGCGGACGCGAAGGAAGAGGAAAAGGACGCCGCCGTCGTCGCCGGCGGCGGCGGCGGCGGAGGGAAGTGGTCCTGCCCCGGGTGCACGTTCGCGAATTCGACGCGCGCGCGGCGGTGCGAGATGTGCGAGACCCCGAAGCCGGTCGTTCCGAAGCGCGAACCGGCGGACGACGACGACGACGACGTCGTGTTCGTGGGGGAGGTCGCCGCGGCTGAGGGCGGTGCGCGAGAGCGAGCGCGCGGGAAGAGGGAGAAACCGGCGACGGCGACGGCGACGGCGACGGCGACGGCGACGCGCGCGAGTCCGCGCGCGAAGCCTAAGCCTGCCCCGCGACCCTCCACGGCGCCACCGCCGCCGAGACGGGCGGCGGAGACCGCGCGAGCGCGCGCGCGAGGCACCGCGGCCGCGGAGGCGGACGACATCAGCGGCACGGACACCGGCGAGTCGGACTGGGACGGGGACGGATCCGACGACGCCGACGGCGGCTCCGACGACGACGACGACGACGTCGAGCCCGAGAGCCCCGAGGATCTCGAGGAGATCGCGCCCCCCGCGCGCGGTCGCGGTCGCGGTCGTCGGCGTGCCTCCGACGCCGCCGCGGCGGCGCCTCGCGGCCGCCGCCGCGCCGCCGCAGCCGCCGCCGCTCGACAGAACCGACGGCGCGAGGCGAACCGTCCCGCGAGGGAAGAGGAAGAGGAAGAGGACGAGGAGGAGGAAGAGGAGGAGGAAGAGGTCATCTTCGACGGCGGCCTGCGGCTCCCCGCGGAGACGTACGACCGTCTCCTCGAGCACCAGAAGACGAGCATCAAGTGGCTGTGGGAGATTCACTGCCAGCGCGCCGGCGGCGTCGTCGGAGACGAGATGGGATTGGGGAAGACCGTCCAAGTCGCCGCGTTTCTGTGCGCGCTCGAACGCTCCGGTCTGTACCAGCCCACGCTCATCGTGTGCCCGGCGACGATGCTCAGGCAGTGGCGCCGCGAGCTTCGCGCGTGGGCGCCGAAGCTGAACTGCGGCATCCTCCACGAGAGCGCGGTGAGCGCGGCCTCGCGCGCCGCGGCGCGCGGATCGAAGAAACAGGCGCGGTGTAACATCATCCGCGAGCGCGTCCGAGACCCGAAGGGCGTCCTCCTCACGACGTACGAGCACCTGCGCGTGATGCGCGATCATCTCTTACCCGTGCGGTGGGGGTACGCCATCTTGGACGAGGGACACAAGATACGAAACCCGGACGCGGACGTGACGATATGCGCGAAGCAACTTCAGACGGTGCACCGGCTCGTCATGACGGGCGCGCCGATTCAAAACCGACTCGCCGAGCTCTGGTCGCTGTTCGACTTCTGCTTCCCCGGGAAGCTCGGGACCCTCCCGGTGTTCCAAGCGCAGTTCGCGGTGCCGATTCAGGTGGGCGGGTACTCCAACGCGTCGCAGCAGCAAGTCACGACCGCGTATCGATGCGCGTCGATGCTGAAGGAGCTCATCTCCCCGTACCTCCTGCGAAGGATGAAGGCGGACGTCGACATTCAGCTCCCGACGAAGACGGAGCAAGTGTTATTTTGTCCGATGACGCAAGAGCAGCGAGAGGCGTACCGGGCGTACGTGCACTCGCGCGACGTCGAGGAGATTCTCGAGGGCAGGCGCGAGGCCCTGGGGGGGATTGACGTCCTGCGGAAGATTGTGAATCACCCGGATTTACTCGAACGACGCACGAAAGCCGCGCACGAAAAGTACGGCGAAGTCGAACGCAGCGGCAAGCAGCTCGTCACGCAAAAAGTGCTCGAGCTGTGGAAAGAGCAAGGGCACCGAGTCTTGCTCTTCTCGCAGACGCAGCAGATGTTAGATATTCTCGAGGCGATGGTCGCGAAGGCGGGGTACCCGTACCGTAGAATGGACGGCGCGACGCCGGTGTCGCAACGCATGACGCTCATCGACGAGTTCAACACGGACGCGAACGTGTTCGTGTTCTTGTTGACGACGAAGGTTGGCGGTCTCGGAGTTAACTTAACGGGCGCAGACCGGGTGTTACTGTACGACCCGGACTGGAACCCGAGCACGGACGCGCAAGCGCGCGAACGCGCGTGGCGAATCGGGCAAACGCGCGAGGTCACGGTGTATCGCTTAGTCACCGCCGGGACGATCGAAGAGAAGGTGTACCACAGGCAGATATACAAGGAGTTCCTCACGTCCAAAGTTCTGAAAGACCCGAAGCAGCGACGGTTTTTCAAAGCGAAAGACCTCGCGGACTTGTTCACGTGGGAGGAGGATAACCACGGACAAGGCGTCGGCGGCGACGGACAGATCGAAACCGCGGAGTTATTCGCGGAGGTCGAAGGCGAGATTCGCGCCGCGGACGTCGCCGAGGCCGAGGACGACGAGGCCGAGGACGAGGACGAGGACGACGGCGGCGTCGGCGGTCTGACCGCGAAAGATATCGACGGCGCGTCGCCGGAAAGCGCGGACGACACCGCGTGGGACATAGACGCGGACCCCGCGGCGGCGGCGGCGGCGGCGCGGAAAGCGGCGAAGAGCAAACCGGGCGGGAAACGATTCACGATCGCGACGGACCGCTCCGCGGGGGCGCGCGCCGCGCAGACCGGCGGCGACGGCGACGCGGCGATCATGCGATCGCTCTTCGGCGGCGGCGGCGGCGGCGGCGGCACCGGCGCGGAGGGCGCCGCGGGCGAACCCTCGACGGGCGCGGGACTGATCAGAGGCGCGATGTCCCACGACGCGATCATGCGAGCGCCGAACGGCCGCGATCACCTCGTCGGCGGCGGCGGCAGCGCCGCGCTCGAGGCCGACCGCGTCGCGCGGAGGGCGGAGGAGGCGCTCCGGCAGTCGCGCGTCGCGCGAGGCAGCGCGGGCGTGGCGGTGCCGACGTGGACGGGGCGGAGCGGCGCCGCGGGCGCGCCCGTCGGCGCCGTCTCCGCCGCCTCGGCGAGGCGGTTCGGTCGGTCCGTCCCCGGCGTCGGCGTCGGCGGCGGCGGCGGGCGGTTCGGAAGCGGCGGCGGCGGCGGCGGCGGCGCGGGGATCGCGGGGATAGGCCAAGGCGCGATGGGGTCGCAGACGCTCTTGCAGCGGATACGGCAGCGAGACGCCGCCGCGGGGGAGGCGGCAGCGGCGGCGGCGGCGGGGGCGGACTTCGACGAAGGCGACGACGACGCGGAGGCGGAGACGCTCTTGCGCGAGATCGTCGATTTCCTGCGAGCGCGCCCGTCAGGCCGCGCGCCGACGGGGCTCGTCGTGGACGCGTTCCAACACAGGGTGAGCTCGCGGCGGACGCAGATGTTCCGCAGGTTGTTGAAGACGGCGGCGGCGCTCGAGAGGAACCCGCCGGATGCCAACGGACGCGGCGGCGGCGCGACGTGGTGCCTGAAGGACGAGTTCAAAGACGCGTAGACGTAGACGCGCGAAGCGATAGACACTATGTAGTAGAGTAGACGACGAGAGCGACGATCTCAACGCGTTGTTCTCACGTACAGTATTCTTTTGTTTCGTTATGTAGCACAACTCTGGGTACGAGTACACTATGGCGTGTGCAGTTCTCCCATCCTTTCCTTTCGCGTTCCATTTCTTCTTTCGTCTGCCGACGGCGCGTCCCTTTACTATGATTACACCTCGAAAGCCCCCACCGCCTTTTCGCTCTCCTCCCACAACATCGCCCCCGCGCTCTCGTCCACGCTCGTCTTCTCCAACGCGAACTTCTTCGCGGGTCCGTACAAGCGCATCTTCGCCGGCTCGTACAGATCCCCGCTCTCCACCCCCGGCGACGCCATGCACGTCAGGAGCGGGATCGACCCGTCCTCGGCGCTCTGCGCCATCCGCTTGAAGATCCACGCGTCGTGGAACCCGCCGCTCTTGGCCGTCGTGACTTGGAGGTTCGTAGCCGCGAAACCCGGGGTCGCGACGACCGCTTTCACCTTGCTTCCCTTCGCGCGCAAGCGACGATCCAGCTCCACCGTGAACGCCGCGTTGGCGAGTTTAGTCTGCCCATATCGAACCCACCGAGCGCCCATGAAGAGCATCGACGCGCCGTCGCCGCCGATGTCGCCGCCGTTCTCGCCGAAGTACTTCGCCTCGAGACCCTTCCGCGGGATGTTTCGCGCCCCGGAGGAGTGGTTCACCACGCGCGCCTCGCCTCTGAGCTCCGCGGCTTTCTCGAGCGCCGGCGTGAGCTCTCGCGTGAGGAGGAAATGCGAGAGATGATTCGTCTGCATCTGCACGTCGTACCCGTCCTTCGTCGCGACGTCCGGGAGCGCCATGACGCCGGCGTTGTTGCACAGGACGTCCACGCCGCTGCCCGCGCACTTCCGCGAGACGATGCTCGCCGCTCTGCGCACGGAGTCAAAGTCCGCGAGGTCGCAGTCCACGGAGGTGATGACCCCGCCGTTTCCCAGGGACAGCGATCGCACGAGCTTGGACGGGGATCCGACGCCGCCGGCCGCGGGCGAGCGCGTCGGCGACGCGGGGGGCGAGGAGACGGCGTTCAAGGCCTCCATCGCGATCGATTTCTCAGCCTCGACCGCGCGCTCGGACGGCCGGTTGAGGAGGTAGACGTCCGCGCCCGCGTGGGCCATCGTCCGCGCGGCGACGAATCCGCATCCCGTGGTGCATCCGGTGATTACGACCGTCTTGCCGCGCATGGACGGGAGCGTCGCTTCGAAGTCTTTGAAGTACTTCGAAGGGACGTCCACGGGGGTGTCGTACGCGGACGGTTTAGACGCGAAGCCGCCCATGGTGATGTCGCGGCGGGTGGTGGAGCGCGCGGGAATGCGACAGAATTCAGTTGTTGCGGACACCTGATAGATAACTTCCGAAAATTGGCATTCGGCAACCGTTTCGGCAGGAGGCAGGTCGTGCCTGTTTGCTCATACAAATACTGTACAGTACGCGATTTCGTAGTACGCGAATGCAAAAATTTACGGCGCGAGCTTTGGTGCCGTCTCACGAAATCGATCGTTCGACCCCCCCCTCTGTCCACACGACGTCGCGCGCCTCTACCGCGCGAGGGACGTCGTCATGACGACCCCCTTCGCGACGCTCGTCGACTCCCCGCCGTGGGAGCTCGTCGCGTTCGTCTCCGCGCTGTTGTTCTACCACGTCGCCGGGTTCGCGATCGCGGCTCGGTACAACCGAGACTCGCTCTCGCGGCACTCGTGGCTGCTCGGGAAGCCGTACGTGGTCGCGATGACCACCGCGTGCGCGGAGTACATCCTCGAGTGCGCGATGTTCCCGGGGTGGAAGCTCGGCGGCGGCGAGGTCGCGGCGTGGACGAAACGCGTCGGCCTCGTCATGGTGATCGCGGGCGACCTGACGAGGAAAGCGGCGGAGATCACCGCGCGGCACAACTTCACGCACGCGATACAGACGACGCGACGACCGACGCACACGGTCGTCACGCGCGGGGTGTATCGATACGCGCGGCATCCCGGGTACTTGGGGTGGCTCGTGTGGTCGATAGGGACGCAGGTGCTGTTGCGGAACCCGGCGTGCGTGGTCGGGTTCGCGAGGGCGGGATGGCTTTTTTTCGCGACGAGGATACCGTACGAAGAGGCGAAACTGAGGGCGATGTTCCCGGGGGAGTACGCCGCGTACGCGGCGCGGACGCGGACGTGGATCCCGGGGATCCCGTGAGTGATGAGGCGAGGATCAGATAGCGACGCGACGCGCGTAGCCGATGCCTTGAGCTTTATTATTAGTTAGAGAACGTAAGTTAACTAGCCCTCGCGTCTGTAGTACGTTTGCGTTCCGCCGCGCCGTCTTCTTTTCTTCTCTCGTCACCGCGTCACCTTGTTCCCCTTCACGAGGACGTTATCCTCCGCGCCGACGCCTCCGAACCCTATCCCGGCCTTGTTCTTACTCCCTCGTATCACGCACCCGGTGACCTCGGACCCCTCGCGCGGGTCCACGAGCTCCACGCCGAACGCTCCCGCGTCCGCGATCTCACACTGATCCACCACGCCCGCCGCGCCGTCGCGTATCAGCACGCCGTCCCGCCCCGGCCGCGCGATGAGCGTCCCCAACACCCTCCCGCCCCCAAACTCCCCGAGTAGGTCGCCGTATAACGCCACCCCGTGCGTTTTCACGTCGTGGATGTAACACCCCGCCACGGTCACGTCCGCGCCTTCGCCGACGACGCCGCTGCCTGTGGCGCTGGACACGTCGCATCCGTCCAAACGAAGCGCGCTCCGCGGCCGCGCGAACACCGCGTAGTTGTTCGCCACCGAGGGCGACGAATGCCGCACGGTGATGTTCCGAAGAAACACCCCGCCGACGACGTCTTCGGCCACCTCGAACGTGGCTTCGTATGGGTCGTCAGTGACGTGTTCGACGACGCAGCGTTGCGCCGCGGCGATGGCTTGTTCGTCGCCGATCCCGGGGGTGCTGCCGACGCCCTCCGCGGACTCGATCGCGAGCGCTTGCGTCGGATTTTTCGACGACGCGGGAAGGATGACGACGCGCTCGGGGTAGGTCCCCGGGGCGAGGCGGATCGTCGCTGTCGACAGGGAGCTCGCGCGCGCGGCGTCCACGGCGGCCGCGATCGTCGGATAGGAAGAGGAGGAGGAGGACGACGACGACGCGCCGGGGGGCGCGACGACGAAGACGCCCTCCTCGTCCTCCGCCGCGATCGCGGACGACGTCGCGAGGAGCCCCGCGGCCGCGGCGGAGAGGATCTCGCGGCGCGACGGCGGAGGGACCGCGGCGGCGGCGCGCGCCTCGACCGCGACCGCGATCTCGGTCTCGGTCTCGACGTCGCGCGACGAGGAAGGGTGCCCACCACATCTTCGGACGACGCGGCCCCCGCGGACCGCGCGGGCCTTCGACGACGCGCGCGCGCGAGCGATGGGCGTGGTCGTCGTCGTCGGCGTGGAGATCGACGCCGTCGTCGTCATCGTCGTCGTCTCTTCGGTCGCGTCGTCGTCGCGTCTCCGGCGCGGCGGAGTTGTGAAGCCGGCGCCGCGGCGTTCGTCGAGTCGAGCGGAGACGCCGAGATTTTCTTTTTCAGATCCGATCATTCCGCGCGGCGCCGTCGGGGAGGGGATGACGACGCGCGACCGCGGCGGCGGCGGCGCCGTCGGGCCGCCACCCTCGGCGTGGCGCACCTACGGACTCCCGATCGTCACCTCCGGGGCGTCCGTCTCGTGCGCGACCGCGTGCACGAACCCGCTGGACGTCGTGAAGGTGCGCATGCAGGTGCTCCATCCGACGACGCCGTCCGACGGCGCGATCGCGGGCGCGGCGACGACGACGACGCCGACCCCGGGGGGATCCGCCTCCGGGACCGGGAGGGTCGGCATGCGCGCCGCGTTCGCGAACGTGGTGACGCGCGAGGGGCCGCTCGCGCTGTGGAAAGGCATCGGCCCGAGCCTCGTCAGGGCGTCGTGCTACGGCGGCCTCCGGCTGGGGTTGTATCAGCCCGTCGTGTCCGCCGTGGAGTCGTCGCGATCGTCGAACGACGGCGTCGTCGACGACGACGCGGCGGCGGCGGCGGCGGCGGCGGCCACCCCGATCAGCACGAGCACGAAGGTCATCGCCGGGTGCGTCTCCGGCGCGTTCGCCGCGTTCCTCTTGAACCCCACGGAGCTCGTCAAGACGCGTCTGATGGCGGACGCGAGGGCGGGGAGCGCGGCGGGGATTCGCGCGGCCGCCGCCGCCGCCGCCACGCACCCGGCCTCGCCCTCCTTCTCTCGCCTCTCGCCCGCACCGCCCGCACCGCCGCGCGGCACGGTGGCTATCGTATCGCATATTATTAAAACGGACGGCGTCCGGGGGTTATGGAAAGGCAGCGCCGCGAGCGTGTCCAGAAGCGCGGTGCTCACCGCGTCGCAGTGCGCGACGTACGACGAGGTGAAACGAGCCATCATCCGCGCGAGCGACGGCGCGATGACCGACGGCCCGGCGACGCACCTCGCGGCGAGCATGCTCACGGGTCTGGTGACGACGACGGCGACGAACCCGATCGACATGATCAAGACGCAGCTGTACTTGGACGCGTGCAAGACGCACGGGGGCGGCGGCGGCGGCGGCGGCGGGGGAGGCGGCGGCGGCGTCGGCGCGGTGGCGGCGTGTAGGATGATTCTTCGGCGGGAGGGCCCGCGCGGGCTCATGCGCGGATGGACCGCGAATTATGTTCGGTTGGGGCCGCAGACGGTGATCACGTTCGTCGCGCTGGAGAAGTTCAGAGCGCTCGCGGGCATGAACGCGCTGTGACGAGGCGAGAAAAACGTCGTCGGCGGCGGCGGCGGCGGCGGCGGCGAGCCGCGCGCGAGAGGAGGCGTAGCGTGTTAGCATCCTAGCGACCTGAACGCGAAATGTTCGTTCCATCGACGGCGCGCGAGAAGGCGCCGTCGCGGCGCGCGACGTCGCCGCCGGGATCTCTCGGCGCGGCGCGGCGGGCGCGGCGGCGGTCGCTCCCGCACCGGCGGGGCTGAGGACTGGAAACGCGCGACGTCATCCAGATCCAGTCCAGTGCTGTCAGCGAATCGCGCTCGTAAAGGTCTAGGGTCGACTCTCCGCGGGACTCGCGCGCGCACGCCGTCGCGCCGCACCCGTCTCGCGCTGATACGAACGACGTACCATGGCCGCGTTCACCCATCACGCGGTTGCCATCCCCCCGAGCGCGGTCCGCGCGCCGTCCGTCGACGGCGCCGCGCGTAGGTCGTACGGCGGCGCCGCGATTCCTCCTCGCGTCTCGCCCTCCTCGCGACGTCCCTCCGGCCGCGCCGTGAACAAGACCACGCGCGCGAACGGCAGCTCGTTCGGTCGCCTGTTCCGCGTCACGACGTTCGGGGAATCCCACGGCGGCGGCGTCGGCTGCGTCGTCGACGGCGTCCCCCCGAGGCTCCAGATCTCGCGCGACGAGCTCCAGATGGAACTCGATCGACGCAGACCCGGGCAGTCGCGAATCACGACGCCGCGGAACGAGGAAGACTCGTGCGAGATCCTCAGCGGCGTCGGCCTCGACGGCGTCACCCTCGGCACCCCCATCGCGGTCCTCGTCCGGAACAAAGACCACCGATCACAGGACTACGGCGAGATCGCTGTCGCGTACAGACCGTCCCACGCCGACGCCACCTACGACATGAAGTACGGCGTGAGAGCCATCGCAGGGGGAGGGAGGTCCTCCGCGAGGGAGACGATCGGGCGCGTCGCCGCGGGCGCGATCGCGAAGAAGGTGCTCAAGGTGATCGCGGGCACGGAGATCCTCGCGTACGTGAGCCAGGTGAAAGACGTGCGCGCGAGCGGCGTCGATCACCAGACGTTCACGATGGAGGACGTCGAGGCGAACATCGCGCGGTGCCCGAACGAAGACAGCGCGAACAAGATGATCGCCGCGATCGACGAAGTGCGCACGCGCGGGGACAGCTGCGGCGGCGTCGTGACGTGCGTCGTGAGGAACTGCCCCAGGGGTTTAGGCGCGCCGGTGTTCGATAAGCTCGAGGCGGACCTCGCGAAGGCGATGCTGTCGCTCCCGGCGACGAAGGGGTTCGAAGTCGGCAGCGGGTTCGAGGGCGTGGACACGACCGGGAGCGAGCACAACGACGAGTTTTACATGGACCCCGAGACTGGGATTCGCACGCGCACGAACCGAAGCGGCGGGATCCAAGGCGGGATCTCGAACGGCGAGCTCGTGGAGTTGAGGATCGCGTTCAAGCCGACGTCCACGATCACCTCCGCGCAAAACACGGTGAACCGCGACGGCGTCGACGTCGAGTTGAAAGCGAGAGGACGCCACGACCCGTGCGTGGTTCCGCGCGCGGTCCCGATGGTCGAGTCCATGGTCGCGCTCGTGCTCGTGGACCATCTCATGATGCATTTCGCGCAGTGCAACTTGCTGGGGCGGGATGATTACGACGACTTGGTGAGGGGGAACATGAAGACGTTGTACGACCCGAAGTTCATCGGAGGGACCGGGACGGGCGGCGGGGGGGAGATGTCCACGAAGGACATGAGCGCGGCGTTCTCGGAGGATTGAGGATTGGATTGATTCGACGCGAGCGATGCGATGCGCGTCGTGTTCGGTGTCGCGTCCGTCGTCGAACGGACCGACGCGTTGATCGACGTGATGACGCGCTCGCGTGATTTGTACGCACCTTCGTATTAATTTTGTAGCGTCCGTCCACGCGAGCTACCCCGGGAGACGAGACGGAGCGAAGAGGAGGAAGCGCCGACGGCGAGCACTATCGCTTCTCTTTCTTCGCCTTCTTCGCCTTCTTCGCCTTCTTCTCCTTCTTCTCTTTCTTCTCCTTCTTCGCCTTCTTCGCGACTCTCTCGTCGTCGTCGTCGTCCTCGCCGCCGCCGCCGCCGCCGTCGCTCTCCTCCGCTTTCCTCTTCCCCTTCCCTGCGTTCTCCTCCTCCTCCTCCGCGTCTTCGTCCCCGCCAAACGTCTTCGCGAAATCCGCCTTGACGTCCTCCGCCACCTTCGCGCGGTTCCTCCACTGCTCTGGATCCCCCTTAAAGTCCGCGACGCCCAACCTCCGCAACAAATACGGCCCGTGCCGCGTCCCCGCGATCTGTTTCTCCCCCTGCGACATCCGCCGAACGATCGTCTCTCTCGTCCGCTGATCCGCGCACCCGTACGCGGCTTGGAGCACGTGCGAGCCGCACGCGCTCGACGCGAGCTTGATCCAGTCGTGCGCGAGCGCGTCCACGAGCTCCTTCTTGAGCTTCGGCTTGTGCGCGGTCGAGCCGAGGAACGCCTCGAGCGCGCGGCTGCCTCCGGGGTCGCACGCCGCGCCGAGGGCTTCGTTCGGCGGCAGCGTCGCGATCGATTCGATAAACTGCGGCGTCGTCTCCGGGGGGAATTTCATGATCGTCTGCAGCATCGCGGCGCCGAGGACGGAGCACCGTCCTCCCGCCGCGCCGGAGTGCTGGTCGAGCCATAGGAGCGAGGGCGCGAGCTGCGAGCGCCCGCCGACGCGCGCCGACGCGGTCTTCGCGGTGAGCCCTCTGGCGAGGTTCTTCGCGGCGTCGCGTTCCCCCGTTCGAAGTCTCGCGCACGCGGCGAGTAAGGACGCGACGACGCCCGCGCGCCGCTCGCGCATCAGCGAGCCAAAGTCCGGGCCGAGCTCCATGAGCGCGGCGGTGACGTGGTCCTGCTCGCGCGTCGCGCCGAAGAGCGCCTGGAGGACGAAGTTCGCCGTCGGGTGCGACGCGATGCCTCGAAGTTTCCCTCGGAAAAACCTGCGGAAGATCTCGTGCGTCAGCCCTCGCGGCGCGGCTCGCAGGATCGCCTCGAACAGGTGCGACCCGGATCTCGACTCGCACAGCTGCTTCACGTCGCTCTCCTTCGCGTCCGCGAGGAGCTCGCCCTCCTTCGTCCCCTCCGCGGGCGCGCATCCGAGGAACCCGGGAATGATCCAATTCAACGCCGCGGCGTCGCCGCGGTGCGCCGTCAACATCGCCTGCAAAAACGCGCTCCCGCACGCGTCCTCCGTTAGCCCCCACAGCTCGCTCTCCAGCGCCGCGAGCGTCGTGTCGCTGTACTCTCGCAGCAACGCCTCGAACCTGTGCCTCTCCGGCGGCGCGTCGCCGCTGTCCGCGAACGCGCCCGCGGCGCTCGTGCCGCCCTTCAACTTTCCAGCCAGCGACCCCGCCTTGGCGCTCGGCGCGCACTCCCTCCCCGACACGACGCTCAAAAACTTCCGCGCGACCGGCGAGACGCGCGGGTCGTACGCCGCGTCGACAGCCGCGCTCGAGAGCGACTCGCCGATCGCGGCCAACGCGGGGGCAAACGTCTCGAGCGTCTCCGCCGTCGGATCTTTCCCGACGCGCGCCGCGACGCATCCCAGCGCGCGCTCCGCGACGCGGCTGCCGAACAGCGACTTGCACAGCGTGAAGAAGTCCGTCGGCGCCGCCGTCACGCCGCGCACGTACGTCGCGAGATCGTCGTCGACGCACGCGTCGAGGAGCTTCTCCACGACGCGGGAGCAGCGCGCGTCCATCGACAGCGCCATCTCGTGCCCGCGCGCTTCCTCGAGCGCGTTGCCGGCGAGGATCGTCCGCTCCTCGACCGCCTCCGGGGTGTCCGGGTCCACCGCGACGAGGGCTTCGATCTCGTGGAAGTAGCTCGCGGTGGACTCGTCCACGGTGTATCGCTTCCCGTCGCATCCGAGGACGGAGACGCCGCCGCCGTCGTGCTTGTTGAACGACGACGTGCCCGCGCCGCCGTCGGCGTCGCCGCCGTCGCGCGACATTCGCGCGTCGCGCGTCGCTTCCCGACTCGCCGCCGGCCGCTCTCGTGCGGAGCGTCCTCGCGCGTTGCCTCCCGCGTCCGCGCGCGAGATGCGACCGTGCGTCGAGCGGCGCGGCGCCGATTGTGCCGGCGCCGCCAAGGGATGATTGATTCTTCTCGTCGCTTTCGCCGAAACTCGAGCGCTCGAGTGCCGATCGCGGCGCGGCCGGTTGAAAGATTGCGTCATCCGATTCGATCCGCGAACGACGGTTCAACGCCGTCGAATTTCGCGCGAGAGCCACTCGGGGGGATTTCGAAAAGGACGCGCGGCGCCGTCCCGCGCGCTCGTCTCGTCCGCGCGCGCCGCTCGCACGGTCGTCGCCCGCCCTCGCGCTTTCACGAGCCGCGTCGGTCGACGCGCGCACACCCCGCCCGCCCGGGTCGCGCGCGCCGCCGTCGTCGTCGTCGTCGTCGTCGTCGCGAAGAGCGCGCTCGCGCGTCCCGCGCCCGCCGCGCTCCTCGCGAAGAAGGAGAGGCGAGATGTCTCACGCCGCCATCGGCGCGGCGTCCTCCGCGCTCCTCGCGCGGTCGCCGTCGCTGCGATCGAAATCGACGCGCGCGTCGCGCGCGAAGTCGTCGTCGAAGACCGCGATCGTCGCGCCGACGCGCGCGGCGATCGCGGAGCCGGAGACGACGCGCCCGCCCTCCGCGCGCGCGAGCGGCCGCAAGCGCGTCGTCGTCCTCGGAAGCGGATGGGGCGCGATCTCGTTCGTCAAGTCCCTCAGCGCGTCCGCGCCGTACGACGTCGTCCTCGTGTCGCCGCGCAATTACTTCCTGTACACGCCGCTCCTCCCCGGCGCGGCGACGGGCGCGGTCGAGGAGCGCTCCATCGTCGAGCCGATCCGACGCCCGATCGCGGAGAAAGGGTACAAGTACTTCGAGGCTGCGTGCGTGGGCGTCGACGCGGAGACGAAAACGATCACCTGCCGCGCCGCGGACGCCACCTTCGACGCCACCGTGCCGTTCAGCGACCTCGCGACGCGAACGGAGGCGAACGCGATGGCGTGCCCGTGGCACACGTTCGACGTGGAGTACGACTACCTCGTCACCGCCGTCGGCGCGGTGCCGAACACGTTCGGCGTGAAGGGCGTCGAGGAGAACTGCCTCTTCTTCAAAGAGATCGCGGACGCGTCGAGGTTCCGCAGGGAAGTCAGCGAGCGGTTCGAGCGCGCGACGCTGCCGGACGTGCCGGAGGAGAGGATCAGAGAAATCTTGACGTTCGTCGTCATCGGCGCGGGGCCCACGGGCGTGGAGCTCGCGGCGGAGCTGTACGACATGGTGCGCGACCGACGGATTTGTTCCTCGCTTCGCGGGTTTTCTTTTTTCCCTTTTCCTCTCTCTCTCTTCTCCCTTCCCTTCCCTTCGTCCCGGCCCGGCCCGACCCCGACCGCGCCTTCTGACCGACGCGAGAATCGACCGCGCAGGTGTACCAAGACATCGCGAAGATGTACCCGTCGCGGCTCATCCCGCTCGTGTCGATCAAGATCGTCGACCTTCAAGAGAAGATTCTGAGCGCGTACGACCGAAGAATCGCCGAGTACGCCACGGACTTTTTCCAACGCGCCAACATCGACTGCCTCCTGAACAAGCAAGTCAACGAGGTGAAAGAGAACGCGGTCGTCTTGACCGATAACGTCACGAAAGTCACCGAGGAGGTCCCGTTCGGGATGGCGGTGTGGTGCACCGGGATCAAGCTCAACCCGCTGTGCGAGAAGATCATGAACGCGTTGCCCGAGGGGAGCCAAGAGGTGCGTTCTGTGCAAACATTTTAACCCATCGATCGGTTTCAGCACTTGATCGCGTGGGTCCCTTTCAACTGACCGATGAATGAACATTTTTCGTATGCAACGACCCCCGCTACAGAACCGCCGATCGCTGGCGACGGATAAAAACCTCCGCGTCAAGGGCAGCGGCGGGAGCATCTTCGCGCTGGGCGACTGCGCGACGATCGAGCGCCCGCGTAGCATCGGCAAGGCGGTCGACCTCTTCAGGAGCGCGGCGAAGTGCTCCGTCGACGGCGTCTGCGACAGCAGCCTGAGCAAGGAGGAAACGAAAGCGTGCCTCCAGTCGGGCGTCTCCGAGTTTCCGCACCTCGAGGAGGTCATCAACAACATCGACGACGCGTTCGCGAAGTACGCGGACAAGGACACCGGTCGGTGCGCGTTCGAAGGGTTCCAGGCGATGCTCACGGAGGTGGACAACGGCCTGAGGGCGCTCCCCGCGACCGCGCAGGTTGCGAAGCAAGAGGGCGAGCATCTCGCGGCGTTTTTCAACGCCGCCGACGGCGACGCCGCCGCGCTCGCCTCGGACGACTCGCAGTTTAATTACGTCCACAAGGGGTCGCTGGCGTACATCGGGAAGGACGCCGCGGTGGCGGACATCCCGGGGTTCACGATCGTCAAGGGCTTGGCCGCGGGGATCATCTGGAAGTCGTTCGAGACGATCTCGCAGGTGAGCGTGAGGAACATCTTCCTCGTCGCCGCGGATATGGTGCGCACGAAGCTCTTCGGACGCGACATCTCGCGGTTCAACTGATCCCACCATCGAGCCGATCGATCTGATCTGATCGATGGAGTTGGTTCGCCGTACCCGTGCGCTTGTTTTCGTTATGTCTAAAAGGTTGAAAAGGGGAGGGAGGGTGGGATCCCCCACGAGTTGAACGACGGCGAAAGTCGTCGCTTGTGAATATAACACACGCGCGTCGCCGTCGCAATCTATCGCCCCGCTCGCTCGCTAGACTATCCGTCGTCCGCCGCCGGTCCACCTCCTCCTATGCCTATGAGCTCCAGCGCGGTCTCTCTGCTCAAGACCCGAACCTCGCCCTCGCGAAGCTCCATGCGCGACAACGCCATCCCCCCGAACGACTCCCGGTGCAGCGCCGTGACTTCGCATCCCACGGCGCGCATCATCCGCTTCACCTGGTGGAATTTGCCCTCGGTGACGCTCAAGCTCGCGCGCGTGCGATTGTGGTCCGCGCGCTCGGACACGATCAACTTCGCGGGCAGACACGGCTTCTTCTCGCCCGTGAGGGTCAAACTCCCGGACGCGAAGAGGTCGACCGCGTCGCGAGGGATGGGCGCGTCGACGACGAGCTCGTAGACTTTTTCCACGCGCTTCTTCGGCGACGCCAATCGATGGAGCAAGTCGCCGTCGTCCGTCAGGAGAAGCAGCCCGGTCGTGTCCTTGTCCAGGCGCCCGATCGTCTCCACGCCGGGCCGCCGCGCGCGCCATCGCTCCGGGAGGAGGTCGTACACGGACGGCCCCTCGCTGGCGTCGTGCCCGCAGACGCGACCGCGCGGTTTGTGCATCAGCGCGAGCAGACCGTCGGGCGCCTCCGCGGGCTCGCCGTCGATGAGGACGTCGCGCGGCGTGACCTTCGCCTCCGCCCTAGCGACGGGCTCACCGTGGAGGAGGACGCGTCCGTCGCGCGCCCATCGCTTCGCTTCCGCGCGCGTGCAGTACCCGAGCCTGCTGAGGAGGCGGTCTAATCGCTCCGGCGCGTTCGCGTTCGAGGAGGACGCCCCGCCCTTTTTTTTGCCCTTCGCGCCTTCCCCGCACCGCGTCGGGAACCGCGCGGGCGGACGACGCGGACGCGCGCGGGAAGAGGGACCGACGGGCGCGGTCACGAGCGAGGCGAAGACGCGCGCGACCCGCATCGCGACCGTCGAGACGCGCGCGGTGACGGCGCGCTCGAACAGTGCGTGTCGGGATACGCATACGTTCGTGGTACGAAGGTAATAAACTAACAAACTGTGAGCGGCGCGAAGCGAGCTATGATACGGGTGCTGGACGCGTGGACGCGTCGTGACTAGCGCGGCGACCCCATGGGGGACACCTTCATCGTCTTCTGACGCTTCTTCCCCTCCTTCTTCGCGAGCGTCGCCGGCGGCTCGGTGGGCGTGACGTCCGTGAGCTCGCCGAAGGGAAGGCCGGAGCCGTCGTCCAGGTACGGCATAGGCGGCGTGACGATTCGAAGCGCCGCCGCCGCCGCCGCCGCCGCCGCCGCGGTCGACTTCCCCTTCCCGCTCTTCCTCGGCCTCGGCCTCGGGACGCTGATGATCCCCGGCGACGCGACGATCCCGTAGTTGTGAATCAGCAGAGACGACCCCGCGGAGTCCGGCGCGCGCGTGGGCTCGTGCCGGACGTACCCGAACCCGGGGGTGTCCGCCTCTCTGGTCATTCTCGACAGCGCCGGCGGCGTGTTCGCGGCTGCGCCCATCCTCGCCGCGGCGGCGAGGTCGAGCCCGAGGGAGATGCTGTCCCCGCCGCCGCGGAGAAGGCGCCCGTCCTCGTCGCGCTCGCTCGAGAGGTGCGACCCGGGTGCGAACGCGAAGGATCCTTCGAAGCACGGCGGCGCGACGGCGGCGGCGGCGACTTTGTCCGAGGACGACGTCCCGCGCTCGACGTTCGCGGCATTGTCTTTCGAGCGGAGCACCCGCCGGGGCTCCGGCGTCCTGTGCTTCGCGGGCGTGGTGGTTTCTTCCGACGTCGTCTCCGTCTCCGTCTCGCGCGCGAGCGTGATGAGCGCGTCCGCGGCGGCGGCGGCGGCGGCGGTGGTGACGACGTCCCTCGCCTTCGTCGTCCTCGCGCTTCGTCGCTTCGTCACCGCGACGGGCGGCGCGGGGGGGGACTTCGCCTTCGCCGGCGGCTTCTTCGCCTTCGCCTTCGCCTTCGCCGGCGGCTTCTTCGCGGCGGGCTTCGGCGCGGGCGCGGGCGCGGGCGCGGGCGCCTCACCCTTTGCCCTGGCTTTCCACTTCGCCTTCGGCGGCACCGCGAGCGCCGGCGGCGGCGCCGCGAGCGCCGGCGGCGGCGCCGCGGCGACCGGCGCCGGGATGAGCTTATCGGCGATTTTGGCGCGCTCCACGCTGCGGACGCGCGCGGCCGTGAGCATCCTGGGCTCCTTCTTCGTGATCCCCGCGATCTTGCACGCGATGGAGCAGAACGTCCATCTCCCCTCAGGGAAGCGGGCTCCAGGGGAAGCGAACTTCTCGGGCGACAAGCTCTTCCTGCGGCGAGGGCGACGGAGGACGATGGGCGGTTTTCTCACTGCGGCGGCGGCGGCGGCGGCGGCGCGGAGGAAAGGGCGGTGGGAACGACAGACGCACCGTGTCTTGCAGCCCTCGAAGTCGTTCTCCTCCACGGGCGCGAGCATCGACGAGAGGTGGTGACCGAGGTACAGGATGTCGCTGCTGTTGATGATCGCAGGCTGCGAGAGGGACGGCGGGCGAGCGGTGAGTCACCGGGAAAAACAGGCGAGGGTGGGAAAAGCACGCTGCAAGCCGTCGGACGTTGTTGCTTTTCGGCAGTGTCGCGGCGGGACGGACCGCGGCGCCCGCGCGGCGCATCGCGAAAGATCGCGGGAGCGCGAGAGCGCACCTGAATATCGCTGACGTCGAAGTCCTCGCACTCGCGGATCTCCTCCAGGAGGACCGCGTCTTGCATGGACGCTCGGCGTATCTGCGGTGACGCAGATGCGCGAACGTCAGGCATGCGGTGACGCGTCGCGGTATATCGAGAAGATGGAGAGGAAGGGAGCGCGATGATGCGACGCACCTTGAGTATGCGATGGCCCTCGTGCTCGCTGTCAGCGCATTCCGGGCATACCTGCAGCTCGCAGTCGACGCAGAAGAGGTTGTGCACGGGAGGCCTCGAGCTCGCGCGGTCGTGCTGCCCGGCGCAAGCGGAGAAAAAATCGTGGCGGCAGAGCGCGCGCACCCAGCTCGGGACCGCGTCGGTCATGACGGCACGCGCGCGCGCGTATCGGAGACGGAGGAGGGTCGAGAGACGCGCGACGGGGGCGATACGGCAGAAACGCGCGGGGCGATGGCGGTGTTCGCGCGTGGGCGCTACTGACGCGACGACGCCTCGCGGCGAGGCATTTCATAACGCTCCTGTCGGAGACGCGTGATTTTCTCACACTGCACTGAGAGAGCTTGACTCCACATACTGTAATACACCCTGCGGCGCGCTACTCGCGCTCGTCACAGCTGTCTCAGCGCGAACACCTTCGCCCCCGCGAGCCCAATCTTATCGTTCAGGATGATGTGCAGCGGAAACCCACTCCGGACGTTCGTGTACCGGCACGACTTCCGAACGTACGCGTCGAGCAGCGTCCCGCCGTCGCCGATGAGCTTCATGAGCCGCGGCGGGATCCCTCCGGCGACGTACACCCCGCCGCTCGCGAGGCACTTCAGCGCGAGGTTCCCCGCCTCCGCGCCGAGAATCGCGAGGAAGATGTCCACCGCCTCCACGCACAGCGGACACGACCCGTCCAGCGCGGCGTCCGTCACCCCCGCGGGGTCCAACTCCGGCTTATCCGCCGCGCCTCGGCGCTCGCGAAGAAAGTCGTAGATGCGCACGATGCCGCTCCCGCAGCACACCTGCTCGATCTCGCACTCCCCCAACGTCCTCTCGCAGTACGCCAGCAGCGCGGACTGCGTCTCCCCCCTGGGCGCGAAGTCCGCGTGCGACCCCTCGCTCGGGATGACGTCGTGCTCCTCCGCTTCGTCGTTCCAGAAGAGCATCGCCTCGCCCAGCCCGGTGCCGGGACCGAGCACCGCGATGGGCCCTCTCGCGTCCGGGGACCCGGGGTTCAACGTCACCATCTCCTCCGGCTTCAGGTCCAACACGCCGTACCCGACCGCGGCGAAGTCGTTGATTACCTTCACGGAGTCGATCTTAAACTCCTTCTCGAGCTTCGCGCCGTCGATGACCCACGAGACGTTCGTCATGGCGCACGCGTCGTTCGCGACGGGGCCGGCGACGGCGAAGCACGCGGAGTGGACGTCCGAGGGATCCACGCCCGCGTCTCTGTAGAGGTCGGAGATGACGGACTCGAACGTCTCGTGGCCTTTCGTGCCGTAGATGTTCTCGTACTTCAGCGTCTGCGCGCCGTCCACGATGTTCCAGACCTGCAGGCGCGCGTTCGTGCCGCCGATGTCGCCGACGACGACCGTGGACGACGCGGTCGTCAGCGCGAGCGCGCGGCGGGATCGGCGCGAGCGCGGCGCGGACGCGGACGCGCGCTTCGACGAGACGCCGCGGAGTTTGTTCACGAGGAACGCGCCGCCCGCGGCGGCGACGCCGGCGACGCGGCGCGTGTTCGAGGTGGTCCTGAGGAGGAGGAGAGCGAGCGCGGGACGGCGACGCGGTGAGACGGAGACGGAGATAGCGGTTGGCTGCCGCGGCGACCGGGATAGACGGGGGGGGGATCGAGCGGCGGGCGGCGTCGCGGGCGGGACGAACGACGCGCGCGAGCGCCCGCGCGCGCACCTCGCGAGCGATGATACGTGCGCGCCCATCGCGGGTGCGGCCGACATTATCGGTGCGGAGCGTGCGCGGTGTGAACTGCCGCGCGCGTCGGGCGCGCGATCGATCGGTGCTCACTCCTGTCAAAATGACAGGTGGCGATCGATCGCGAAATGAGTGGCGCAGAATTCACCGCGCCCGGGAAGCGGCGTCGCGCGCGATGGGACGCGAGGAGAGCAAAGAGCAGGCGAAGGAGGCGGCGAGGGAGAAAGAGCTCGCCGCCGCGGCGAAGAAGCAGGCGCAGAAGGACAAGGTCTGGGAGCAAGGCGCGAAGGACACGAGCAAGACGGAGGAGGAGTTGGCGAGAGACGCCGCGGCGAAGGCGAGGAGAGCGGAGGCGGAGAAGCAAGCCGCCGCGGAGGGCGGGAAGCCGCTGCCGATGATGAAGAAGTGTAAGGAGTGCGGGACGAAGTATAACCCGAAGAAGCCGTGCCCGGGGTGCATCGAGGCGATGTTCGGACCCGCGAAGGGGAAGAAGTAGTGGACCCCCGACGATCGGAGAGCGAGTGAACGACCTGATAGCCAGACAGAAATCAATCAACATCATGATATTACTTCACGCGTCCTTCACAGCGCGTGCACCGAGACGCGCGCGCGACGCGCGGCAGCCGTCGAAGCGTAATACAAACTCCAATCGACGACCGCGGCGGCGACGACGCGCGTCCGCTCTGAAATCCAAACACTCACACGTCATACCGAACCGATGATACATTTTTTTCGCCGAGGGCTCCGTCGCCGACGCCGAATGCCGACTGGCTCCCTCCCAACAAGAATTGAAGATCACCACACCCACCACGCCGCGCATCCGCCGATCACGCCTCCGAGGGAGTGTCCCAGTCGCTCTCGGAGTTGCTGTTGAACATCCTCGTCAGCATCTCTCGCGCGGTCTCCGCGTCGAAATCTTCGATCGCCTCTCTCGCGAGCTCCTCGTCGTGGTCGCCGTAGTCGTCCAGACGCGCCATCGTCTGTAACGGCGCGATTTCGTCCGTTTCACCAGCCATATCGTGCCCACCACCCTCTCCGCCGGTAACGCTCCACTGCCCTTGCCTCAGCGCGTTCGTTCGCTCCCAGTCCGTCACCTCCACGGTCTTCTCCGGCGGCATCAACAGCACGCCGCTCTTCGCGACTTTGCATCGGTACCCGCCCTCCTTGCACGTGTACCTCAGATCCCTCGGCCGCGCCGCCTCCACGACGGGCATCCGCCCCATCTCCGCCTCGAGCAGCGTCGCGTACCGGCTCGCGTCCTCGTTCGTCGTGAACGCGAGGATGATGTCCACGGGGATGTCGTCCTTCGTCCTCTCCTGCAGCGAGTACAGCCCTTCGCTGCCGGTGCCCGCGCCGAAGACGAGAATGTACACCGCCTCGTCGTCCGGGACTGACGTCAGGTCTTGCAGGTTGCTCCAGCACACCCCGCGCGGCGCCGGGGAGGCGTGCGAGCGCGAGTGGGACCCCGACCCCGACGCGCTCGGGGGCGCCGCGGACGGGGACGCGCGACCGGCGCCTGGCGCGGGGACGAACGCGTTGAAGTTGGCGGCGCCGATGATGTCGCCGGAGGAGCCTGACGAGAGGGAGAAATCGCCTCCGCTCTGATGCCCACGTCCGCCGCGGCCGCTGTTTCGTCGCGCCTGGTCGTCGACGTCGCCGTTTTTACCCACCGCGCGGCAGAGCGTCTGGATGCGCGCGCGTTTCGAGGTGGGCGCGCTCGCGAGCTTCTGTTGAGCGCGGGGATGGGGGAAGGGGACGCGCCGCGTCAGCGCCGCGCTAGCACGTCCTTTTTTCGTGTCACGAGCGCGAGCGGGGATAGATAAGAAAGATCCACCGACGCGCGGGATGCGCGTTTGGGGATGAAAGGAGACGCACCGTGGAGGAACCGCCCCGTCGATGTACCGCTCGGCATTGCGCGCCGTTTCGCGGGTGAATTTGAAGAGAAGAGATGCACAGGAGCGCCATCGCGTGAGATCGGTGCGTCTCGGAGAATTTCGTGCAGCGAAAAGATGCCACTAATCTGTCCTTGTCAGTTCCGGCGGAACGATGCGCGCGCGCGTTACGACGTGTATAAACACCCGTACGCGGCCGCGTGCGCTTGATAAGACCTTGAGAAAGTCTTTCGAGGAACGTGCTCGTCCCTGGGCCCGCGTGCGTGCGGTCGCGAGTGCCGTGCGCGGATTGCGCGTGACGGAAAAAAGAGTCTTTTCTGCTGGCGTTACGGCGTCCGCGGCTGACGCGACGCGAGATTCGAGCGCTCTCAGGGCACCTCCGCTTTCGTCCGCGCAAAAGCCTCGATGAATAACTCAAAAAACGCGATTAAACCCTCGATCGTCTGCCCGGTCAGCAAATCAAGTTGACCGCCCGCCAAAACCTAGAAATTTCCGTGCGCGGCTTCAGAAAGCGCACCAAATTCCGCGGCGTAAAAAATTCCGCGCGCGAATCTGCCAATCAACGCGAGCGGTTGGATTGATGACTCGGACGACTTTTTCCCGCGCTCAGGCAGGCTGGAATTTCGACTCGGGTGACTTTTTAGTCTGCAGTTTTCGGCAACCGGCGATCGAGCGAACCAGAAGCCGCCGCCGCGGCGGTAGCGTGAACTCGTGTCAAATAAAAAACGCGTCAGTCAGTCATCCCGTGTTTGTACATCGCGTCGTCTCCCCCCTCAGCGGTTCCCGCGCAGCGCGCGGCGGGACGACCTCCCGGACCCGTCCTCGTCCGCCGCCGTCGCCGCCTTCGCCTTCGCCTTCGCCTTCGCCGCGGCGGCGGCGGGCGCCTTCTTCGTCGCGCGCGCCCGGGAGGTCTTCTTCGCGACGGGCGCGGGGGAGGGCTCCGCGGGCTCGTTCTCATCCCCGCACTCGTCCTCCTCCTCCTCCTCCTCCTCCTCCTCCTCCTCTTCTTCTTCTTCTTCATCCGCGGCGTCGTCGACGGGCTCCGCCGCCGCCGCCGCCTCCGCCGCCTCCTCCTTCACCTCCGCCGCCTCCGCTTCGTCCTTCTCCTCCACCTCGGCTGTCTCCTCCTTCTCTTCAGTAGCGGCGGTGGGGAGCTTCACCGCGGGCTCGTCCTCGTCCTCGAACACGTGCCCCTCCGCGCGCATCGAGCTCCGGTAGCTCTCGTACCGTTCCACGTGCGCGGCGGCTAATTTTTGTTCAAACTCCTCGACGGCGACGCGCGCGGCGTCGACGGCGTCCGCGCCCGCGGCGGTGGCCTTCTTCCCGGTCGTCGCGTTCTTCTTGCCCTTCGCGACGACGCCGGCGAGGGCGTCGTAGACTTCTTTGTCGTACAGCGCGGGTTCGTACAGCTTCCACGAGTCCATGAATTTTTTGAACGCGCGATCGGACAAGGTGAGCGCGGAGAGGCAAAACGCGACGTCGCGCGCTGGCTTCGGCGTCTTCGCGAGCGCAGCCTCCGCGAAGCGGTTCGTGAACTTGTCCGCGAGCGACTCCGTCTGCTTGTCCTTGTCGATGAACCCGAGAAGCCGCGTCATGATCCGTTGGAACACCGCCGGTTCGATCGACTCGTCCCCGGATAATCGCGACAGGAGATCCGGAAGCAGGTTGTAAATGGGATTCCCGTGCTTCCTCGACAGCTCCGTGAACAGCAACCGCGCGACGGACGCTACCCTCGGATCCGGGTCCTCCAAACACCGCGCCATCTCCGCGATGTGCCCCTTGACCTTCATCATGTCGTTCAAGATCAGGTGCGCGAGGACGGTCACCGCGTGTTGCCGCACCCCCGCGTCCGGGTCGTGCAAGCTGTTCCCCCACGCCTTGAGCCCGTACAGATGCTCCGTCCACGGCTCAACCGCGTTGGGAAACCGGAACGCGAGGTCGCCCAGCGCCACCATGAGCGCCGCGCGTGCGTCGCGGTCGCTCTCCCCGCGCGCGCGCGTGAAGATGAGCGCGAGGTGCGCCTCGCAAAACTCGGCGTCGATCGCCATGAGGCGAGAGAGCGCCGCGAGCGCGGCGCCGCGGAGCAACGCGTGGCCGGCCGCGACGGCGGGGTGCCCGCACAACGCGACGACGACGGGGGCGTACGCGGCGACGAGGCCTCTCCCCGCGACCGCGGACTTCTTGGACTGCGATACTGAGAAGGATAAGAGCTCAGCCTCGCACGCCTCGCGCGCGTTGTCCAGGGACGCGTCCTCCGCGACGGAGCCCTGACCGAGCGCCGCGGCGAGCTCGGCTTCTTCGCCGTGCGTGTTCCCCGCGGCGGCGGCGGCTTCGGAAGCTTCCGACGCCTTTCTGTCGCGCTGCATGCGCGCGCGGCGGACCGCTCGTCCGAGGTTCTCCGCGTGCACGAGATGCCGGAGCGCGACTTCGCCGAGGACGAAGAGGAACCGCGCGAGGTACGCGGCGTTGACTTTTTCCACGCCGCCGCCGCCGCCGCCGCCGCCGTCGCCGTCGCCGCCGTCGTTCTCGGCGCCCGGAAACGCCGCGGCGGCGAACGACCGAAGCACGTCCCCGGCCGCGCCCTCCGGGTCCGGGTGCAGCGCGTACAGCGCCGCGATGGACTGCTCCGCGGCGGGGTACCACCCGCGCCCGGGCAGCGGCGAGCACGGCGAGAGAACCTTCGCGAGCGCGGCAAACGCGGGCGCGTCCGGCGCGAGCGCGGGCGCGGCGACGCCCATGGAATCCGGCGTGCCCGCGTTTCCACCCGGGCGCGCGCACTTCAGGAGCGACGCCGCCGCGCGCGCGAGCGTGGGCTTCTTCTTCGTGCACGCGAGCTCGAGCACGCCCGCGGCGTGGTCGACGTGCGGAGCGACGATTTCCGGGTGCTTCGCGGCGGCCATGGCGAGGACGGTGAGCGCGGACGCCTTCAACGCGTTTTGATCCACCGCCGTCGCCTCCGCGTCCCCGCCCGGCACGCCGACGCACGTCGCCTGCGCCCACAGCGCGCGGATCAGCGGCCCGTTCACCGGGACGCGGTTCTCGCGGACGAGAAGCTCGATTACCTCCTCCAGAGACGCGAGCTCGCCGAGCGCGCTCGCGGCGGCGACGTCGGTGATGGCCCGCGCCGCCGCCGTCGGCGACTCCGCGCCGGCGAGGAAGAGCACGTCCACGGCTTCAACCGCGGCGTCCCTCACCGCGGTATCCCTGGAGAAGACGAGCCCCAACAGCTTGCGGACGCCCTCGTCCGAGCCGTCGACGCCGAACTGCTTCAGGCGGACGAGGAGGCCGACGGCCTCGATCGCGTCCGACGGCGTCGTGGACGCGAGGAGCTTGCAGAGGACGCCGACGGCGCCGCCCATCTGGACGGCGAATCCGAGCGCGGTTTTCAACGCGGCGATCATGGTGCGGACAGCCTCGACGCCGCCGTCGAGCTCGGGCGCTGCTGGGGCGACGGCGTCGTTTGACGTCTCTTTCTCTTTCTCTTCTTCTTCCGCGGAAGACTCCTTCTCCGCGGAAGACTCCTTCTCCGCGTCGTCGTCCGCCTCCGTGAGGGGCTTCTCCTCGGCGTCTTCTTCGTCCCCCTCCTCGATCGGCTCAACTTTTTTCTCCGCGTCCTCCTCCTCCTCCTTCTCCTCCGGCTCCGGCGGCGCCATGAGCTTGAGCTTCGCTTCGTACTCCCTCAGCGAGTCCGCGAACGCGGACGACGGCAGCCGCGGCGCGAACGGGTTAAACCCGAGCATCGTCGCGAGAAGGTTCATCGCCGCCTTTCTCACGAGCGCGGCTTTGTCGTGCAGGCGGCCGATCCCGAGGTCCGCGACGACGAGCCAGTGCGACAGCGGAATCGCCTTCTTCTCCGCCATGATCGCCCACGTCTGCAGCACCCTCGCGCGCGTGAACGCGGAGACGTCGTGCACGCGCTCCACGAGCAGGTCCAGAAACCCTTGCTTCGCGCGCAGGAGCGGCGCCGACGCGTCCGACGTCGATCGATCCCTGTCCTCGTTGAGCGCCCCGCTCGACGCGTCCGAGCACACGAGGTGTCCGAGCACCGTCACGAGCGAGCTCCTCAGCGAGTACGCCTCGCCGTCCAGGTGCGGGAGAAGCAGCGAGATGTTCGTCATCGTCGTCTTCGGCATGCGCTCCGCGAGCTCGCTGACGAAGGTGCCGACGCAGCGCACGCCGACGGCGTCGGCGGCTTGCTGCCGTTTGTACTCGGCCGGGTCTGCGGGTCGTTCCGTACGAGGCGACGTCGGGGCGGAGTTGAAAGGCGTCAGCGTTTGAAGTTGAAAGCCGTCGCGTGCGGAGATCGAAACCGAGGGACCCTGGGCGGAGAGATGCGCCGGGAAAAGAAAGTCCTCAAGGCACGGCGTGCACCGCGCCGACGCGGTCGTACGGGGACCAGCGCGTGTGATGACTAAGGACGCACCCACGTTGCCCACCTCGCGGAGGAGCGCCGCGGCGAGCCGCGCGTTCTCGTGGCGGTCCGCGGCGACGGCGGCGCACTCCGCGATCGGCCCAGGGAGGTGCTCGTGCTTGTTCAGGAGATGCACCAGCGCGGTCGTGACGTTGTCGAGTTGCCCCCACTTCAGCGCGCACGCGCCGAGCATGACGAAGGCGGCGTTTTTGGAAATCTTGGGGTCGTTCCATACAAAGCGACGTCGGGGTGGAGTTGAAAGGCGTCAGTTGGCGTTGAAAGGCGCCGAGGGCGGGGATTGAAACCGTGGAGAGGGCGGAGAGAACCGCCGGGCAAAGTCCTTAAGAAACGGCGTTCACCACGCCAACGCGGTCGTATGGGGACCAGTGTACAGAACGCGCCTTCGACTTGAGCGCCGCCGGGGATTCCATCGCGAGACACGCCAGCCTCTGGAACAGCCCCAAGAACTGCTCGCTCGGCTGACGCGGCCGGAACAGGTTCCACAGATCACAGTCGAGCACGCCAGACATGACGTGAAGGACGCGCTCGCGCTGCTCCTCCCACTTCCACTCGACGAGCGGCGCGGCTTTCTTCGACCCCTTGCCTCCGGATGCCTTCTTCCCCGTCTTGTCACCCGCGGACGCGACTCCCGTCGCGTTCGGCGCGGCGTCGCGCGCTTCCGCGTCCGCCGCCTCCGCGAGCCAGTACACGAGCGTCGCGTACGTCTTCACGGCTTCGCGGTGGGACGCGACCGCGTCCGACGCGCCGTCGGCGTCGCCGCCGCCGCCGGCGAGGAGCGTCGCGACGCTCGCGCTGAGCACGGAGAGGTTACTGCACAGCGCGTCCGCGAGGCGAATGCGGCCGATGGCGGAGAGGGATTTGAAGTCGCGCACGCACGCGTACGCGGGGTCGAACACGTCGTGCTCCAGGATGCATAAAGCGTCGTTCTCGCAGAGATCGTACGCGACGCGCTCGACGAGCTCCGCGGCTTCGACGTCGTGCATGCCCGCGACGTCGAGCACGTTTTTCGGGACGAGGACGTTGTCCCGCGACGGCGGGGACTCGAGGTCGGTCAGCGCGAGGGGGATGTCGAACTCCATCGCGACGGAGCTGCGGTGGGCGGGGGGAGGGGACGGAGGAGGGGACGAGAGGGGAGGCGCGCGTCAGCTCTGGCGCCGGGGATGGGAATGAATAATCGCGTCCGATCTCGTCCCCTCGGCGCTCGGGGGGGGAATGAGATTCCGGGCGCGCGCGCGACGACGACGCGGGACGCGCGCGCGGATACGCGACGCGGCGTGCCGTGGATGATCGACGAGAGCGCGTACCTTTGGGTCGCGGCGCGGCGCGTGTGAAGCGCGCGACGGCAATGCCGCGACGGACGCGCGCGTCGAGACCGAAAAGTTGGTTCCCCTACACGACAACGGATCGAAACGCCTGCCCTCGCTTCGACTGCGTTCTGAAAACGCTTTTCACCCACTGCTCGGTTTCAACATTTGATCGCATTCCCTTTCAACTGACCGATGATCACGTGCACGAACGGACCTCATACAGTAGTGTAATAAATCGCGCTCGGAAGTCTCGGAGAAGTCGTCCGTCCTCCCCGCCCGCCGGAAGCGGCGCCGCGCATCACTCCGCACGCGCGCCGTCATGGACGCGCGGGACGACGACCCAAACGACGCGGACGCCGCGGGGCTCCCGAACCGCCTCCTGCGCAAGGCGGAGACCGCGATTCAGGGAAGGACGAGCCGCGTCCTCGTCGTCATCGAGCGGTGCACGGACGAGCACAACTACAGCGCCGTCATCCGCACCGCGGAGGCGCTCGGCGTGCAGCACGTCTGGCTCATCGATCCGGTGGACGTGGACCTGGACGCGGTCGGATCTGACGACGACGACGGCGGCGGCGGCGACGACGGCGAGCGCGACGACGACGACGAGGAGGAGGAGGAGGAGGAGGAACGCGCCCAGAAGAAGAAGCCCGGGCGGCGGACGCGGCCGTGGAGCCGGACGAGGCACGGCGACGCCGCGCGCGACGCGCACAAGCTCTTCGCGCGACGCGCGAACGAGTTCACGACGATCCGCGAGTTCGCCACGACCGCGGCGTGCGTCGCCGCGCTGAGAGAGGACGGGCGGACGATATGGGCGACGGACTTGAGCCAGCGCGCGGTGTGCCTCACCGAGTCCGCGCTGAGAGCGGCGCGAGGCGACGACGCGACGTCCGCGTCCGCGTCCGTCGTCCCGGAGAAGCTCGCCATCGTCTTCGGCACCGAGTCCGGTGCGTTCGTGTTCGTTCACCCACCGTTCGGTTTCAACATTTGATCGCGTCACCTTTCAACTGACCGATGAAGTACGTGTACTGTTCGGCTTCCAACTCATCAGTCGGCTGCACCGAGGAGATCCTCGCCGCGGCTGACTTGAGGGTGTACCTGCCCCTCAGAGGCTTCGCGGACTCGCTCAACCTGAGCGTCGCCGCCGCGCTCGTGATGCACGAGCTGTTCCGCCTGTGCCCGGAAGCGATCGGCGCGATGGACGAAGCCGAGCGCGCGTCGTTGAGAGAGGATTGGTTCTCTCGTCTCGCCGCGCAGCGGATCCGAACCCCGGACGAGGCGCGCGCGGCGAAGGAGAGGAAGCGCGCGCTGACGAAGGTGAGGCACAAGCTGAACAGGAACACGCCGCGCACGCCGGAGGTGGAGGCGCGGATGGAGGCGCTGAGGGCGGAGGAGGCGAGGTTGAAGGAGGAGGAGGAGGACGCGACGGCGCGCGCGTTGGGTGCGTTTTTCGCGTTCGATACATTTTTCACCCACCCGGTCGTTTCAACGTTTGATCGCGTCCCCTTTCGACTGACCGATGAATGACTTTTTTTTGGAATCGCCAGTGCGCGCCAAGGCGGCCGTCGCGCCGTTTCTCTCGCGTCCGCCCGCGACGCTGCGCGACATGCGGCGGCCGGACGACCACAGGGAGGCGTTCGTGTGCCACAAGATCAGGGCGAGGAATAAGGATAACTGGGCGGGGATGCCCGCGGTGAAGGGGAGCGGAGGCGTCGTCGACGAGGCGTGGGGCGAGCTGGCGGGGCGGAAAAACACCGGGGAGCCCTAGAGCTACAGTAGTCCTATGCGTTTTTTGTGTTAGAGTACACGTATGCGTACGTACTTCCTGACGCTGACGGTGCGCCGCGCTGACGCTGCCGAAAAGAATCGATCGCTTCGCTCGGAGTCGTCACACGACCGATCCGCGGGACCGCGCGCGGGACGTCGCGATGGCGCCGCCGACGAAGATCGAGGACGACAGCGACGACGATGCCCCGCTCGCGAATCGCGTGAAGACGGAATCGTCCACGCCGAAACGTGCGTCCCCGCCAGCGCGGATGGGGTTTAAATTCATTCATTCTCTCGCGGTCCCGGTTCGATCGCGGCGTCGACGCGCGGATCCGCGATCGACGATCGCCGCGACGATCGTCCGCGGCGTCGCGCGCGTCGTCCGCGTCGTCGCGCGCGCGCGATCCCGCGCGCGCGCGGCGCTCGTTCGCTCCCCGCGTCGCCGTCGTCATCCCGCGAGCGCGCGTCCGCGTCCTCGACGTCCGTCCCCCCTCCCCCACCCCCGATCTGGCGCCGTCCGCTCACCCACCCCCCGCCCCCACCGACCCGACGACGTCGCAGCCAAGAAGACGGACAAGGACGGGAAGAAGAAAAAGAAAAAGAAGAACAAGCCGAAGCCGAAGCCGAGCGGCGGGAACGGCGGCGCGGCGGTGAAGGCGGAGAAGAAGACATACGAGCTCCCCGGGCAGAAGCGCGACACCCCGGACGAGGCGGACTCTCTGCGGAAATTCTACGTCTCGCTGCGGACGCAAAAACCCGAGAGCGAGATGGCGGAGACGTGGCTCATGGAGCACGGTTTACTACCGGAGGAGGAGGCGAAGAAGGCGTACAAGAAGTGGTTGGCGAAGCGCGGGCGGAACGGCCCGCCCGCGAAGAAGAGCGGCGGCGGCGGCGGCGGATCTTCGCGGCCGAAGAGCGCGAGCGGCGGCGGCGAAAAGAAGAAGAAGAAGAAAGCCTCCAAGCCGTCTAATAAGCCCAAGTCGCTGTCGGGGATGAAAAGGAAGGCGACGACGGTCGTGGACGACGACGACGACGAGGATATCCCGCTCGCGGCGCTCAAGTCCGGCGGCGGCGGCGGCGGGTTCAAGATACCGAAGAAGGAGGGAGGGGCGACGCCGATCAAGGCGGAGTGACGGAACGAATTGCTACTACGACTACAGTAGTCTATGTTGTATCTAACGGCTATCGTAATCACCCTAATCACCCGGTGATGGCGTTAGTCACCCGCCTCCCGCGTCGTTATATTAGTTGTCGCTCGCGTTGCGACTCAAGACGTCGTACACCGCGTACGACACGCTCGTCGCCGGTAAAACCTTGGCGAGGTTTGGCGCGACGCCGCGGTACAGCCCCCCCAGCCCGTCCTTCGCGACGACCCGCCTGAAACAATCCACCGGTCCCGCGTACTTCACCGCGCCCTCCATCCCCGACGTCTGCAACTTGGTGCGGATCAAGTTCAGCGGGTACGTGCACAGCATCGCGGTCGTGCTCGACGCCATGCCGCAGCCGAGGAGTTGGACCACCCCGGGTTCTTTCCCCGCGCCCTCGCACCGCCGCGCGAGCGCGTCTTTGAGGATGCTGTTCGCCATGAGGTCGATCCCGGCGTACGGAAATATGCCCACCACGCTCGGGGCGAGGCCTCGGAACAATCCGCGCGCGCCCTCGCGCGCGACGACGTGCGACGCCATCGCGGCGATGCCGTCGCCGCCGGCCGACCCGGGGGGCGTCACCGCGAGACGGGTTTTGATAACCTCCAGAGGGTACACGAGCGCCTGCGACGCGACGCCCGCGAGCCCGCCCGCGGCGAACCGCTCCGCGATCGTGACGTTCCCGGGGTCTGTCGCGATCGTGCGCTTGAGGAGGTCGAACGCGGCGAACTTGACCGCGGTCTCCGGGACGACCTTCAGGACGTTGGCGCCGTTGCCGCGGAAAAACGCGCGAACGCCGCCCTCCGCGTAGACGGCGCGCGCGGCGATACCAATCGTCACCCGTCGCTGTTGTGGCGGTTCGTATCCCCCCGCGGGCGCCGCCGCAGCCGTCGTGAAGCCCCGACTCGACGTCGTCGTCGTCGTCGTCGTCGCGGCGGTCCTGCCCGTCGTCGCCGCCCTCGAAGCGCCGCCGCTCGCGCTCGCGGAAGCTTCGCCGCCGCCGCCGCCGCCGCCGCCGCCGCCGGGCACCCTCCCCGTCTGAAGTATCGTCTTCACGCGATCGATCGGCGCGGTCGCGGTCCGGCTCACCGCGCCGGCGACCCCGCCGCTCGCCATCTTCATCGCGACCGCCCACGCGAGCGACCCGCCCCCTCTGGGCGGGAGGTCTTTGCACGCGCTGCAGTGCGACTCCGCGTCGTCGACGAAGGACGCGCGAAGAAACGCGTCGAACACCGCCGCCGGGTTCGCGCCCTTCGGAAGCAGCATCAGCGCCTCTTCGAACTCCTTCTCGGAGAGCGTCCCGCTCTTGTCTTTGTCGAGCTTCTCGAACACGTCCCGGAGCTGCGCGTCGCTGATTTTCAGCCCCGCGCGCTCGACGCCGCAGCGGAGTTCCTCGGAGTCGACCTCGCCGTTTTCGTCGCGGTCGACGGAGACGAACGCGCGGCGGATCGCCCCGCGGCGTTCCTCGCAGAACGCGTCGAACTCGGTCGCGCTGACTCTCGCGTCCGCGTTCGCATCCATCGCGGCGAAGAGCTTCTCGAGATGCGCGGTGGAGACCGCGATCCCGCGCTTCGCGAGGCCTTCGCGCACCTCCTGCGTCGAGTGGGAGAGGGGGGGAGGGGGGTCGAATTGGATATAAGTAAGATTCGTTCGCGTTCGGGAGAAGAAGACGAGAGCGGGCAGCGCGTCGCGCGGTCCTCGCGGGCGCGCACCTCGAGGCTGAGGAACCCGTCGCCGTCGCGGTCGAGCGACGCGAACATCGACCTCATGGAGAGCGCCGACGCGTGCGAGCGCGGCGCGCGACTGACGGTCGCGGCTGCTGGATTGTTTTCCGTCACGAAACCGACTTGTCGGAAAAACTCTCGAAACGCTCGGGTACGTACAGCCGTCCTCGGGTACAGTACTCCGATAACTAAATATCCATACGATCTGTACTCGGCGAATGTGAGCCCTCCAGATTCGCGCGAGAAGCGGCGCGCGACCGTCGAATCGACGTCACCTCGTCGCGACGCCCGCCGTCAGTCGACGCGCGCGCCGCGCCCGCACGCGAATCGCTCGCCTCGCAGCCGCGGACGCGACGCCGACCATGCGGGAATGGCGCACGTTCTCGCGGTTCCCGTGCACCGCGAAGGAGTACTACGCGCTCATGGTCGACGGCGCGTTCCAAGAGCGCCTCCACGTCGACGGACTGAAGATGGGATGCTGGGACTTCGAGGACGCGCGCGACGCCAAAGGCGTCCTGCTCTCGAGAGTCGCCTTCTCCGAGCCACGGTTAAACCTCCCCGCGATCATCGAGCGTCTCGCGCGAAGGGCGCAGTCCTACCACGAGCACACGACGTACACGCCGTCGGAGTGCCGACGGTTCGTGCGCGTCGTGCCGTGCATGGGCGCGGAGAACATGGACTTCACCTTCAACGAGTGGGTCCGCGACGACGTCGACGGCGTCGGCGGGTGCGTGTGCGAGTCGATCGTGCGCGTCGCGGTGAAGGGCGGGTGGATCGGACGGATATTAGAGCGCTTCATATGCAGCACGAGCAAGGTGAAGTTGTCGGAGAGGGACGCGTGGCTGCACGCGAAGCACTTCGCGCCGATGGGGTATCGACGCATCGGATTCGACGACTTTGAGCCCGCGTCGGATTCGATCGCCGACGCCGACGCCGGCGCCGCCGCCGACGACGACGACGACGGGGACGTCCCCACGGTCACTCTGAGCTTCCGCGGCGGCGGCTCGGGCAAGAAAAAGAGCGGGAAGGGCGAGGGCGAGTGGGTCGGCGCCGCGGATCTCAGCGCGCATCCGCTCCCTCCGAGCGCGTTCCGAAGAAGCGGGTGGAAAAACTTCAAGTCGAAGTTCGCGTCGACCAAACGCAAACGCGTCGCCGCAACCGCGGCGTAGTCGCGTAGTCGCAGCACATGACGTCCTACCTAGCGATGTAGTAGCACGATACGATCTTCTTCTTCTATCGATCGACGACGAACGACGCTCGCGCTCACGCCGCGCCCGCGCCGTCGACGAGCTGCATCCACTCCAAGTACCGCGCCTCCACGACGTTCACGACGGGATTACATCGCTCGACGACGTCGTCCTCCGAGCCGACGAGCCCGTCGCGTCCCCAGTGCTGCGCGGCGCTCAAACCGGACAGGCAGTAGCACGTGTGGTAGTGATCCCGCCCCTTCCCGGGCTTATCCTGCAGCCCGCCGTTCGGTGCCTGGCAGCACAGGAGCAGCCACCCTTGCAGCGCTCGCGCGTTGAACGGCGGCGTCGTCGGGTCCCAGGCGTTTAGCGTCCGCGTCTTCGTCGTCTTGGCATCCGACGAAGACGAAGAGAACGCCTCGGACGCGGCGGCGGGGAACAGCGCGCACGCGGGGACGCCCGCGATGTTTCCCAACGAAGATCCTCTCTCTTTCTCTTCTTCTTCTTCTTCTTCTTCTTCTCTGGTGGCAGTCGCACCCTTCTTCGACGGCGGCGGCATCGCTCGCAACACCGCGTCGACGCTCAGCGATAACAACGGAAACGCGCCCCCTTGCCAAAACGAATAACACCCGTCCACGAGCTTATTCGTGCGGCCGTTGAACCCCCCCTCGACCGCGCCCTGTCGCATGCACAGCCAGTGCAGAAGCTCCGGGAGGTCGAGCCCTCGCGCGCCGTCGCACAGCACGGCGGCGGCGAGCCCGCAGAACGTGTACCCGCCGTGCGCCTCCGCGCCCGGCTCTCCCGCGATCCCGCCTTCGTGCGTCTGCGTGTGCGTGTTCATCGGTCATCAGTTGAAAGGGAACTCGATCAAATGTTGAAACCGAGCGGTGGGTGAAAAACGTTTGTCGAACAGAACGCGCCTGACACCGCGCTACAAAGGCGCTCACGTTCTCCGTGACCGCGTCGTCCATGACGCCGCACAGGTGCGCGACCGCGAGGGCGGTGTAACACCCCCTCGTGTCCGTCTCCCCGCCCTCGTGCATCCTGTACCCGCCCGTCTCGTCGTCCTTGCACCGCGCGAGGAACGACCGGAGCGATTTTCGATTCACGCACGCGAACGCCTCCGGAGTGGCGATGGACGCGAGGCAGCACACCGCCGCGTATGTCGGCGCGAGGTGCGGCATCTGCCCCGGCCCGCCGCCGAACCCGCCGCCGGGGCGTTGGCACTTCCCGAGGAACTCGACGACGTCGGACGCGGTCGACGGAGCGAGGGGATGGGAGAGGAGCGCGAGAGAGTGGACGATCCAGTAGCACAGCCACGCGCGGGAGGCGTCTAGGACGACGAATCCGCTCCCGAGGTGCGTCAACGATCGCGTGAGGTACGCGACGTGCGCGTCGCGGTCGAGCGTCGCGGCGACCGCGACGCCCCCCGAGACCGCGGTCTCGTCGCCGCGCGCGCCGCGCGCGCCGTTCGCGCGCGCGTTCTCGTCGCCGTCGCCCGTCGTCGTCGTCGTCGTCTCGTTCGCGCCCGCGCGCGTCGCTCTCGCGTAGACGTCCCTCGCGACGAGCTCGAGCTCCCACTGCGCGGAGGACGTCTCCGTGGGGAACCCTAAGCCTTCCATCCCGAAGCCGTCCATGACGGCGGCGACGGTGTGGTCGTCGCGGAGGACGCGTCGCGGAGCGCGCCGCGCGCGAACGATCTGGCGCGACGACGCGATCGATCGCGAGATGATGACAACGACGAACAGAAAACGATTACGTACGCGAGTCGATCTGGACGGAATGGCGCACTTCGCTCATACTTCGCGCGGCGCGGCGGGCGCGCGGGGCGATGGCGAGCGCCTCGCCCTCGCCCTCGCCCTCGCCCTCGCCCTCGCCCTCGCCCTCGCCCTCGCCCTCGCGCGTGCGCCCTCTGAAGTGGCTCGTGACCGACCTCCTCGCCGCGCACGTCGACGAGCTCATCGAGCTCGCCGGCGAATCGCTGCTTCAGCTGCCGTCCGACGTGCGATGCGCGCTGCGCGCGGTCGCGAGGAGGAGAGGCTGCCTGGACGACCGCGCGCTGCTCGCGCTCGTGGACGGCCACGACGGCGCGCCATTCCTCGACGTCGCCGGGTGCGTCGGCGTCACGGACGACGGGATCGACGCGCTCGCGCGGCGCGGCGCGCTCGCCGCGGTGGTCGCCGCGGACGTGACGGGGTGCGGCGGGATCTCCGCGCGAGGGATCGCGACGCTCTGCGCCGCGGCGCCGATGATGCACACGCTGCGGTGCGGCGGCGACGACGCGTGCGACGACGCGATGCGTCGCGCGATCGACCCGGGAGGAGGAGGGAGAGGGAAGCTCACGCGGGGCGGGAGGCGCGAGAGAGGTGTGGGAGGGATACTTCCGAGGTTTGATGACGCCCGTCATCATCACCACGTCGAGTCGTGGGAGGACCGCGCGGCGGCGGCGTCGCCGCCGCCGGCCGCGTCGTCGTCGGCGACCGATACCCTCACCACCGCGCGAGCGTCATCCCTCCAGTGGCTCGTCTGGCCCGACGTCGACGTCGCGCACAGGGAGCTGATACGCGCGGAGTGCCCGCGGATGCGGATCGTCGCGCCGTCGAAGGAGGCGTACCTCGCCGCCGCCGCCGTCGCGACGTCGCCGCGGTTTCGAGCCGTCGACGGCGAGGGCTGGGTCGCCGTCGGGAAGGCTGCCTCGGCGCCGGTCGACGGCGGCGGCGTCTCGTGCCCGTGCCCGCGCCCGCGCCCGCGCCCGCGCCCGAAGCCGCGCGGGATCGGGTTCGGGAGGGGAGAGAACAACGACGGGTTCGTCGTCGTCGCGTCGGCGTCGCCCCCTCCCCCGCCGCCGCGACCACCACCCTGGCCGATCTCCCCGCCGCCGCCGCCCGGCGCGCCGCCGCCGCGCGAGGCGGACCCGACGACGCCGCTCGACGCGCCGGCGCTCGCGTGCCTCGACGCTTCGGCGCGCAGCGGCTGGCGCGGCGAGGCGGCGGCGTCGACGGAGGCGATGATGTTCTTTTCGGGGGGGATGAAGGACGAAGACGGCGGCGCGGCGCCGTCGAAGCGCGGGCTCGGGCTCGGCGCGGCGGCGTTGCGTTGGCGTCTCGGCTTCGCGGAGGACGCCGACGGCGTCTCCGTCGCGGAGCGGTTTAAGAGAGCGTGCGAGGAAGTCGACGCGGAGCGTAAGCTGAAGCGCGAGAAGAACAGGAGGAAAGGACGGAATCGAACGCTGAATAAGCTCGGGAAGAGTTCGTACGAGCGCGCGATGTTCGACGCGTTGGACGACCGATCGCCGTTCGATCCGCGCCGGCGCGCGTACTGATGCCTACCTCGAAGGTACG